AGTCTGAATAAAAACTAGGTTGGGTGAATTTGAAACAACTAATGTGATTTCAAATTCATACCCAGCTAGACTAGGTTTAATACATTAACTAGGCTTCTTATATTCTTTTTAAAAAGTGGTTTTGTATTTCAGGCAGTGGTTTTTCTACCTTTAAATATAACTTTAAAGCCCCAATGTGTGACTCACTTGAAGCACAACTACATTGGCACCAGTCTGCATTCCATCCACATTAGTGTGTTAATATGCACATTCGATACAACCCATCACCCCGCTTCAAAAAGCAAGCTGTTGAGGGACATCTGGAATATTCTGTTCTCCTCTCAGCCACACACAACACTATCACTGTCAGGGTATTGTCATAACTCATAGATCTCTGCTAAGGTCTTTGTGCACCACAGTAAAAATGTATCAAGAACTTTCGAAGAAGTGAAGTAACATACTGTACGGTAGTTGAAGATTTGAACTGTGCAAAACCTTGGAATACTTTGCTGTTTGGCTGTTAGCTATGGTTTGTTAATGTATTAGACAGCTACACTGCCAGAATTTCTTTTCTATTAATACATTTACTTCAAAGTTTACATTTCAATTGCCACTTTTAAAAGAGGTCATACTTTTATCTTTTAGTGACAAGTTTGCCGGGGCTGAATGCCAGCTGTCTACTGAAGGTATTTTCTATAGATTGAAATGGTAAGGCCAAGACCAAATAAAAAATGTGACTGTTGTGATTTGTTCAGTGGCCAAACTATTGGTTAATTATTGGAAAACGAGAAAAGTAGGTTTTCTAAAAGAAATTGGACATCGCCATTAAAACCAAGTGGCTCAGACCACAACGAAGGAGACTGATGCATCCAGGAGGTTCTTGATAGTGACTGACAGTGAATCCTCCTGTATCTCAACTATCAGCTGCCATAGCTGTAACCTAGGAAAACTAAATAACGGGAAAATAATAATTCATTATTATTATTGAAACCGATTTATCCAGAATATGGTTAAGGGGTCTGCTGGAGCCTAACCAAGAACACTACAGGCACAAGAAGGGATAATACCCTGGATGAAACGCAACGTACGTTCATCGTAGGATCATGATGGTTATTATTAGTATTATTAGTAGTACTAGTATCAATATAATTCTACAACATATTATTTGAAAATCTAACAAAATAAATGCAAAGGGAGTTTAGAACTATGCTGCACCTTAATAGAGAATTGTGTAAAGCAGACATCGCAGATTTCTTATAAAGCCATTTAAAACATAACAATCAGCTTGAGAACTGAGCCAAAAGAGTAAATGAATCACTGTTCTTAGCATTTCACCAAGGAGACTACATGGTTAGAGAGAGGCTTTTGATGCCTTATTTCAGTGCTTCATACCAATGGTAATTCTTAGGTTTACATTACAGAAAATGATCATTCTCTTACTCTGACTTTCAGTTCTTTCCCCTGCTACATGTGAAGGTTGGACGCTTAAAGCATTGGTCAGTTAACGATGTAGACACAAATAAGCTGCGGAACAAAGATAAACACTCATCATGCATCTGATTTTTAAAATTGGCATTAAAATGAAATAACTAGTGACTAAGATCTACTAAATGCTTAAGAAATGTGGAGAATGGTTTGCTTTGATCAGAAATCCAGGCAGACACGTATACAGGTCACCCAAACGATGTAAAGAAAAGGCTGCTCCAAGGTAAGGATCAGGTTTGATGTGGTGGGGGCTGGGAGGTGACGGGGGGAGTACTCCTGGAGAAGCTTAGCTTAGGGTTTTTTTTGTTGACAGAGATGGATATGCGCAGACATCAGCTTTTCATATTCTCTGTGACTTTTTTTTTCTTTTAACTGTTGAAAACCCTGAAGCAAAGACCACTGGGGCTTATTAGGGAACAGGAAGGCAGATGTTTCCTTTGAAATGCCGTGAGTGTGCTGGGAAAAGTGGACACCTGCACTGCACTTGCTATCATCATGCAGCTAAGGGAAGACCAAAATTAAACCCCCAAACCACTACAACAGGAGATGTATTATTAAATAATCAGAGCCACACAGGATGTAATTTATTCCAAGCAGAGCCTACAGAGTGTATCAATGACAGTAAGTTCCAAGTTGATTGCTTCTATGCAGCACTTTAGTCTTAAAATTTTAAAACCTTTATTCAGTTTACCTCTTCATTTAAATACAGGGCTTTTTAAAAAAAAAGATGACAGTGGCTTTGTTTGGATTACATCTTCAAGTTCCTTTTTATCCTTAATAAATTGCAGATTTAAAAGAATGATTTCCTTTCTTTTTTATTAATCCAGGAATATGCGCAAGTCTTTTTTTTTAATCTGAAAAAAAAAAAGATTTGTAAGAGATGGTCCATATTAAACAGAGCAATTCCCACTAGAAACCAGAAGAGGGCAGTTGTTTTCTTCAGCAGCTACTGTATGTCGAGGAAACGGACATTGTATTACAGACAACAATAGGTATCGGAGGAGTCTGTTTTATGAATAGCTTGCTGAAAACAATATTCAATTCAAGTGAGTGTTATCTCACTAAAATCGTTAAAGTGCCATTTGTAGGGACGAATGAGAGCTCAGTGTACTTAGAAAACATGTCAATGAATACAGTAGTCCAAGTTATATTTATAAAACCTCATAAATTCATCAATAACATTGTTGGAGACGGACAGTGCCAATGTATAAGTCTACATCTGTATTTGTTTCCCTAGCAAGTACGGCTATGAATTCAACTTAATCTGTTGTGAATTTCTCATCTTTTTAAAACCAGAGTTTAATAATCTTGGATTAACCACCTACAAAGCTTCTTTACTCATGAAAAAAATGTTCAAAAGGACACAAAAGATGGACATTGCAAGATGTTTCTCACCCTTCAAAAAAGGCCATCTACAAGGGGGAGAAAAAGCAGAAAACAGGAAATGATTGCTCACCAACTTACATCCATCCATTTTCTAACCACTTCATCCAGTTTAGGGTCACAGGGGAGCTATCCCAGTAAGCACCAGATGCAAGACACCTGAGGCAAACCCAAAGAACAGGAAGAACATACAAACTCCACACACGTAGCACCACAATTGCTGAATTGAACCCAGGACCCCAGTGCTTTGAGGCAATAATATTACATTAAACAACATAATGTTAGTAATATTCACAGTGTTGTTTATGGGCACCTCCAGCTTCATAAACACAAAGCAGGACATACTGGTATAGGAAATGAACCCTATAACTCATGTGTCTTATGCCTTTATCAATAACCTGCCCTGTGGGATACTCACACAGATCAAAATGATGCCTCCACACCCCTACCACTCGATCTAAACAGGGCAGGTTGTGGTTCTGTTCAAAACCCTGATCTGCAGACAATGCAGTGCAAGCAACGTCTTTAGCACGAGTCTCACCTTTAATTAAACTACTCTCATTTATCAGCCTTATTGACAGTGTATCAGAGGCCACTGCTGGAGTGCTGTAGCTCATGTTTAATACCACTCGCTGATGTACTCCACATTGCTGAAAAAAAATAAAAATAAAATACAAATATCTGGCAATTCACATAAGTTAATGTATAATATTCGGTCGAGACAGTTAATGCCAAAAGAAGCGGTTTGCAGTGAACGATTATGGCCATCTCGCATTTGTAACCCTTTTGGGTCTTAACATGTCTGTCAGTGCAGACTTTCAAGAGGAATGACATGCCATGTGGACTACTTAACTAAGAATCATGTTAAGCAATAAAAAAGGAGACTTCCAGAAAGCCACTAAATATAAAGCTCATATAGTTTTGCAAGGAAACGCAATATTGTCACCTATTCGATGCATTGAAGTTACTATCTCTTTATCATGCAGAGATGGATGGAAATCCCTATGGAATTTTCTACCCTGCAGTTATATGACATTAGCACTAAAAGAATCATTAATCCTGGATAAAATGAGGGGTCAATTAAATTATTTCCCTACAAAGGCCTAAAAGCGAATACAATATAAATAGGACAGTTCTTCATAGCATTGTGTATGGAAGAAAACATTGTAATTAAATCGTATATTACAATGTTGTCTTACAGATCTTCTTTTATTTGACAAATTTTAAATGCATTAGCTGGTCAAAAGAACTACAAGAGAGAATATTAAAATTAAGTTTTTTTCTTCCCCTGTAATCCTTTTAATTGAACTGTACAGCATGTAGTAGTCAAATAATAACTTACTGTATGTTTTGCTATTCAGAAGAGTTGGATTAAAATGTACATTCTTAGAGTTATTCTTGGATGAAATTGTGATCTCAAGGAACACAGATGTATCCTTGCAATAATGAAACCGAAGTCAACCCAGTATTCACGTTAAAGTCTTTGAATTTTAAGGTCGCGCGTCTTCTTTTATTTAACATACAATATTATAATTCCTTGGAAAACACTAGATGGCGCTACAGCACAACAAAAAATAAAAAAAGTATTTATTCTCTGCAGCATATGAGCATCTAAATAATATTTAGGAACAAGTAATAGGTTTCTTCCATGCTGAAAAAAAAAGAAGAAAGAGAACACAATGTTTCGGCCATGGAGCCTTCTTCAGGTGTGAGAGAGACAGGGCAGTAGGCAAAGGTAAAGTGATAAATGGTAAAGGTAAATGACTTTACCTTTGCCTACTGCCCTATCTCTCTCACACCTGAAGAAGGCTCCACGGCCGAAACGTTGTGTTCTCTTTCTTCTTTTTTGCAGCATGGAATAAACCTATTACTTGTTCCTTTGCAGCCTACGCATGCTAACGCAGCTACCCACCTAAACAATATTTACCCTCTTTTACTATAAAAGTACAGTGCTGAAAACGCATTTAAGTGTATTAATAATACACGACTGCCTGGATTATTTAAACTCAATTTGTAAAGAAAACGTGAAAGGTGCAGGAGATTATAAGAAACTCCTACCATTAAGGTAGCTCGAGGCTGCAGCAATCCAGCGTTCCATTCTGATCACCTGATCGGGCCGAGCGCGGATCACGTGATCCCTGCTCCATCCTCGCCATTTTGAGTGCCGTGTGTGTGAGTTCACTGTTACTGGGAAAGGAAAAGATCAAAGTCTTGTGTTTGCCGAGGCCAAAGATCATTGAAAATCGTGTTATTGGATCAGTAAGTATCTGCTCTACGCGTGACAGTCTTGTGATGCCGAGACACTTATTAAACAAGAGAACTGGTTCTGTTTGCCTTTATTTGTGTGTGTGTAGTGTGGAAATCTGACTCGTGGATGGGTTAGCCAGTACAGTTGTCATGATGTCCTGCCCCCTTTTCCCACATTGGCATTTTTTTGAGAGCGTTGCTCTCGGGTTGCGTGTCTTGGGGTTGCACGATATATAGCCTAAACGCAGTTCAATTTAAACGTTGTACTACTTTCCTCTGGATTGGTACTCTTATTAGAAAGCATTCGGTGGCCAATATGTAGTTCACCGGCACCCCTTAGTCATGAAGTAGCTATGTGATATCTACTGAGCATAAAATGCATGTCGACCCAAGCACATATTTCTGATTTATTTGATGTTAACCTGTATTTTTTATAATTTCTCTTTATTTTTAATGCTTTGCATTCTTCGTGTTTAAGGTCCTTGCTAATCCTTGCTAGCCGCTGTTGTATCTTCTATGTGTTCGGGAATCGGTAAAAAAAAATGTATTCCCATGGAAAAGTCATTCAGCTCCTCATTAGCATGTTTCCGTTATTAAGTGAATTATTCCATAACCGTATTTCAGCATTTCGCGAATGTGGCTTGAGGTGATGAAAAGTGTGAACGGATGATAACGTGTAACTTGTTGTTGCGGTTATCGGCATTAGTCCCCTTGCGGAAACTTCCAGTAAGTTTATCTTACAGTGTCATTCTGAAGTTTGTGCCTTCGTTTGTGGCGACGAATCAAGGAACATGCCCTTGATGTTGAAAGCAGGCGTGTGTTTTCCCCCAGAAAAGTCGTATTTGATGATTGCAAGAAGTCATTGACCGACATTCTTTCAACATATCCATTGACCCAGATCCAATATATTGTCGTGTGTTCCAGAGTTACATGAAAGAACAAGTCGAAACTACTGTTATATCCATAAAGAACATGGTGCTGGATAATGTTAAGCCGTATTCGGGGATGTAATCTATATTTGCCATTACTAATAACTGGGGTCTTTTAACTTGGAGTCTTTTAACTTGGAAATTGTGGATTTTGGCTGGATGTCTTTCATGACCCTGAGAAATCCCACCAAGATTGATTGAAATCAGCACCTGAGCTAAACTTGACCAGCCTCAGGCAGGAATAGCAGTGGCAGTTAGTGAGTAGCTGGGGGAAGGAAAAAGCAAACACATGTTGGCTTATATAACTATATATAGAACTGTGAACATGCTACATTCATAAAATGTAATTCACTCTTTTTTTAGGAAGATTAACTCTTTGCGTAAAATTGAGGATGCTGATAAAAGTGTTCATGCTTTGTCTTGCATATGCAAGCAAGGTTATGTGTATGTGAATTGACGCTGGCATCATCTTAATTTTATCTCCCCTTGAAATACTTCCAGAGCAGTAGAGATGTCCCTGCCTGTGCAAAAGACCGCGGTGATGTACTGATTATTCCTTCTATGTTCTGTGTTTTTAACCTTCTTCGTCCTTTGGTTGCAGGGATGGAGGAGAGCAGCAGTATTGCAGTTCTGGTGCCCCACGGAAGAGCACAGGATGCCTTGCTCATTCCTGAGAGGGCAGTAAACGCATGTCTGCAGGGCTCTGATGGGAAACAAAAGCAAAAGGCCACCGACTCCCTCATCCAGGTCATAGAGAAACTGAGCAAGATAGTTGAAAACAAAAGACCCAGGCGCTGCTCGCTATCCGGGAAGAAGCGACCTCACCTCACTTGCACGTCTGCAGCTGTGGAAAGCAAAGAGAACTACGAAGTCCCCTCGAAGATGGCAAAAGATTCGGATGCACTAAGGTGCAGTGAGGAAGTGCGGGAGGAATACTATATATCGGAGAATGGGTATGGGAGCTGTGGCAAAACGATCACCTGCTACCAGTGCAGTCTGTGCAAGTTCATCTCCCCAACCCTGACCTTACTGAAAGACCACATAAAACAGCACGACCAGCAGAACGAGGTGATCCTGATGTGCTCTGAGTGCCGCTACACGTCCAAGCACCAGGAGGATCTGGAAGCCCACGTGAGGGTTCACGTAGAAAATCAAGAGCAGCTCAAAAGCGTGGTCCCACATCACACACGGGAGATCCGGATTCTCTCCACAGCCGATGGCAAAGAGCTGGCGTACGCTGGGGGCTTACAGGTGAATATTGAAGGGGTGGAGGCCAGCGTAAGTGTGGACAATTTGGACCTTCAGCCCGTGAAGAAAAAGTGGTACACCTACGAGCAGTACGGCATGTACAGGTGTTTGATCTGCAGCTACACCTGCGGCCAGCAGCGCATGCTCAAAACCCATGCATGGAAGCATGCTGGTTTAGTTGACTGCTCCTATCCGATATTTGAAGACGAGTCTGAGACCTCTTGCGTGGTGGACTCGACGTCAGGCCCTCCGGTAGATGAGGCTGTTGTAGTCCTCACTCCCGTGAGTAAGCCAGAGACATTAAACAGTGCTGCTTCCTTTCAAATCAAGCTATGCACCTCAGGCACAGACAGTGAGGACAAAGCTGCTTTAGTCCCAGCGGTGGAGGAGAGTGCTGAGGAAATGTACCATTCAAAAGTCCCTGCAACAGAGGAGGAGGTGGTCGAAGAGCAGGTTGCCTCTGATTCAGAGCATGATCCCAGTGCCTCAGACAGTCTCCTCTCCTCTGCTCAGAAGATCATAAGCTGTAGTCCCCACCGAGCAGGACATGTGAATGTCATAGTGGAACGTCTTCCAGGAGCTGAAGAAGCTATTGCAACCAAGCCATTCTTGATAGACTCGCGCATAGAGGGGGAGAAGAGGTCGCTGACTGAGGATTCGCCGGTGTATTATGAGGATGACCCAGGAGATTATCAGACGAGTAAAGGTGGCGTTGCCGTAGAAGAGGTGGTGATCGGATGGTGTAACAACGAGAAGCAGCAGAGTGAAGACGAGGCTTCCAAAGAATCATCCACCGCGAGCGACGAAAACATCCCACCGGTCCGCAGGAGGACACATTCCGAGTCTTTGAGGTTGCACTCCTTGGCGGCGGAGGCCCTGGTCGCCATGCCAACTAGAACCCCCGAGATGATGAAAGCTAGCATAAAGAGCATCGTGGAGCTGAGTAGCCAGTCCCCAGACACGGGTCAAAGATACATCGACATCGCCAGCGCCTCCCCACACAAAGTGACCTCGGCTGTCCGAAACGCCCCGGAAGAGTTTACCAACATAAAGGAGGGGGGCACAGCGCTGGTCAACTTGGAGCTGCAACCCAAGCCCAAAGAGGGAATCCCCGAGGGTCCCGTGAAGATGGGAATCAGCATGTCGCTGCTGACCGTGATCGAAAAGCTGAGAGAAAGGACTGACCAGAATGCCTCGGATGAAGACATCCTCAAAGAGTTGCAGGATAATGCCCAAAGCCAGCCCAACAGCGATATGAGCTTGCCGGACGGCAACCTGGTGGAGTTCATTCCAGACAGCGATCGGCCTTATCGCTGCCGCTTGTGCCGTTACACTAGTGGCAACAAGGGGTACATCAAACAGCATCTTAGAGTGCACCGTCAGCGCCAGCCTTACCAGTGCCCCATCTGTGACCACATCGCTAATGACAGCAAGGACCTGGAGAACCACATGATAAATCATTGCAAAACCAGAATGTACCACTGTAAGCAGTGCAACGAAACATTCTATTACAAGGTAGGAAGTAAGACTGCTGGAAGGAAATGAAGCTGTGCTACACTACATCAGTAAGATCAAAAAGATTAGATCAATTGTTTGCTTAAACAGGGAGCGACATTTGTGCAGCTTGAAAGAGTTCCTTCTGCAGAGCTGGGTCTGAGTAGGGCAGATGAATTGAGATTTTGGAAAAGTTTTAAAAGTGATGAGAAAATAGGTGGGTATTTGTTTTGCTTTTATGATGCCTCTTTGTGAGACTAGAGCAAGCTAAAAAAAGAGTGCTGTGGAATATCAATGCATCTGTGGAACCTCTTTAAGGTTAGTTGTTTTTTTTATCATAACACATTGCCTGTTTAGCTCTCATGATTTTCAAAACATATTTTAGAGTCAGCTGAGAAATCATGAGCGAGACCAGCATGGATTGCCTGATGCACTGGCAGCTTTGTCTTCTGTTACTGAGACAGCAGCAACAGTGGAGGAGTCTGAAGAGAAGAGTGCAGAAGAAGGTAAGATTATTTTGCTGTTATTGAAGTGTCTGTAATACAGGGGAATTCCTATGGGATACTGTAAATGGCCATATAACTATGCAATAATACAGTTTCTTAAATAAATCAATGAATGCTGAGTACTGTACTTAATCTGTGTAAAAGATTTCACTTGTTAAATTGAAAGATCTTTTGAGTTGCAGTTTCTATAGCCCAAAGCCTATAAAAAGCAAATTGAGCTTGATTTTACCTTGTTTTTGCAGGTCTGACCAGTATTCAGAAAATCTACAAATGTGATGTATGCGACTACACCAGCTCAACGTATGTGGGGGTTCGAAATCATAGAAGAATTCACAACTCTGACAAGCCATACAGGTTTGTAAGATGTACCTTATCCCTTAACACACAGGTGCTAGACTATGATTACAGGAACAGATATTAATATGAGAAGGCTAATGTAGAGGCCAAAACTGGGTGGCATTCATTAGCTAAATATATTTATATGCACTTAAGACATTTAAGTTAATGTTGGTTTTAATTCAATATAATTTTTAAAAAATTAGGCAAAAAGAAACATATGTTGTCAAAAGATGGCATGGTGTTATTGTAGTGAGACCTGGAACCTGGAAAATGTGTAATGGTAAGTAGAAAGTAAAAGATCCCTTAACTGTTCAATACTGGTAATAACTTTATCTGTAGTTTACACACACTCGGGATGGTGTGTGTATATGAGACATACTACCCTTTGGAACCAAGCCATATGTTAAAAGCTACTGAAAACAAGTAACATATTGCATGTCTTTCAGCTACACCTTTGTTTTTAGTTCAGTGTGTGCAAATCAGGTCTCTAATGACTGACACACAAAACTGTAACCTCAGGCCATATGTTTTATGGAAAACAAGCAATTCACTGCTGTGGTTCTTCATAAAAGGTTGATCTTTGAAATGCTGAGCTTAAAGATAAGAAGTTTTGTTGTTGTTGTGATTTAGTAATGTGAAATCAAATTTATACCAAACATTACATCAATGCCAAAATAACTACTGATGATTATTTTGCAGTAGAACTATTTGTATGCCTATGCTAAAAGACATTTTAATTGAGTTATTTATTTTTAATTATTAACTTGGATTTAATCAAATCTGGTGTAGATCGCCTTAAATTGAGCACAGATTGCTTAATGACCTTGATGCGTTAGATTGCCAAAGCTGTAGACTGAGAAGATCAGCCACTTGGAAAGCACAGAAATTTTCCCTTCTATGGTTAAAGGAGCTTATTAATTAAAGGTCCTAAAACAATTTTTTCTGCCAACTGTCAGAGCAGGATCCTTCTGTTCTTGCTGATAATGTCTTCTGTTGGATAGCATGTCTGCTCACAGGAGAAGTGTTGTCTTGATGCTGCTTCTCCGTTGGAAGCCATACCTGAATCTGTATGTGAATTGCTTGCAGGTGCTGCAGCTGTGACTTTGCGACGACAAACATGAACAGCCTCAAGAGCCACATGAGGAGGCACCCACAGGAGCACCAGGCCGTGCAGCTAATGGAGCAGTACAGGTATGGAGATTCAGCGTGTTCAGGAAAAAGGAAAAGGCTACACACGACGCACATAACCTTTTGTGTGACTTCTGGAAGTTTACTTTGCTTTCTCTATAACCATTTTGCATCCCATAATTAGTACTCTTCTTGTTACTGCTGTTTGAAATAATGAACTTGATCAATCCCGATTGGGTTGGGATTTGGCAGATGTTTTAAATCAATCCACAGAGTACATGCAACCGTTTGCAGGTGATTGTGGATCGTTAATGATGTTCTTTTCCATAGATGTCTCCTCATTTCCATATGCTTTGGAAATATCAGATTGCCAAGCCCTTTTTGATACATGTAGTCACCCATTTAGTCTGGTCAGGTTGGCACTGATGGAGACTGTCGCTACTTTGTGAGAACTTCCAGCTTGATCATTGGCTAATGAGGAGGACATATAACTGGGTAGTTAAGAACACTCTGATAGCAACTATAATGAACTGTAGTGTATATACATAAGCTATGATATTGTGAAAATCCTGTTCTGTCAGAATCCATAAAAGCAAATTCTAGTTCTGCAGGCTATATGCAGGTACTGGCAAGAGGTTCACCTACTGTTCAGTAACACAACCTGTTTGTTCCATGTTGTAACTGAAACCTTATAAATGATTTGAAAGGTATCTAATGTATCAAACTTAAAAAAATAAATAAACTTCTGCAGCAATATGATCTTTTGCGTTTCATGTTGTTTAGTTGCCATCCTTTTTCTAGTGATATCTCTGACTTTTGTTCTTAAAATTTGATTTAATTACATACCCACCCATCCAGAAACCTCAATTATTTTTAATCTTTCTAGTGACTCATGAGGGAAAGAGAAAGGCCAACATTTCTCTTTGAAAAGTCCACCGTATTTCACAGGAGACAGTCCTGATTGGAGGAGAAGTGGTGAAGTACATTTCTCACAGACCTCCCTGCAAGTTATTGACCACAAAACCGAGAGGACCCTGACTCTCTAATGCCAACACTACCCAGGTCCATTCTGGACCGCTATTTTGTGACAGCCAGTCCAAATCAGTTGGTGACATGTCTCAGCATCAAACCTGCAGCATTTAGATCACAAAAAAGTATTGAACTTTCAAATGTTAAGAATGATCTGTAAGCATGGGTATAGGTTTTTGCTAAATGCCATTCTGTTCTTTTTCCCAGATGTTCTCTCTGTGGATATGTGTGTAGCCACCCCCCTTCTCTAAAATCACACATGTGGAAACATGCTGGTGACCAAAATTATAACTATGAGCAAGTCAACAAAGCTATTAATGAAGCCATTTCACAAAGCAGCAGGTGAGTTTAAGTTAACTGATCTAAAAAACGTATGGGTTATTATAGAACATACGTCTTTATTAGTAGACTATTAGCAATCTGTTCATTCTTTTTTTGCATTTAGCTAAAAGCAGCTAGTATTACCAAATTCACACCATTAAAATATAGTGGTTGTTTTTGGGATACTGTGTATATGTGCAGACAGGCTTTCTTCATGTTCCATTATGTCTTCCTCTAGGTCTCCATGTTTAGCTCAGAAGCAGGCTGCCATTGTTGAACCAGTTGTGGAGAGACCTTGTGGCAGAACAAATAAAACAGATCCTAACCCTCTGGCCTCCACTCCTGAGGAAGGCGCAGGGGCATCAGAGCCACTGCAGGGCCCTTGTGTGGCCACAAGACCCCAGAGCGCTCCTGAGAAAGGAGGTGTGCCTGCCAGGGCAGGGATGGAGTACTGTGTGCTGCTTTTCTGCTGTTGCATCTGCGGGTTCGAGTCCACCAGCAAAGAGCACCTGATGGAGCACATGAAGGAGCACGAAGGCGAGATCATTAATATAATTTTGAACAAGGAGCAGAGCCCCTAGCTGCTGAAGCCGGAAGGGGAAAACACAAGTTGGTCAAGACCATGGGGCAGGATGCCTGTCTTTTTGTTATCTGACTTCTTCTGGAGGGCTTGACCTTGGACTGCTGTTTGATGAGCTGTCCTGCTTCCGAGCTGTAGCAAAGCAAAAGCCAGCTTTGCGGCTGTCTTTCCTTTCCCACTCAAACGCAAAACTTGACAGAGTTATCCATTACGTCACAAAGCAAAAAAGTTAGCAAAAAAGTTTCTGCTTTTTATACTTTCTTACACTTCCTTAATAATGTACATATCCTGGACTTCCTGATTTTTTTTTTTTAATTTGAATTTAAATCAGACATAGTTTGAATGTTCTATGAAAAGTTTTGAAAGGTTGTCTGCTACCAAGCATATGTAGATTTGGACTAAAGAAAAGGAAAACATTGCATACCTCATTAAATCCATTTATTTTGTAAAAATAGATTCCATCCCATTTCAAGGGGTTATATTTTTCAAACATGATTAAAGGCAGCTTTAGTTTAAATATGGTGTAATACTGTAGAATGGTGTGAATCACACATTTGAACCACAAGTATACATAGACCACATATATAACGTGTTTGTGGACAATATATATAATTTGGTTCTATGTATATTAAATGTATATGAATAGTACTGACAGCACCAGTTTTCACAGATCTATAAACTTGCAAAAGCTTTGTTGTGTATATTTTTCTTGAGTGTGTATTGCCCAAAATATTTATTTAATTTATATTTATGCATGTAGTTTTCCGTTATTGAAACGGCAATGCGTTTTATTCTCTCAGATTGGTGCTATTGCCTCTCTGTCCTAATGAAATGTTCTCAAGAAAGAGCTAGTCAGTCATATAAGGAAAGTACCTTATTTTTTGAGTAGTATTGCAATGAAATGTAGTGAAATACTTGAGTTTGTATTGTTTTGGAAAAATACTATACGTAGACGTAACTGACAATATATCTATATTGTTCTTTGGTCCAATATTCAGTTTGACTTTTGAGGTATTTTGTTGACATTCTTATAGTATCAGTTTTATTCTGATCTTCTGTAAAGTAAAAGGCAACATTTTATCAAAAACAGCAAACTGTAAAATGATGCCTATGAATGTCGGAATATTCTTATCCATGATGTATAAAGAAAAAGCTTTGTATAAAATTAAGTTCTCTAATGTTAGGTTGACGTTGTTATAGTTGTTTTTTTACATCATGCACGTAACTTACGTTTGCTACTTTTCATCAGGTGTAATCTAGTGACACCTATTTAAAACTTCTAAGACTTATACATGTAGTTTAAGTTTTTTAAATGTTTTGTTGCTACTTCTTATTCTTATAATATTTCACTGTCTCTAAAAGGAGATTACCTCATAACACTTCATTTTAATGAGGGTCGTTTAGTTCTAGAATAGAAATTAAACTGATTCTGGATGCGGTTTCAATGGTATGGACACAGATTAGGAATAGTTCCCATTTTGTATTTGTTTAGGCTATTTTTTTTAAATTATACATGTAAAACATACTTTAAATGTTTTTAGAGGCTTGTCATTTGATATCTTCTCACCATAAGCAAAATAAACTTCATGGGTTCAAGTATGAACCCACTTTTATACAGTTAGACATAGGCCATCTAGGAACCCTGAATAATTCAGTGTCTTAGTCTTTGTCAGGCCATGCCTAATGACTCATTTTTGAGGGAATGTTGTTCTCATTAAGTTGCTTATACTGTACATATTTTGTGTTTCAACTCACATGCTTAATTTTCTCCAATATTTATATAATTGCATAAAGGTTTTGCATACAGTAGATGGCAAGTTCTAAAAGACCGAGAAGTGAATATCTGACTTATCATTTGCTATGTATGTTGTTAGAAAAAAACAACATTCTTTTGCAAATATGATAAGGATTATCTTGCAAAACATGGCTTTACTTTGCAGGTATTACCAGCCCATTCATCAAACATGTCAACATTGCTGCAAAGCTGGGATGGGCATTCAGTGTAATTTCAGTACCTAAAAGTTACCTGCATGGCTATAAGAAACTGCCTTCACCATGAAAATGAAGGCTAAAATTAGTTTCTTATGTTTCTCAGCTATTGATGTGAATTTATTAACTGACGTTTTACAGCAAACAAAACCATACTGACCTTTTCCTTCTAATTTTAAAATGCTACGTTTTGTACGTGTACTGACACTTTTTATTCAGGGGTGAAAACCTTTTCTGTCTTCACGTAAGAACAGTTTGGTTGAGAAGTTATGAACTGTGTTAATTAATGGGAGAATTTAATTAAATAAGTGACCTCTATCAACAGAATTGAAAAGCGTGATTAACATACCCAATTATTTTCATGCTTAATTTACAATGCAAAATGTTTCTCAAGTCAAAACCCTTCAGATTTCTTTATTTGCATCACATCATATGCCAAGATTCTATTTAATATTTTTGCATTTTAATAACTTCCTTTTTTAACATCATATCCAGAAGCAGGTGTGAATACATCTCTATGCAATGTCCCCCAGGCATTGCATAGATTTTTATCAATAATTGCACTTAAACCCATTAACTAACTTACCTGTTATGTCTCCACAGCAGTAGATATTAGATATTTTATGATGGTATTCTTTTAATGAGACAATACCTGGATTCTAAGATGTTAAACTGCATTAGGATTTATGACATAATTTGTTGCAGAACATACAATTGTAAAAGGTAGGAATATTGTATTTGACAGTAGTAGCAAGTCAGAACATGACTGCATTGGTATATTACTGAAAATATAATTTTTTAAAACAGATTTGTTTCTTTAAATTGATTTGTTTTTGTTTGACTTTCTGACTGAAAACAGTTTAAATTAGGTACCACTGCTTTGTTTTTCTTATCCCATAGGCTCATTTATTTCATTTTTCACTGTAAGACGTTAACATTCATATTAGCCTTTATATTAGGAATGTGTGAGGAAAAAAAAAAGGGCGCAGATAGTGGTTGTATGACTGAAAGTGACAAAACTGGTCTGGGCCAGCATGTAAAATATGTATCCTGCAGTCATTCTCCTGCGTGCCTTCCATTTCATAAAATTCACATAGATTTGCCACTCATTTGAAATATTGTGATGTATATTAAAACACATGGTACTGTATTGATTTATACCGAAATGCTTCTTATGTATAGTATTGCAATGGATGTGTTTTTTTAAAAATATCTATATTTTTAAAATGTCTGATGAAACACTAATTTTTTTAGCCAAAGCATAGAAAATCTTCAAGGCTGTTTTTGAGATACGATTGGTTATTCTTTCACTGTACATAGTTGATGAACGGTTAATATTTGTAACTTAATTCAGCACATTAAGCTGCATGCCTTAATGCCAAAAAAGAGTTGCAAAACTATGGTCTGATCTTGCTTTTCATTGTTTTAGGATACATTGTAACTACCTTCAGAAAGCTAAGCAAGAGTAATTTATTTGCTTTATAGACTGTTATCTGTTACGACTTTGCCATTGTATTTTGGTAATAAATTGTTTTAAAATAGGTCTTTTTTGTTTCTTTACAAGCACCTTGACATGAATGATGTAACTGAAACTAGTATTTTATCCTGTTTCCAGATAGTTAACTCAATCTAGGACCCTCTTAAGCCTGCTCTTCACTTTTTGTTCAGAGCACTAGGCTATAAAAAAGCCCTTTATGTGTACATGACCGAGTTACAGTACCATTACAAAGATTTAATACTGTACTTTTCTAAATTGAAAAAAGCACCCATGAGCTCACATTATTCAGTTACATAGTGAGATATTAATTAATTCCTTTAGAATTTAAGGAACTTTTATGAGATTAGAGTGGGGAGCTGGGATTTACAGTACTTGTTACATTGGAACATGCTAAAAATTAGGAACAACCACAACATTTCAGCTGTTGACCCTTCTCCTGAGGGGGAGAGAGGAAGGTAGCAGGGATATAAAACACAGCAGAACTTTGTACAGAGCAGCTGAGACAGTGAGATCAGGGGGACCACATTTCATAAACACAGAAGATGATGGAGAGGCATAGGTCCATGAGGAAGAGTGTAGGATGCATTTACAGTGAATTTTTAGTCTAGATAAATGTCTTTAATAGTTGTTCTTAAATACCTTTTAGTACCTGCTTTTGGAATGCTGCAAAAAGGGAAAAAAATGGACATTGGGGGAAAAAAAACATTTTTCATATTTTCTTCAACTTTGCAAATACCAGAAAGAAAACGCTTAAGGTGACTAATTCTATCATTACATTTTATTACTGGGAATTTTAAACTGCACTTCTAATCAGCTCAAAAGTATTAGGAAGTTTTGATCTGCAATGGTGACATTTTCTTAGTGAACCAGAATTATTTACAGTACTACATAATTGAGTTTGTGTATATCATTACTTTGGAAAAAAAAACTGACACTTAAATAGCCCTGGAATTGAGCCAGAACCTTAGTCTGCTTCATTTTTACATCTTTAATATTTTTTATTGGTGTAAAAAGGTGTTTAATCTGAGTTTTTCATTAGATCTAGATATTTAGAAGCTTGCTGCCTTCTGCTGGAAACTTTTTTTTTTATAATGCAATGATCGGTTATCTCCTTGACTGCCTTTGAAGAGCTCCTCGTATGACCCATATATGTTACGAGTGCCATCTTCATAGAGCGTTGAAGGACATGCTGCTGTAGGGACATCTGGTCCAAGTGCTTTCGGTATAATTCCCTCCCTGTTTTCGTAAGTGACAATCCTGCGGGCTCTTCAGCAGCATTCTGTGCTGCTTTTCTGGTTGACAAGTAAAAATGAATCGATGTGCATTGCTTCTGTTTGTTAAACTCTAATGTGAATCAGATAATCAGATTAAAAAGACAAAAATGTAATTGTTTTATAATAAGTTATTTAATGTAACTAAGATGCAGAGTGATTAGGTATTGAAGATCTACCACATAACACGTTTTTCTATGAAAATGCCATTGAGTATTCATAAATCTTTAGCCTGTTTAAGCTCTTGGGGAAAAATCCTTACATTCAGGTATAATCTCTTATAAAAGCTTAACCCATTTCTCCTGTAATTGCTTGTGCTGTGCATAATGGCACGAAGACGTCACTTGAAATATGAAATGTAGAGGCATATAAAAAAAGGGGGATACAATTATTTTGTCTATTTTTATGCTTTGATGTTAGTGGCATTAATACCTGATTTCTCCAAAAGCCACTGTATTGCATGTAGTAAATGATGTAATAAATGTACACTGGAGTTTTAATACAATTTCATTCTCATGTTACACAAGAGTCACTTAATTGGCTGCAACTGGTTAGTTTTTAACTTTCAGATGAAATTAGAATAAGAAAAATATGGTCTTCTACTTTATAATAACCTATTTCCAAGAAATACTATAAAACAATTTTTATTCCTCTGACAATCTGGATCTAACAACACCGTGCCAATTTTTTTAACTTCTTTGATAAAATTGAACTCTTTCAAGTTCAAAACCTTTTCCCATGCCTACGTTAACAATCATGTTATGGTAAGAAATTCACTTTATTTAAATGAGATGGCACATAATTCGGCATCCACTTTTATAAACTACTGTAACTATGATAATTCATACTTTTAATCTTGGGAAGTGTAGAAATTGGAGGTATTACAAAGGATTTTCTGTCTTTTTAAAGAATGTTTTTTTTGCAATTAAAAATACATCAGCATAGTAGATTTGTGTCAGATTCTGGCAAGAAATCTGGGATATGAGCTTTTTAATAAATGCAATACCAGGTTTCAAAGAGTTTGTAATACGCTGAAGGCCCAGAGGCCAAGATTCTACCAAAAGAGAAATGTCCTTCAGAAACTAATTACCCATTTAAATATGCACAGAAAAACTGGGAAACTCCTTGTTTAACTTGTCCATTACTCACTTGTCCAGGAAGAATATCTTGTCCAGGAAGCCTGAAGATCAATAATTTTAGAAGCACTCTGTTGACTCTTAGGGTTGCGGTGGACAGCTGTTGACTGAGATGCAATAATTAGATATAAGATCTCATATAAAATCCAGAATCTTTTTATCCTTTCAGAGGCATAAAACCATGGAAATTTATAATGTTATGACCCTTGGGCATTAACATGAACAAGAAAACAGACAAATCAAACAACTGTGAAAGGGACACTGGTATGGTTTTAAGGTCTGTCATGAAAAAAACAAGGATATTTTTTGATAGGCATGGAAGGCACTATTTTCTGGTTGGGCCTGACTCTGAGCATCCTAGAGATAGTCTAGGATTTTATTTGGTCAGTGTGTTTAGTTGATTACCACTCTGAAGCCATTAACTCCATCACACCGGGAAACCCGTTGTCATTCATTAGGTAGTGAATTACTACAATAGATGAATCTTATTCCAGCCCCAGTGCCTTAGTATCACATGAGCTGTACGTGCAGCACAGTTTTAAATAGGTAAGGAATGCTCTCATTTAGTGTTCATACTCATTAAGTATGCAGTACTGAACTGTGCAATATGCTGTCTACCTAACACAGGGGTTGAGAAGATAACCTACCAGTGCAAGAAGAAAGTCTATTTCATGAGTATCTGAATATGGGTGTAAACTGTTCCAAACAAATGGATGATAAGATTTCCTGCAGGAGACAAAGCAAAACAATGTCTGTTAATATGCGCATACACTATCAGAAAACCTCTTAGTAAGGGCTACAGTAAGCATAAGTGTTTAAGGAAGTATCAACCAGTAGACAGGATGCCAGTCAATTGCAGGGTACACTCAAACAGTGATGATTTACAGACACCAGTTAAGCTGCTTGGGAGAGTGGGTGGAAATTGGAAACACCAGCCTACGTGGATGTGAGGGAAAGCAGGGAAACTCTGTATGGAATGTGCATCTCAGTCTGAGATCAAAACAAGAGCTGTGAAGCAACAGCAGTAACACACATGTCAAAGCACTGCCCAAAATCCATTAATCCATCCATTTTCTAAACTGCTTTTACTAGTACAGGGTTGCAGGGGAGCCACAGCCTGTCCCAGCAAACAACAGGCACAAAGATACAGAACATCCTGGACAGGGTTTCCGGTCCATCGCAGGACGCGCACACAGACACAAACACACACACACACTCACACCAGGGCCAGTTCTTCCAGAAGCCAATTAACCTATCGGTATGTTTTGTGGGATTGTGGGAGGAAACCGGATTACCCAGAAGAAAATCACATGAACATGGGAGATCACACAAACTCCGCATGGATTGCATGTGGAGGTCTGGAATTGAACCCGGGGCCCCAGTGCTGTGACGCAGCAATGCTCACCACAATGCCACCATGCCACCCAAAATCTGTTAATATGAAGTGAAACCAATAACACATATCCACTGATCTTACTCTAAATCTCTTATCTGCTATTTCCCCACTGTATTGAATTGAAATATACTGTTTATGCAATCTCCTACTGAGGCAATTACACAGTCACAGTGGTTTGCCTTTCATTAGAAATCAAAACCTCTGCAATGATAAACTAGTTACAGGCCCCGCATGAGACTCATCCACACCAAAAACAAAATTGATATTTGTACAAACATACAGTGATAATGTACAATTTAGGATTTAAGAAATGACGGCAGCAAAGAGAAAAATGTCAATCTGAAATTACAGCCTAATCAGGCAAAATTATCTTATTCTCTGGTTTAAAAGGATATAATCAGACATACTTTATATACATGTTACAATGATGAAACCTAAAAATAAAATCTGAGATTAAACTGAAGAGTAAAATAGAAGGAATAACCATGATAACCCCATTTTCTACAATTCTATTTTAAAACCTGATTGTCGCAGGCTTCCCATACTGTAATTTTAAAAGTGGTTATTGTTTTTGAGTATATATTAATGTATGCAATAAATGAATGACAATCCATTTAAGTTAAAAAATTATTTGCATGATAAAACATGTCATTTTGTTTCTTCTTAGTTTTTTACGTATCGTTAGTTGCCTTCAGGAACTCACCTCTTCGGCCGTTTTAAGAGGTTTGCCCGAGAAGTTTTTTTCATCTGAGCCTTGATCCTGTCCAGCTGCTCTTTGACCACCTGAGTGTGGGACGCGTGCTTCACCTGAGGAGGGACTGGCTTCTCCTGTGTTTCCTTGTAGTGCCTCTCCTTGCTGTCCTTGGGATCCTCTACTTTCAAAATAAGGCACTTAAAAGAATAACAAGGATAGGGAAGAAGCAGCACAGATGCAGTAAACCGCAAGATCCAGAAGGGATGACATACAGAACCAGTCTGACCTCGATTTCCTCTTTTTCACACTCATTGGAAAACCACCAAACACAATACAGGGAACAGAAAACCCGGTTGTTAAAGGATGAGAAAGTGCAATAGTAACACACATTTCCTAGAGAGTCAGGTCCGTGGTGATCGGCCTGCTTTTGTGGGTTTTTTATTTGTTGTCTTCACTTTGAATGCGTTCTATGATCAGTATTTGTACTTTTACACATAACGAAGGTCTCAGTAACTGGCAGTGAAAAACCCAAGACATGACTCATCCCATTCTGTCAGGGACATTCATCAAAGTAGCTTTTGTCAGATGACACTTAAGTTTCATCTGCTGTTAAGATGAAGAGTCAAGCAGTCAAGCGGAGTCCTAACGGCAGACTACTGGTGGGTGTCAATCGTGGGGCAGAAAGTTTTAATATAAGGAGCAAAACACAAATCTATACCTACTGTACATGTCTACAACAGGAAACCACTGCTTGAAATGTGTTTTTACTGTGCTGTTCATTCATGTGCTTGGATACACCATACCTCCCTTTCTTGGTGCTGCTCTGTCCGTCCCCTCCTCCTTGAAGCTGTCTTCATGTGTGTCTGGTTGTACAACACTCGCAGATTTTGAGTTCCATGATTTCCTGAGCTGCCCCTTGTCTGTGTGAGTAGATATGCCAAGAATAAATGTAACCACCAAAATAAGTACAGTACTTTCAGAAAAATAATCATGGGGTGATTTGAACTGCAGACAATGAAAATCAGATAACCTGGATGGGGTAACATTCAGGTGCCAGAGAATATGCATAGATCTACAGTAGCCCTTTGCTTACCTTAATGGCTACGAGTAACATATTTAGGTTATTTAGGCTGATTGATTGCCAAGAATGTATTAGTAGATCAGGACAAAAATTATCATAGAATTATCATATCAAAATACAAAATCGATTTCTTTTCCTCCACGTGAGAGCTTAGTTTCTGATGATAGTTTGAATATCCTCAGTTATGTTATCTTATTATTATTTTATTGTTGTTATCTTATTTGAACATATTCAAACTTCTGTTTTTGATGCCAGCTGGAAAAACAACAATACATTTTGCACCATTTATTGTTCTACATGTTGTAACTCTTAAACTTCAAGTGCTGTGATCTGCTTTCTAGTTCACCTGCGAAGTGGACAACTTGCCTTTTGAGTCCTCATTTGTTGCGTTATCCTCAGAACTTGATCTGCTTTTGCTAGCTCAGTGGGAAACAAGGCCACATTCTGTCATTTTCAGGATTTACTTAATTAAAGGCTTGGAATCTCCAGTTTCCCCAGACCGCCCTGCGAATAAAGAAGCTAAATTGTATTAAGGGAGCTCTGAGTACACGTAATGTTAGCTTCTCTGTCATGGTAACAGTTGGTAAGGTGGTTCGTTTGCAATACAAACCTACTCAGTGGCAGGCCAGGGTAAATACAGAAGATATTTTGAGGGTTGGTCATGTATTAACTTAAGCAGTCTCGTTCAGGATATTTAAGAGAAAGTTTTGTACTGTAGTTGTGTGGAACATCAGTTGTCTCTGTTCATCACTAGTTTGCACTGAAATGTTGTGCACAAAACATTGTAACATGAAAAATTATACTTTTTACCATTTGAAATAATACATTTCAGACTCATTTCAGGTATAACATACCTTAAGATGGGCCACCACGCCAGAGCTGCGTTATAATATACCTTTATTTTTAATCTCGGAAAATGCAAACCGATATTTCTTTAATGTACTGTGCCAATACAAAAAAAAACTTTTGATTCACACAGATAAAGCTGTTTCGTCGAAAGTTTTCTATAACATTTTATAGTTTTTTTTATTCTCACCATTCATTGGTTGAACAGAAACAGGAAAGTTGTAATAGCGACTGAAACGTGCTTCACTTACAGTTTGTTCTGTGCCGATTCAACCTTTATAGCAAGCTGTCATTTATATACATTAGGGGAACATCCTTTTTCGGTATTGGATGAGCATGTTCATATGATTTTTTGGCTTCGATTTGCCTTTTTCTCTTGCTTTGATAAATGCATTATTGCTCAACGATAGTCCTACCAACTCATACAGTATGTAGGTATTTGAACACTAAGCTGTCGTTTTTGTTACTACTGTATATAGCAGCTGGTTGGGCATTTTAAACTATCCCCCTTTCCAACTTTGTGAAGTTTTGCTGCCTCTTCACTGTCATAACCGAGAAGGTAAAAAAAAGAATCGCCATAAATTAGCTACAGACACTGTTACATGTTGGCCCGGGTGATAAAAGCACTATCACAAAAATGTTTCGAGGACAAAACGGAGTGTCCATTCATCTATTCATCTATTCTTTTCTTCAAAACGGCATAAGCCATACTCACACTCACAGCCTCTGCCTGGTAGAGAACAACTGGTAGGTGTCCCGAGTAAGACCTGCACTTTGAAAGTGAGTGGCAGTTCAGTGAATGAAGGACGTGTTTTCTGATCGTTTGCTCGTGTAATGTTTTTTTTTTTTTTCAGGTTGCAAAGAGCGAATTTGAGCTTGCAAACCGCAGATCGCAGGGGATGTAACAGGGGGTACGGAGTGACCGAGATTAGCGAGTGATGCGATCTGAGATTTCATGACATCTAAGCAGTTGCCGTGTGCAGGAAACGCCGCTGCACAACAGGCCTGTAACACAGGCGAATGTGTCTGAAACAAAATGCCTTAAGTGTAGCTTCTTCTTGGATTACCAGGACAGATTTCGTGTGCGTTTGCATTAATCCGTTGGCCAAAATGGTTAGAATATGTGAAGCTAGATGGCTTTTTGCACGGATGAACAATCGAAAGCGAAATGTTACAGATATAGCATTTATATTTGCAGGACGTTATGGAGCTTTTTTCTATTCATGCTTGTGTTAGCGGACGAACAGTAGATGCTATAAATTGTTATCCGTGTGAATAATGCACAGTATTTAACCATATAACCATTTATTTTATCGCAGAGCGGTCACCTCCAAGACGGGATGCAAATAGTTATATCTCGTTATTTGCCCACAGTTGTTAATTCAGTTTTAATTAATGCCATTGTGTTGTACTCTTCATAGAGCTGGAGTACGATAAGCGGTGAACTCGGACCTATTCAAGATGTAACGCAACGTTCATATGTATCTGATAAGGCTACAATAATTGTGTGCTGTTTTACATTACCAACAAGTTGTATTGCGTTACCTAATTTTCGTCACTTTCAACCTTTTCAGGTTGTACTGGGATTTTTAAACAAGACAACAGAATTTGTATTTGACATGTCGCTTCTTAGCTGTAATTAGGTCTTCTTAGTCACGACATTTTCCGTAGCGTCGAGATAATTTAGTGTTGGGCAAATGGAGTCCTGTCCCCCTTGTTATGCAGGGTAAACGTTGTCAGATATTGTAACCGAAGCAGTAATGATTGCACAATTGCCTTTGGTGACTGAAAAATATACTGTACTACCCTTCTTAAATTGGAATTTTTGTTTAGCTTCAGTCTAAGTTTTTACCCCTTTTATCAAAAGTTTTCCTTTGTCGTTTTCACAATTATTTTGGAATAGCGACCTGCAACGGACCACACAATGTAACAGCAGTGCATATAGCGTTTGTACTGCTGGAATCAGCAGAATAATACTCTAGTGTGGCAATGAATGGGTTACAGAACCGCCTCACTACAGATGTTACCGGTCAGTGCAATGGTCAGTTATCAGCGAGTTAGGAGAGGGTTTGCTGGAAGTTTCTTGAACACTTTCGCCGTTTTCCAGATTCACTGTTGAAGCATGACTGCTCTGAGGCAGAGGAAGGGCAGCCGGTCCAAAGAGGTGCCCAACGAGAATCAGAAACTAGAGACAGCGCAGGACATCAAAGACCAGACCCCAGCAGGTACAGTAGGAGGACTGGATGTGAAATCTTTGAAATATACAGCATTTAAAAATTAGTAAGGATAAGACATAAGGTTAGATGAGGAAAATCCTTTTTTTATCTAGTTGCTAGGGAGATGTATCTGTGCCTCCACAAAATGTGGTGATTCCATCCCTATCCGACTTCATCAAGTTTTAGTATTTTTTTTCTTTTTTAAATCTTTGATTTGTACAGTATTTATGTTGGTGGTCTCAGTAAAATGCATTTTTCTCAGGTGGTGCAGTATGGGCCGTCGTGTGGACAGTGACTGGATCTATCTTGGGGATGATCTTGGGTCTGTTGACTTCTGTCTATGTGGCAACTTTACACGAAAATGACCTGTGGTTTTCCAATATCAAGGTAAGATCTCAAAGATAGTTCTAGATATCATGGTGTCTTGCAAAAAAAAAAGTTTTATTTTACATTGGTGTGTATCATCATTATGGTCTCTTACAAGAAATATACCAGAAAAAATTGGCATTTTTCTAATTATATACCTAAGTCAGTTCAGAGGCTTTATATTTGTGTCAGCCTCGATTAACAGAACATTCTATTGGCATTCTCTTTTACAGAAAGCTGTAATGTAAGATCAGAAATTATGTATACAGTGGATCTCCATACATCTTGACATCACAGTCCTTTAATTTGTTAACATGTTCAGCATTAAAGTTATGACACTGTCTCTGGCCCTTGTAATGGTTTAAAAAATAAGGAAAAGACAAGAAAAGGTCATGCACTGAAATACTGCATCACTGCTTTGAAATATTAATAGATTTAGGCATTTTACTTTTGCTTTTGCATTTGGTTGCCTTATGAATAAAACATATTAAAACTGCACACAGGAGCAGTGTGTAGTGAGTTATATTCCAGATGCTACTTCATTATAGACTTTCTGAGTGCTGAGCCAGTGTTTTCTTCTTTATAAATATAATGTAGCCTTTAGTGTTTCAGTGCTGCAGTGGAATAGTAGTTTACTAATCCAAAAAACATTACATTGTGGTAACTTTGATGTTCACTCTCTGTGGTGGTGTTTCATACATAAATGAAAACATTTTATCAAAATAGTTTTAAATATGGGATTCATAGATACTTTTTCTGTTCTTTTGAAACAGTAAAAAACTTTAAACCATGCCTTTTGGAAACAAACAAAAAATGCATCAGAGTTAAAAGGCAGATGGCGATTTCTTGGTATAGGTGAAATTCTATTATTCTTTGTTTACATGGAGGAAAAAAATGAAGTCATTCTTCTGCATAGGGGGCTGCTGCTGTATAATGGCTACAGTACAGTATATCACCCAGGTGAGGGCTTCTATTCAGTGTTGGTTAAGTGGGTTCCCTCCTATATGTAATGTGCTTTGTGATCTTTCAGTACCATAGAAAATGCAATTTAAAAATCTTTTTAAACATCATATATAATTCCTCCATCTAAATCATTCATTTATTGTAGTTCTAGTTTTGTAGTTCCAGTCATGTTATTGAAGCAAGTACCCTGGCTTCTTTCAAGGAATGGTTGGATCAGATGCTTGGATCGATTAGCTACTAACTACCAGTCAAGCGAAATGAGCAGGATAACTTTTGGTTCTTTGTAATCATTGTTTTGTTTATAGTACATGTTGTACATTCATATTTTGGCTTTATTGTTTTTTTATTGCTGTTTTGAGCTGTATTGCATTTATTTCCAAGAAAGCAAGCAGATGTTCTCATTTATAATAAATCCGGGTCAGTTTCTATGTTTTGGCTTGGATGATATGTATTCAATTGGATACATTTCTAGAACACAGTGTTTAAAAAAATTCATTATGGAACAGGCAAGTCAAATTCCATTCTGCAGGGAGTTACCAGAGTGCTGATTGTGTCTGTAAATACTATTCCAGTTTTATTTATAAACCAGATTTCTGACTGAATCTCATATTTGAAGTGTAGGGCCGAAATAAAAGTGCACATAGCAAGAGGAGAAAATATAGAATCATTTTACAGGTTATTTTGCTCTTCCCTTATTGTTTTTACTGTGACCTTTGTCACTGCAAGATTAGAGTAACACAGGAATCAGGAACATTTCAATTTCGCAGTGCAGAAGAAAGAAACCGAAACACTTCCTACATTGCAGTGTTGTCAGCTTTGAAACAGACATCATGACATCCAACCATATTTTTCCAGACAGAAATAATTACAAGAGAAAGGCTTCAGTTTAATTAAAGTTTAACACCTTATGATTGCGTTATTCCATCATCATTGCACTAGAAATACAGTATTTTTAGCTTTGTTTTAAGAGAGGGCTTTGCACAAATATCCTGCACATGTTGCGTCTGAGTTTAAAACAGATGCAGCTTCCCTACCGTCTGTACTCTTAAATGTTCATGTGGAAGGCTGTTGTTCTGTTGGAAGCGGCTGTTACTTTGCCTCTGAATTCGTCAGGTGTGAAATCACCATTATGACATTTATAGTACTTGCCGGGATTATTTTAGGGTGTAGTTATTCTTGTCTTTAAAAATATCAGTAGCCTTAAAACTGGCTTAACATTTTCCAAAACACATCCTAAGTTGCTTTTACTGCTGTGACGAAAGCCCAGCAGTCATGCACATTCTTTGTATCTACCCCAGTAACTCTTTTAAGAGGTTTTTGAGCCCCTGACAAAGAAGAACACAGCTGGGATTGCTGCTTCGATTTCACTTCCAATTCTGAATGCATTTTATTATTTTCTCATGGAAAGTGTTGCATTTATTAAGAGCAAAACATAGGTTTAGTGGCAGGTTTCCTTTAGCTTAACAGTTATTTCATGAAAAAGCAATGTGATCATTCTCAAAGTCTATAATGTTAAACATCTGGATTAGGTTGAAATGTGTATTTTGTGAGGTATTCTTTCAGGATATTCATTGTACATTGCCTCTGAATCTCAGTTCTTGAAAAAGCGCCACTGGTCACTTTAGGAAAATGGGAAGTTAGGGTAAATGCACAATATTGCTGTTAGAAACTGTCATGGTGGAGTTGAGAAGAAGGAAAAGTTATCTAGGAAGGCATTTATTATTTTTCAATGAACAGAGTCTACGGTATTCTGGGATGAAGATCGGTTTAAGTTGTGTGAAAGAAAACCTCCAGCACTTGTATTTGATGTCAGAATTTGTTCAAAGTGGTATTGAGTTCGTTGTAGGTTTGGCCTTTGCTTTTGTAATGGGATTCTTTCACTCTTGGTGTAGTTATTCTTTGCATGAACATCTCCTGTAGTTTTCAAACCTAAAGGTAAGCAACACTTGATTGATGATTTCAGCACTTTAATGTTTCACAGAAGTGATTGTATTTCCTGCTATGTTTATTTTACAAGTAATTGACTGTTAAGAGTGCAGAGTGCTAGAGACTGTTAGTGTGTATTGGTGTGCCTTTTGTACCTGTAAAAAAAGTATTTCTTTTTGTGAACTTACCATTAAATCCTGATCCAATTGCAGGAAGTTGAGCGTGAAATTTCCTTCCGAACTGAATGTGGGCTCTACTATTCCTACTACAAGCAGATGTTACAGGCTCCATCTATAAAGCAAGGTAGTTTTTATTATTATAAACTAAGTCCTGAGTTTATATTGGATCAGTTTGGAGGAATAAGTAGACTGAGTATTTTAAAATCTTATCAGAGGAAGATGTAACAAATCAGTTGCTTAAGCTCTACTTGAGTATAAAGATAATTTGCATATTTATAAATTAGAGGAGTTGCTCTTTTATCAAATAAGAGGCTGTTTTCTCAACCTCTTTCTCACGTGTGTATTATAGGCACTGTTGCAATGTTGCACTGAATGTGTAATGTAACCTTGGTAACAACCACTTGGGAAAAGCAATAATATAAGATAAATGCTAAACTAAAATTTGTATTGAGACATTGAAGCATTGTGCCGGTTTGTGAAAAGCACTGTAAGTCTTTCTGAAAATTATGTCAGTAGCCCTGAGGATAGTTTTCATTAATATTTTTTTGTGTGTCTTTTATTAGGGGTTTTTGAGCTGATCAATGACAACAATACAGAATCCAAAAGAACAATTAACCTTCTGCAACGTATGAACATCTATCAAGAACTGTTCCTTAGCATTCTTTACAGAATCCTGCCTGTTCAGGTAAAATGACACATGCTACTTGGATTGCCATGCATAAGCATAACACTGCTGCCATTATATCTACATTTTATTCATTGGTTCATTCAGTGCATAATAATTTTCATGAAGTGAGCTGGAATATATACTTGTCGATAGACTTATTGTTATGTTCCTATAAAACAGTAATCTGACTTTGCCATCTCTTGGATAATATTTCAATGCAGACCTTTTTATTTTCCAGGAGTATCTAGAGCCTGTGTATTTCTACATTTACACTGTGTTTGGCCTTCAAACAGTGTATGTCATGGCTCTTTACATCACCAGCTGGCTGCTCAGTGGAACGTGGTTAGCAGGAATCCTCACTGCCACCTGGTATATTCTGAACAGGTACCACTAACCTGAAAAAACTGATCCACAGTACTGCACTCTTCAGTTGTAGATGAGATTGAGAACTATCTGTAGCACTTTTTCACATGCGTCAGTCAGTCACTCACTCACTGTAAAGGAACAAGTGATAGGTTTATTCCATGCTGAAAAGAGAAGAGAGAAAATGCAACATTTCGGCTATGAAGCCTTCTTCAGGTGTGGCGTGTGCTAACACCTATAAAAAAGCATGGAATAAACCTATCACTTGTTCCTTTGCAGACCGGGCATGCTGACGCTGCTACCCACCTCAGCTTCTCACTGAAAACCTTCAGCAGTTGAGTATGTATTTTTGATGCGTGCCTTTCAAACTAGTGGAGAGGCAAAAGGTGATGCCCAGGGTGCTCGAAAGAACTGAATTCTGTTTTTACATGTTCAGGGACCTAGGCATCCACACTCATCATAAAAAAAGAATTGAAACACATAATGTAGGTGTTTGTTTCAAAGTAACTGAGTACACTGAAAATTAGTTGTTAAACCAAAATGTTCAGTAATATTACTATTACAAGACTGAATGTATGTAATAGTATATATCAGTGTGTGTTTAGTAGCAGACTATCTTGGAAGCTGTTTTATTCACTGTTTAGGATTTATACTTTCTCAAGCATCTGACACTTTCCTTCTTTCCCATTGTATTTATGCCAGCAGCATTGCAATCTTGTAGCCCAAACCTGTCAGGTCTTAGAAGCTACACAAGGCTTCTTCAGATTAAATGTCCAGATTGTGTTCAGGTTAAAGTGCATAAAAATGCAAAGGTTTTAGTTACACTGTAACTGTTCTCAGGATGCACTTTTGTCTGATTTCTTCTTTTTGTTCCATGATACAGAGGGTATCCAATTTGAATGTATAGATGGGATATACAGAGGGTATCTTTCCCATCTGAGTGTATTTTGATCTTAAGCAGGACCTACACACCATTCAAGAGGTTAAACTGTGGACTTTTAAAGGCTAAACAATTGACAGTTCTATTTTGGCTACAAGGATGTGGCATGTCTTGTAAATCCACTATTCACAAAGGCTGAATTCATGTTCTGATCTTCATGATTTAACACATTGATGTTGTAGTTTTACTGTTGAGCATCTCTACATAGGAATGTCCGTGTGGTGTTTTGCTACAACATGCAAACCACCTACACAGGAATACTGTTTTTTTTTCACACATTCCTGCTGTGGGACAGCAGACCACCAGGTGGTGGTAAAGGGTTAATTCCTCTGACTTTTCTTTCAGAATAGATACCACCCGAGTAGAGTTTACCATTCCTCTGAGGGAGAACTGGGCTCTCCCATTTTTTGCCCTTCAGGTGGCTGCTATCACATATTACTTAAGACCACATCTGAAGCCACTGCAGCAGGTAAGAAGGAAAAGTAGAATTGTGTGTTCTGCTTTAAGGACTTATATTAATAACTGATGCTTTTTGTACCCTGGATTTGAAATAAAATCTTTAACATACCCAGGTATTAAAAATGCTGTATAATAGAATTGGCAAATCTGACCATTAATAAAGCATTATAGTGTGGTATTGAATCAGATTTAAATATGAATAGGCAGATTACATCATAATCTGGAATTTATTAAGTACTTCAAGGCTTATGCTAGAAGATTAGTCTTCTTAGACTGTTCTGTTGAATTGTATTTTAATGTAATTTTCACTGTGTGTTAAAGTGGACAGTATAAAAGTTCTGTGGAATGTGCACATGCAGATACCACGATTCAACAGTCCTGATATTTGTAAATGTACCAAAAATTAAAGAAACATTTTTTTGTTTTTGTCTTTTTTTCTTTCAGAAACTGGTACTTTCACTGATCTTCATATCAACGTTATGCTTTAGTTTAACCTGGCAGTTTAATCAGTTCATACTGCTCATCCAGGCCTTTGTTTTCTTTTCACTGGACTGTTTGGACTTGGCTGTACCCAGACAGGTGAGTTGTCTTGGTGCATTGTCATTTAGGGGACTCAGTTCTGTTTCTGAACTGCCTTTCTAATGGACTGTGATCGTATATATATACTGTATGAGGCTTCTAAAACTATTTTCACAGTTGTGTTTTAGAGGTGTGCACCATGAAGCAATAAAATCTGGTCCATGTGTAGATTGAACCATTCAGCATTTACCCCATTCTAGCCCAGTCTCAGAAGTTAAAGATGGCTGGGCCTGGCCAGTACCAGGATGCAAAACAATTTGGTGACCAAAAACAATTTTGTAGGAGCAAGCGTCCTTCAGATGAGCTGTTATGTTGAGGAGATTCAAGTGGGGGGCTGTATCAGTGTGTTAGCTAGGAAAGGACTGAGTAGGGTTGATCACACTTGCACTTTTCTAGCTAACTGCTTCATAATGGCTGCCACAAATCACAAAGGTGGGTGCTACACTTCAGTGGTGAATGAAGAGGGTCCCCACCTAATTGTAAAGAGCTTTGGGGTGAAAATGCTATACAGGTCAATGGATCTGTTTGGGATTTTTATTTATACTATACTGTTCATTATTTTATTATACATTATTGTTATCATATATTGTTGATTCATATTATTCCCTTGAATACCACTTTGCATCTGAGGAGCTGCATTGGATAAATAATCAAAGGTTAATTCTGAGCTAAAAAGTTGAAAGTAAAAAAAAACAACACTTCGACTGTTGAGCCTTCTTCAAATGTCATGTATTAATGAGCTACTGAACCACACTTCCAAAGCTAAATCCCATGCTTCCTTCAAGTAACGGCTGGGTGAGAGTATTTTACCAATTAGCTGCTAGCAACTAAACAAGCTTTTTGGGCCTTGTTGTTTGCAACCTTTCTTGTGTTCTTCTGCAGCTGTTCACAGTCACAAAGCTCAGGTTGGGAGGTTAAAGCATCATCAAAAAATGTATTGGGAAATTGTGCAAAATAAATCCTGCTAATTGGGAAACACTTGGAACTTGTAACTGGAGGTGCATACAGCATATACAGTACATCATTATGCGTGGTCCCTGTAGAGGATTTTCATAAATAACATGAATTCTTATTTTTAAAAAGAATTTCTTTACATTGACTACTTCTATGAGCTTTCCATGATTTTTTACCCATTTATTGTGTATACTGAAGTTTGAAAGAAGTGTTTGTAAGAGGTGACTGTCATCTGCTCACAACATCTTGCATTCTGAAAGGCAAATGATCTGAAGATTCAGACAAATTTACTCAAGTTGTGTTTGAATATTTCCATAGGTAACAGCTTTGTACCTTGTTCATGCTGTAAACCTGTTCCTGGTATGGCTACTGCAGTTTTGTAACTCAATGCTTCTGGGATCCCTGGTGCTAAGCTTCATCTTTGCTGCACTGATCGTCAGGCACTTTCAGGTAAAGAGCGCCAGGTTGGGACCTGCCAGTACTTGAGGGATATCGGTATGAATACAATGCAAAGAGGCAAAATCTGGTTCCTCAGGGTCAATGGATTCTTTCTAGGAAAGAGAGAATGTGGAAATCAAGGATGCCGTTCATGAGATTCATAGCAGTAGTGTTGCTCAAACCCAGCAGTATGAATTTTTTTTAAATCCCCTGGTCCCCCCCTCTCTGCATTTATTCATTAACCTTGGTTGGGCTTTGTCAAAGGAGACATAATGCTTTTCATTGCTGGCTGACTATCATAGTGCCTGTAAAGTCGCTACCAACAGAACATCATAATCAGAAATCCCTTAAAACGTACATAAGTGGACTGCATGCTCTGTTATTTGCAGACTGCTCATCTTATTGTGGACGAATAGCCTGAAGGTATAAAGTTAGAAAATATCAAGTGTTGTATTCTTCAGTGATTTAAGCATGAACATTTAAGGGAAACACTGTTCTTTTTCAAGATTAATCTATTTTCCAATAATGATAGGAATGGAATGGACACTCAAGAACACTGCTCTCTTTTCAATGCTGTTGGCGTTGGGTGGTTCTAATTCAGATGTGCTTTTGTATTTCCTAACAGAGGAACCTGAAAGTTGGCAGTTTCCCAGTAAGGATTGGAAAGCTGTTTGTCCACTTGATTCTTGTTTTCAGCTTAACGTTTATTTTCAATTATTTTGCAAAGGTGAGATTTGTTCACTACTGTCCCCATTTAAAATGTGCTCACAACTGACATATTCTGTACCTTAAATTTAATCTCATGTGTGTTAAATAATTTACAAATATTTAAGTATTTACTATGATTTCTTCTTTCATTTGCTCTTTAATATCATCACACATGTGCCGAGTTCTGAGTGTTTTTCATTGTTTTTCCTAACGTGTATTACAGAAAGCTCTGATGCTCAAATCTGATGAACACATTTATAAGTTCATAAAAGCAAAGTTTGGACTTGGTTCAACCAGGTATGAGAGACTTTTAATTCCCCATAAGTCTTTTGCTGTTAATTCTAGACATGTTTTATCTTAATACCGTTGACAGCTTAACAGTTTGTGTTTTATTTCTTCACTCTTGTAAAAAGCACTGTGTACTTTGTGCTTTCATATTCATATTTTTCTGCCTTCTCTTTTTCTGCTTCAGTCATTTTTCCAGATTTATTACAGAAGAATTTGTGAATTGTGTTGATAAACAGGCCTGTGCTTTCTTTATTTTATGATGCCCTAGACATACAGTACTGAATTACAATATACCTGGAACTGGGAAAAAACTGAAAAAATCAATTTTGACATATTACTTTTTTTGGTGTACCTCATCAAACCTTTCTCAACAGAGACTTCGATGCCAAGTTGTATCTGTGTGAGGAAGCTTTTGGGCTGATGCCCTTGGATACATTTGAACGTTTGGCAGGCACCCTGGTGCTGTACCCTTATATATGTGCCCTTACTGTCTTCGTGATCATACTGGCATGTGTTGCTGTTGGGAATCTAAGGTACACTGTGTTCCCCTGAGCTCTAGTTCAACTGTGAACAAATTAGATTATCTTCTGTTTCTGACTATGCATTATTATAAACTGTTATTATGATGAAGACGTGCAATAAATTGTGTTGGTACAAAGTGATCCTGTCTAGGTGTAATTTAAATGTCTAGAATGTGCTAAGTGTTATTGCACCTCCAGCTTGTGTGAGTGGGCTGTTTGCTTTTTTCAATCAAGATGGAGTCTTGCTGTAGGCAACAAGGCTTTGTAGTAATCAGCATGAAAGATGCTAATCACTTGTCTCAATAAAGATGTGCTTTATTACACAATTAAAGTTGACTCCTTTTTAAGACAAGTGCGTTTATTTGTGCCTGTACTGTATATCAATAAAAAATGTATATGTGCGTATAAACTGAATCTGATTAAGTCACCATACAACCTTGTTTGTTCAATTCCTGTTTTAGTGATTCAAATGGCAGACCTCCGCAGACCCAAGAAGAGGAGAAAATGATAAATATAAGACCAGACGTTGCCTACAATGTCTTACACACTGTTTTCTTTGGGCTTCTTGCATTCAGTACAATGAGGTAATAATATAACTTGCTAAAACATTGTGCATTGAAAAGAATCTGAACCCTGAACATTATCTCTTGAGCTCTAACAGCGGTGCTGTTTTTCTACAGAATGAAGTACCTATGGACTGGCCACATGTGTGCTTTCGCAGCATATGGGGTGTGTAGCAGAGAAGTGTGGGGGCTGTATCTAAAAGTGATCCGCTTCCACACAAAAACAAAGGTGAATTACCATCCATCCAACATCGTACAGAATCGTTAGTTAAGAAATTGTTTCTAAGTGACACACTTAATGTTCAAATTTGACAAGACCACTGCATTCTTGGAGATTTGTTCCTTTATCCAATTTTAGTTTTCTATCACATTTTAAGTACTGTCCTAATTGGATGGGTATTAAGAAAATGCTGATGCCATACCTGTATCTTAAGCCATGCCTTAAGTTTTCTTTTTTAACATTTCACCATGTCTTCTGAAACAGCACAGCACACAATTGCTGTTCAGTGTTGATTACATCCACAGTGCAAGCCAGGGGTGGGCAGTGCTGCTCAAGGTGGGACAATATATCTTCAGGTATAGGGTCTCCTCAAAAGACCAGTACCTGAAGCACTGAGAGGAGCTGGTCTGGTTAAGCCAATAACTAGGTGATTTCAGTTGTTAAGAGCTGAGCTGGACACACTGACCTACCTGGACCAAGATCGGATACCCATGGTTTAATATAGGAGGTTTTACTTTGTATGTGTGTGGGCATGTACTTACTGCCTTGGTAATTACACAGAATGCAGTATGTGCGAATCTGACCTTGCTACATTGTTTAAAAACATATCATCATTAACTGAAATGTTTTACCTGGACCATAAAAACAGGAACATATTAAAATTCAGAAACTACCAAAGTCACCACTAGATGGAGAGAGAGGCACAGTAAAATTCCTTCAAATAAAGGTTATAAGGATGGTTTTGAAATAACATTTTTCAATGGGATGTTTTTATTTTCTTTAAAAGTGTCTTGACATTTCTTTCACCATGTTTATTATTTTTTTCCTTGCTCCTTTTTTTCTTATTTTAAGGAACAGCTGATCCGATACACGGTCCCTTTTTTGATTCTTGCTTTCCTTTATTACAAGGTGAGTTTCAAATTTATGTAATCACCATCACTCAGTTCATGACTACAATGCTATATGTGAAATCTTGCATCTGAAGCTTTTTGAATGGCAGTGGAATGTGGCTCCCAAATCAAAGATGCATGTCCACTTCTCTAGTTTTAACTTGGTTTATTTTCTAAAGGTTTAGTCCCTGAATGGGAAATTGGATTTCATATTGAAAAATGAGCATACCAATTCATTCCAAGTCATTTTGCAGGAGAAAATAGTCATTTTGCAGCTGACATTCATAAAAATACTTATAGTACTTGGCTTAACAACCTCTTTTCAGTGATTTAGTTTCAGTAGCAGTAGCATGTTTGATTTCTTGTATCTTACCAAGGTACGGAAATCAGATACTTTGTACTTTGTCTTAATTATTTAAGATTTCAAAAAACAAAATCTTGATACATTCTAACAGAGAGCAGGGATTGAAGAATAGTACATATGTAATTACATTTCTTAAATGTGAAGGGTTTCTTTTTTAATTCTTTCTTTTGCTTTCAGAAACAGCACAGCTGTATCTTCTGATATGGCTGCATGATTATTTTTCTGCTAAAAGATTTGATCAGAATTTATAGGCAGTACAGTAGGCCACATGATGTTCATGTTGTATTGAATGCTGTGAAATTATCAGACCTTGAGATACGCATCTTTGAAATCACTACCATTTAAAGGCTAATTTCCTCAATGTTGTTTTTGTTTGTTTTGTGTTCTGTGTACTAAGTTCTGGCCCAAACTGATGGAAGAAATTTCAGAACTGAGAGAATTTTATGACCCAGATACAGTAGAACTGATGAACTGGATTAGGTAAATATTTTTTTATCCTTTAAAGGAAGAAAAGAAGATTTTCTTATTTTAAAGATCAAATTTGGTGGTAATGTAATCGACTCTACTTACATGAATTACAGATTAGGATATACAGCATGAATAAGACATACTGCCTTGGAAGTGGCCCAGCCACTGGCAAGGATTCAGCCTTGAGTGGAATAATGCTTGAATAAGATTGGAGTTATGTGATTTACAGGAATTGGCCAAATTCATTTTACACTTTTAAGATACACTACTCTGGAAACTAGGGCACCTAGATGTAATGAGATTCTATGAGGCTCCAGAAGAAATCTTTATTCCTGTGATGGATTTAGTGTGTCAATTTACATTCACGCCTTTACAAGATTCAACAGGATGTACATCTGAACTAATTCTTTCCCACTGGTAATTAAATTTAGATGAAAGAGTTAAGCAAGGATCATGTTTCCTGAAACCCATGGCTAGGAAATCTTTTTTTTTAATATGTAGATTACTCCATTGCAACCTCAAGCTTTAAATCGTGTGCAAATAATCTAGAAAAAAACTTCAATTAACCATTTGCAGAAAAAAGTCAAATGTAATCTTGCTAAATAGTGTATTTCTTGTTAAACTATCTCTTGTAAAACCAACCTAATGATAACATATTGTGAAAAATGTGTTTCTGTGATCCCCTTACAATTTTGAATATTATCGAAGGTCTAATGCGTTTGCTTTCAAAACCGAAGTGGAGTAAAATAAATCAAGGTGTTTCTAAAGGTTACTGATAGGAGTATTACTTAGCTGGAAGCATTAATTTGCAGTACAAGAAATGTAAAATAACAATGAATGTCATTCAGGTAGTCATTTTGACATTAACAGATTTTTAAAGGATCACAGTTATACACTGTCACGTTGATCATTTGATCACATCCTTATCTCTTCAAATCCTAGGTGCCATACTCATGTAATGTTCCACAACTATGTCACAACTATATTTCTTTCTTCTACTTTAAGCGGTTGTATTATTAGTCACAGCTAAATAGAAGTCACAAAACTCATCACTAATCATCAGTAGCTGGTGTCACTGCCTCCACCTGGGTGACTTCTGTGAGTTTCAAGCAGCTGCACAAGTTGCTTAAATTTAAGTTGCATGATTTTTTCTAAACAATCCCAAATCTGTTAACATGGCTGTTATGATCAGTGATAATTACTGTATGATAGTATACCCTCTCAAAAAATGACTCATAATACAGTTCTGTAGATTTATGTAGAAAGTAGAAAGTTATGTAGAGTTGTAATTAATATGCATTCCAGGCAGCAAAGGGATATTTCTACAGCTCTATCTGGCAGAGCAGGAACAGTGATTAATTATATGCAGATGCACATCAGATGTTTCACGGGGGCCATGTAACTGATGATCCAGGTCATCTTGAAGAATGTTTGCTTCACAAAAAGCACTGTTTTTGCAGAGAAGAATTTGATAGAAAATTCTAGTACTATAATGATTACAGTATATTAAAAAATCTCATCATTTGCACTAAGGGCCAATTCCTAAGACAAATGAAAATTCACATATTGACTGTTAGCAGTTCCATTTTACCAGTAAAGGATCTCAGTGCATAGGTTTGTTTGGGAACCCAGAACAAGGCTTATACTACTAGATCTGTCTCTTGTATACAATTCTCTACTGTCACAAACATATATACACAATAGATAAAAAGTGTAATCATGTAATGATTAAGATGTAGCTTTTAAACCCCCATGGGGTTTTATCAGTTTTTGTGCCCAAATGGGACAAGTAATCTAATACAGTACCATTTTAATTGCAGTTTGGACAAGCCTACTTGAATATTAAGTATTAATTTATAATGCATTGAAATCCATTTCCTGGCATTGAACTTTGTCAGAGGCTAAATCACAGTGCTCGGTGAAAGTTATCAGTTGGTGTTAACATTTGTATGAAAAACACTGCCAAAAATGTTTTCTTTCAGTTACAGGAGATGTCTGGGCAGCATCTTGAAGTGTGCTTTTTTTCAAAAGGTGTTAAAATAAATCAGTTGGTAATCTTTATTATACAGATTTTCTGTGATTATTGTTTAATATTAGTATACCTATCTTTATTTTATTCTATTACATTTTTCAAATATGAGATTGTTTTAATTTAAATTCCTTTACTGGTGAGCAAAGATCTGTGATTTTTTTATTTTTATTTTAGTAAGCATACCTTCATGTTAAGTCTTAGTCTGAAATACTATTGGAAAATGTGGGCATGGCCTGTTGGATTTCGAGTGATTTTCTTGGCTTTCTTAACTCATGTTTTTCATAAAATTGAAATATTGTGTTGGATTGTGATTCACAAATATTTGTCATCATTATTATAGCACAGGCAGTATTTCTTTATTTCACAGTGACTGAAATAGCATATATATATATCAAGAAAAACAGGCATATCATTCTAAATTTCTTTTTTTCTGATCAGCTTTAATTAGAGTGATTGAAGTCTACATTCCATTTCCTTATAAGAAAGGGTGGGGCCAGCTTTGCTCAGATTCTCCATAACAGCCTGTCAGCAACTTCTGAATTAATTGAAATTTCTTTCAAGAAACATGATGATTCTTTGATTTCAATTAAAATTGCTTGTAAAGAAGGTTGCTAAATGAGACACCTGAAGCCAAGGATAAAGCCAGCGATACAGTAAATGAAGAGGTAGTTCATTTGCAGAGAGAAAGATTGTACAGATTACTCCAGAGGGGACAACTTTCATCACAGTCCTTTTGAGGTGAATTTTCTCTGTGTTTACAGCAGCCAGCAGTCTGTAACTGAGCAACATGGTATGGTCTTTTAATTCTGTTTTTGTAAATGGTTCAATTACAACACCGCAGTTCCGTCTGCTAAACGGTAATTTATCTGAGATCTGAACAGCAGGCATTTTAAACCTTCCTTCCCGAATAAGCCATCCATCGCAGGGCAAACGCACAGACACAAACACAGACATGCACACACTCACACCAAGGGCAATTCTCCCAGAAGCCAGTTATCCTATCAGTATGTTTTTGAACTGTGGGAGGAAGCCGAAGAGCCCAGAGGAAACCCAAGCAAATATGGTGAGAACATAAAAACTCCATACAGACAGCACCCCAGGATACTAACCACTGCTTTACCATACTGCCTATTGCTATGCAGAAAAAATAAGACCCACTGTTGTTTCAGGTATATTATTTTACTTAGTACTGTTAACACATAGAATTTTTGCATGATTGACTGTAGACACTTAGAAAATATCACACTTAATGACATTGCCGTTTTTCCTCTCTGCTGTTTTTAAGCTCCAAGACATCCAAAAAGGCAGTGTTTGCAGGAAGCATGCAGCTCCTAGCTGGAATCAAATTGTGTACGGGGAGAGTGTTAACGAATCATCCTCACTATGAGGACAAAGTCCTGAGAGAGAGAACTAGACAGGTAAGTCCTTTGGTGATTCCTGCTAGTTTATTCACTTTGAAGATCCACGTCCTACTGTGATACAACCTACTGTGTGTGTCGCCAACCTACTGTGTGTGTCGTGAAAATAATTTAAAATAAGTTTTCTAGTGTGTAATGAATTCTGCTGTCAAATATTACATGTTACGAAGAACAAGAGTACAGTATATACATATTGATGTATAAAGAGGAAGTTATTTATGTGAACACCTGTTCACCAGTAGGTGAAATTTTAGATAATTCTTCTTTTAAGGAAACATTTCAGTATTTCAGTACAGAGAATGGATTTGCTGTGATATTTTTTATTATTATTATTATTATTATTATTATTATTATTATTATTATTATTATTATTATTATTATTATTTAGGCACTTTATAATACTTATTTTCTGATGGAAGATTTTGTTCAAATTCATGTTGCGGTTCAGAATATACGTTTTTTTAATAAAATGAACTGGCCCACATCCTTTCCGCTAAGCCTACAAGTGCATAAGGAGTATTCATTGCCTGGTAGGTTTATACCACTGACTTGTCTTTCTTTTACTCATTTATTTGCAGGTTTATCAGATATATGCTCGGCAAGCCCCAGAAGACGTGCATAAGATCCTGCGTGCCTTTGGCACAGACTACATCATTCTTGAGGACAGTATCTGCTATGAGAGGAGACACAGCAGGGGCTGTCGGTTACGGGATCTTTTAGATGTTGCAAACGGCCATGTAAGTATGGGGCTGTGCCTTACCACTGAACACCTGCAGATACTGCGTTGTACCGTGGTGTATCCTGTAAGCCGCTCGGGACTGCTGAACAAAATCTGTCACTCTCTAGACACTTCAAAGGGTGACAGCGTGTGACAGTACATTAGAGGAAGGGATTTGGCTTTCTCTGATCTTTCAAACAAAGGTAAAGAATAGAATAAAAGGGAGAAACCTGTTTTATTTTTTTAAAGAATGCCTTGCTCATTATTTTGATTCTCAGTGACAAGCATGAATACTGTATTAATGCTTATTAGCATATTTTTCCTTAAGTCAACTGTTGCCGCTAAATAAGAAATGAAGTTCTGTATGGAAAATGCAGTGCTTGTTGTCTTTCATACACCTTTTTTCTAAATTATGTGCTGATCTGCTTTCCAGTTTAGCCTAGCCTTTTTAGGAAATTGCTATCCTTTGCCTGGATATTATCAAGAGCAGGTTCAGGGGTTGTCAGCCTCTCCCTTGGGTTTTATTCCTACTTTACCTTTTCACTTTTTTTATTTACAGTAAGTAGAGAACATTTCAGTATTGAAGGGAGTTGTTAAAACAAAGCTGTCATTGAATAAACTTTGCCACATCTTTGAAGGTCTGAATTGACAGTAAACGGTGTTAAGGTTTGCACTGGTTCTGAGCTTCCATAGGGCTCGTAACTAGCAGTATTTCCTGCAAACTCTGGCTTGTGTTTTTATCCAGTCTGCTACGTGTCTTTTAGATAATGGATGGCCCGGGAGACAATGACCCCGATTTGAAACCAGCTCTGCACCCTCGCTTCTGTGATGAAATTAAAACAAACGATCCCTCATACACAAAGTACTTCACTCGCATATTCAAGAATAAGACGTTTCATGTGTACAAGCTGAAAAGGGTTAAGAAGAAAGCACAATCAAACAAAGAGAACAACACAGGTGTCTAGAGTTCTTTCCGGCCAGATGCCATTTCGTTATCTCATTATTTTTTCATGCAGCGCTGAAGCAGGGAAAGCACTTTGCTTTTCTTCCTACTGTTTACACTGCTTGTCAAATTCCCAAATATTCCACCTACCCAAGAATTATCTGCAATCAGACCCCTTCATTGTCTGCCTGATTAGAGAGCCACTGTGATTAGCATGCGTTGAAACTGAGCAGATGAATTTGGACTCAGGTTTTACAACAGACCGGCCAGTGGCAGTACTAGATGAGAATTGTTCAATTAACTCAAGAATTTAAAAAATCCTTAAAAGTTTCGAAAGCAAAAAGAATGTTTTGACCTTAAAGCAATCGGAATCGCCGAATATCCTGCAGAGATAGCCAAGCTGCTTCCCTTGGTTATCTCAAGTCTGAGTCATGACTGTGCCATTGGTTTCTTTTTGAAACATCTCTGTCTCCAGCACATATATTTAAATGAAGACTTGCTGCCTGTTTTAAAAATAAAAATAAAAAAACATCTACAGAGCACCTGTAAAAATCAGTGTTTGTTTTAATGCAGTGCAGCCGGATAGTCCATATAATACTTTAATGTGCTAAAATGTTTATATTTTCAATGAGAATAAAAAAATGTTACGCATGCTCATTTGTCAAGTTTCCCTTGATGAAGAATTAGAATTGTTTAGCTGTTTTCAAGGTTGTGTGTCTTTACCGATTGTGGTAGTTTCGTTTTTTGTACTTATAATGTGTTACTTATGAACCTAAGATCAGGGTCTGCGGTCTGTTTTAGGGGAATACTTAGCAACAGTCTAAGTTGCTGTTGCCAGAAAAATGCAGAACTATTAGATTAATGAAGAATGTTGGAGAGAAACACAATATAAACACTATATTTAGACAGGTCATTCCTCCAGAGTTGCCTTCTTGTCACTGCTTTTCATTCTAAGAAGAACCTTGTATATATAATTTGGTGCATTAATTTCTAGGTTTGTACATTTGTTCAGCTTGTTCTTGTTGCTATTCTTTCTAGTGGATAACACTATTAACAGCCAGTTTTCATAAAGAGAATTGTCTGATGAACGATTGTAATGATGAATGTATAAAATACATTTTTAATACACCATCCATACAATACATGTATTAAACACACAATCCATAAATATTCCTGAATGCCGTTTTCAGTTTATGGATGGTGCAGGGTTAAAGCATTCAGTATTTGTCTGACTTTCTTTATCAACAGTTTGGACAGTACCAACCTTTTCATATCCAATCCCTTTTTAAAGAAATTCCTAGATTTTGAGAGACATTTAAAAAATAAACAACTTGAGAGTATTAAAGTGCCTTTAAAGTTGTTTTGTTTTTCAGTAGTTATGAGTGGTTTCTCTTTTAAATTGAATCAGGAATGAGTCACACCTCTTATTAAAAAAAAACATTTGTTATTTGTTTGGCTGTGATTTATTTATGCAACTTTTTTCTCTTAGTGCCATAGTACACTTTTTCTGCAATTTGGGTCAAAAAAGCAAAGTTGTTGTAAAATATTTACACATATACAGTATTTGTTGTTGTGTTGAACAATTAATAGTCATGTTTACAGTACTGTTTTGTACCTGGTGAAATGCAGCAAGTTCAGTAACATGTTTCCATGACAATGGACATTCTGTCTGCACATTTCTTCCTGAAAAATGAAAGTAATATAAAACATAATTTGTTCCCTGCCTTAATATAAATCTGTTTCTCTAATCTACATGTGGATTTACAGTCCATAGTATCTAAATTCCATCTGAAGTCCTCAGTGATTCAGTTGTGTGATCAATAAAATATATAGTGCAGTAATTTTTTTAGCAGATACTTTTAAAGATGCCCTTGAGTCATTAAACCATTAATTTCTTAAGAGTAAAAGAATGAAAAGGAAGAGATCCGAGAGACCCTGCAGTCCTCCAGGAATTGAGTCAAAATAAGTGGCAAATGTAATATAACATTTATTTAGAAAAATCTAATTAGTAATGCAATATTTTTAACATCCCAAAATTACCAATATCTGCTGCATACGCCAGTCTGTGAATTACATGAGTACAACTTGTGAAGTAATAATTAATATGGCCTTTTCTTTTTTGTAATGTTTCGTGTCCAGATGTCTCAAGCAATTTGCCAATGCCTCCAGTTGAGATAAGCATTTCAATTTGGGATACTAGGTTTTACGTGCATCTCTTTGTATTTTAATAAAATCTTAACGCTATTGCTCTGGTGTTGTTTAATTTGACTGTGGTGAATTTAGGAAGAAAGAAATTAACATATGTGTGACTGGCCACCAAAATGAAAAAAAAAAAGACAGAAGAAAAATGCACCACCATTTTATCAGGTAGATTAAAGATTCTTTTTAGATGCAGAAAGGTCACATTGGTGCCTAAATGATAGGTATGTTAAAATAGTACCACTATAGCTAAGTAAATCTTAAGTGCTTCCAGGTCTACAAGGTTTTTTGTGCTTTATTGTCAGTATATATTAAGTGTCATTGCAAAAGTTTGTCTTAGAAAGACCTGTGAAACAAGGGATGTGTTCCTATAGGAAATGGAGTTATCTCACGTGAGATTGTTCTCTTGTGTTAATCTGTGGTATTGTGTCATTACATACAAGTAATTTACTCCTCTGTTTTGGGCATTGAAATAAATATTACCACCATGGGTAAATTTGAGTACCAGCGGCACACCAGAAATGACTGGATGTCAGCCTGGAGGTGATCTCTTCACATGAGAAAAGGCTCTTCAAAACCTGGGGACATTACAACCAACAAACAGAGTGGCAGGAAACTGGAGCTCTGACTCATACTGGTCACATAACTGAGTCTTAGCTGTGAAATACATTCTTTCAGAACTGCATTAGTCAAATGTAATGAATTACTCTAGCTGTTCTGTGGAAAAGCCATGCACTTTACAGTATAATACTGGTATTATAACTGAACATCAGCATTGCTATGAGTATAGGGGTCACTATATAATCACTATATTTTCATTAATGCAAGTTGAAGTTGTGTATGATAACCTTGCTGAAACTGGGTCCCATGTAAACTGTTTTAAGAGGAGACCTGCTGAACTGTGATCTCATACTGTATATTCAAGATTAACAACACTTGACAGCCCTCTGCATTTGAAGCTTTAGGCTGCACCCTTGTCATTAAACCCACTGTCTGATGCTTCTGCAACTTTCTCCATTACCTTCAAGCACATTCAATTTGACCAAACTGCTGTCTCTCCCTTTCATTAACAGTTATCTTGATGCTGTTTCCACGTTCAAACTGTTGATTCTTTAGTATTACTGATTTGACAGTGACATCCACTAAATTCAACAGATACTGTAGGTGAGATGCATAATGTGTAGGTGGAGATAGGTAAGAGGTTTTGGGAGAGAAAAGGTATCATCAACTGCCATTACACTTCTGGATTTCTGAAGCTTGAAATTACAGATCTGCCAAACATACTTTGTAGAAGTAGTCCCAGCAAGCAGCATTTCTAGTGCAGCAACAATTTTGTTGGTTATGCAACATCCATGAATGTGCAGGTGAGAGAGACTGACACATTTTGTATCCTAAAGATCGCTTTCTGCATAATACATGAGCGTCTACTCCAGCTGTATGCATTTATTTATTTGTTGTTCAATATTTCAAAACCTAATGAAAGTTTCAGAGTGTGATGAATATATGTAATGCTCATTAATCTCCATGGAAACCTCAAAACTGCAAAATGGCTCTACATGCACATTGAAAAATGTCTTGATTCATATCTTACAGCAGAAACATTTCGTTGTCTGCTTCACAGTAAAATTATAAAACGACTCTAAAAAGGAGAACAGCGTTTGTAAGAGAGTTACTTTTATTTAAATCAGGAAAAAAACAAGCCAGGATTTTTCTAAAGAATTGTTTACAGGAATATATTTAAACAAATTAGCATTTGTTTGAAACAATCCCAGACACGCAAATTAAATAATGAGACTACCTAATGTGTTGGAGATTGAAAAAAAGTCTTGGTATACACCACTATATTCCCAGTACACTTTAAACATCAAACAAAATGTAAACACACCTGTGGGATGAATAGTTTATCATATATCTTATCATGTATCAAAAAGTGTGATTTCTATTCAGTTTCCATATAAACAATCTTATTATCTCCTTTGCCCTTTGACCTGAATCTAGATTTCAACATTGGTAGCAAATTAGTTAGGTTTGGGAAATTGGAAATACCAACCTTGAAGCAGGTACTGTACCTATGAAAAGTCTATAAAATTTTATACTGATGTTCTTTTTCTTGAATGCTCTGTTTTCCTACCAGAGACATTCTCTAGTTTTTAAACCGTGGAGACTTTTTTTCTCCTGACTTGATTCAGATTTTTCTCCCATATCTCCACATCAAATACAGTATACTGCCTTCCTGTGATCGATCTGCTCTTTTGTGTGGCCTATCAACACAGTGTGCCTTGCCTTCAAAAAATAACAAGGTTCAACCACGGCTATTAACAAGATAATGTTGCAAGGTTAGTTCTGGAAATGAATCAAGCTGCAAAGCTTTGTGGGTTCAATTTTCAAATTAAAATGTTTTTAGCATTCCACTTGTGTGTTTGGGAAAAAAAATGTCTTTAAAGCTGAACTTCGCTCCTGAGCATGAAATAATTGAATTAGTGGCAGAAATGACAGGAAACAAAAGCCTTGATGTACAGCATGTGAATACGTGAATGGGGTATTTGCCAAGATTTACTTCTTTCACAAGATTGTGAAAGGAGATTGGTGTGGCTTTATGAACTATATATACACTTTTATCTACAATAACTGCTCCTGCATTGCAGCGTAGTATATTTCAGAAGTAAAAAAATGTATAATCATGGTTTAAAGGGTAATAGTTCAATTTGAAAATGAAAAACCTAGAAATTACTTGTCCATAGTCAAACCTACCAAATTTCTTTTTATACATTCTATGTACACAGAGGGAAATTAATGAAGTGTACAGTAGTTCTAAGAGGATACTGTTTAGTCCTTTACAGTATATCTGACGTATCTGGAGTTCTCTGGTAAATTAAGGTGATTCTGTCTCTGCATTTCTGTTGATTTTCACATGTTTACAAGAAAGCTTTTCTTCATTTGTTACTTTAATACAAAGAGTCTGATTTTAACTTTTTTATACCACTACATTTTAACATGCTGTATGGTTATTGTGTAAAAAAAACTCACAACTAAAATTACTGAATTAAACTCACTAAAGCAGTACTAAAACTCATTAACATGTACTAAAAACTCCTAACAGGAAGCAAATCTACCTATGAAAACAGGTTTCACTTTCACAGTTTGTCCCACTTCCATGGCTTAAACATTCAAAAGCATGTAAGCATAATAAAAAAATGAAGGCATTTCAACATTATACTGATCGTCAAATTTGGTACGTCTATTACGGAGCAGGTACACTGACACCTAGTTGCACAAACATGACATTCGTAAGTTTGTTATGCAGATTTATCATTTATCATTAAAAGGGCTGATCAACAGAGGGTCTAGTGCAAAAGCCTCAGGCTAGTAGGATGTGTCACCACTGTTGGAAAAACACAAACTGCATCTGATGCAAGCGTTACACCAGGATGCAGATGTGATCTCGTGGGATTCTGGCTCACAGTTCTCTCAGAGCCCTAGATCAGTGGTACTCTGTCCTTTGCCCTGGAAGACTGCTAGATCCTCTGGTCTTTTGCTGCTGTCACGATCTTAATCGGAAGCTATTGGATTTCCAATTCCTGTCTTGGACATATTTACCAACAGTTGTTTTCAGTTCTTAAACAGTCATATACAGTAGGATATGCCCTTGGTATCAACCCTTGTATCCATCCAGTTTCAGAACTGTCCTCATTCAGGTATGTTGTCCCACATGTAACCAGTTGAACCTCAGGAGAAAGACAAAACTTGGAGCGTTTTATAATTAGCCATTCCCACTGGTGTCTGCTCATCATAAATTGATCACCTATTGAAGAACTGTTTACAGAACTGTAATAAGAGAGCAAACTCAAGGAACAAGCTGAGAACAATCTACGACAACAGTTCAATCTTTGTTTTTGCGTTTCCATTGTTTTTCTGCTAGCTGTAGAAAGCTGGTAAATCAAACTAAAATTCTGAGGGGAGCATGCGATAGAGTTCTGTATGTTGAAGTTGTTGGAACATGTACTGTATGCTTGTAGTAGAGTATTTTTTAAAGCAAGACAAATTAGTAGCATCATTTATAACCAGTGATTAACAGGTCAACTTGAAAGGAAACCAGAACCAGACCATAGACTGACGTGCCAGCTTTCATTTCCAGGTCCTCCCACTGTTGTTCAACGCATCCCGGTCCACAGGACCTCTCTTCCAAAGGGTTACAGGGCTGTCATTCCACAGTGTAACAGGATTTCATTTTGGTCAACAAACGTTCTGCAGCTAGCAGAAAAAAAGATGTCTGAACTATGCTAGTAGTTAAACATCATCTGCATTCCTTAACTTCAGAGGGACTGGGGTTTATACGGAGATATATCTTATACTGAAAGGTTCCCCCCGTAATACCTTCTCTGGGTACTTAAAAGGAACTTCAAACAGACGAAAACACTGCAAATAATCTTCTGTACCAAAATTACCCGTCTGATTTTTTTCCTACGAAATAATGATTAACAGAAGTGTAATGATGTCGCGTCCATCTCCCCTCCACACCACAAGAGAGCGCTGTGGGAGCAGTGTCATGACCAGACCATTACTGCTTTCTGAGCTGTAGTAGATGCATGGCTCTGACCCTGAACGTGGTTTTGGCCTGTAATATAGGTGGGAGATAGTTGCGTCTAGTGAATCCAACAAAATTAATAGGTAAACAAGCAGATTTACACATAGAAAACTTGGTTATATTTTTATCTGCAAGCCTATTTTTGTTATTTGGCTTTACCTTTCTTCTGCTGCTGCCAGAAATAGGTGAAATAGGTAAGTGCACGTATTTTCTTGATAATTAACAGCATGAAGATCTGCACCAACCACCTGTTTGTAGGCTATAGGGTATGACGTAGTGCATGGCTTAATACAATGGATAAGTATTCAATTCATAGATATAACATTCACCTCTCTGCACAAAGCCGGTATTACACAAGAAGCGACCGTGTCTTGCTGCAATGTCCTTTCTGGACACTCCACTCCACTCAAAGCGCTTTACAGGTAATGGGGACTCCCCTCCACCACCACCAATGTGCAGCATCCACCTGGATGATGCGACGGCAGCCGTAGTGTTGGTACTGTAACTGTACTGTAAGTCGTGATGAAACTTCAGGAAGTGAGGTGACTATCATTGATGTAGCGCCTTGCAATCCGGTTCAATTAACGATCGCATAAAGGGCACGCAGGTGTTGTCTTTACAAATGTGTCAATTTGGCAATCAGTCCTGATCCTGAATCACCCACTTGCCAGTTGGTTGCTCCCGAGCACTCATGTAATGGAACCCACAATAAACCTATTAAATTGGCTTAAATTGAACTCTTTAATTGTTTTCAGCGTTCATATTATTCAAACTTAAACATTGCTTGGCATACATGACATAAAATTTCCAATTCCATTCGACTGGAAAGAAATGTCCCACTCCAGCAACTTGTTCAATTAAGACTTCATTTAAATAACTAAGCTCAGCTGGAATGAAAACCGGCAGGTGTGTGGATGCGCTGTTACAGTCAGGATTGGGGAACCCTGGACTAGGGTCTCTCCAAAGGGTTGTGATCTTTCCCTGTGCCTCTCAAGTTATACACAAAATGGTGTTTAATAGTGCCCAGTTTAGATGTTTGCTGCAGCAATACTGAGTGAAATGCTTTCTTCTTTTTCGCCTGTGAATTGACATCCTTTTTCTGCATTGAATCCAATAAATATAGGGTTGTGTTTAGCACAAAAATAAAAAGTTATTTAAAGTATTTGGTTGTGCTAAAATGTTACATGTAGACGCCTTTAGCTTATAACAGAATTCGTTACCAGATCTGTTAAGCATATTCTATAATATCTGAAACCATAAGAGACTTCGCTTTTTAACCTTTCTGTTCTGGACTTTGATCTGAAAACCTGCTCCAGAGAAGCTTAAGGGAGTCTCAGATGCCAAATACATTTCACTTTTATGCAACTGAAGAAAGGGTCACACTAGTTTTTAACCGTAGCTTGCCTACACTGTGCGTAAAGAATACACTGAATGATTAAAACCAGCTCTATAAAGGCCTTCATATACTGTGCAGGTTCTGTGTAATTTAGAGGCATGCATCTCCGAACAATCGATTGCACAGTGAAATACTACACGATGGGCTACAGTGTAGTTACATGCACTCATTAAAGGGAGTTTGGAATTAGTTACAGTAATAATCGTAAAAAGAGAGTGCTCACCTACAGCACATACGGATACGGCATACAGTAGACCTACTTTTTTTCCGGTCCATTATTCGGGCTGTAACGTTTCTGTGGCGGCATCAAACGAATTTACAGTTCCTTCTTTTAAATATTGCTTCTGAGTATTTTAATTACACGCTAAAAGAAGTCGATTTACTGCTGAAAATTTTAATTTAGTAAAAGCGGTTTCTGATTTATTGTACTGAGTTGCTTCAGTGCTGTAGGTGTTGTGTACAGATTAACATGCAATAGAATTGTCTTTCTGATGTGGAACAAGCAGCCAGGTGTCGAATTGTCCCGTTTGACTTTTGAGTTGTTCTGATCTTTTTTTGTTTCCTAAACGACCATTTTGACTTATTTCACTCAAACTAAGCTGTAGTTAATAACAACGTCCTTATAATAGGAGAGAATACTACTAGAGGCTTTGAGTAAATTGTGAATGCTCATTTTACTGTATATAGTATGCTGTAGCTCATGAATGTTTGTTTTTGCACGGTTTAAAAATGTTTAGAAAAAAGTCGCTTTTGCCTGAGCATTATTTTACATACAATTTTAAAATATTTATTGACACAACGATAGACAAAATATTTGTGATCTTTAAGTGCGTGTTGAGTGTATAAAACAAAATATTTTGCAATAGTCTATTAAATATGAAAACAAGAAACATTGCAAATAAGATTCCGTTTACTCATTTGCTGTTACCATTTTATTTTTTACTTTTTAAAAACAGCATCTTTAAATGCATACGGTTCTTAAGTTTCATGTGCAGAGTTAATTTATAGTAGCAGCTGGAAATTTCCTTTGCGGCTCTCCCCTGCAGTGTAAGCTATGTCTTTGACTGTGTAAGTCACCAGCTAAATTGCTATGTGACTCCTCCCGGCTCGCGGCTGGATGCATCTGATTGCGAGAAAAGTAAGCGGCGCTCGACGGTTACGACAGAATGTAATCTGATCGAGGTGATCGCACGGTGCAATAACTACGCGATCTACGGGGCTGCAATCCCAATTTACGGAAATCATAGAGTGTAATCAAAGTACTAGCTGTATCTTATACACTATTTCCTGATTAAGTTGGTGTTCACATGTATGCCACACATTTTTAACTCAGTTACTGAGTTTGGATTCCAGTCCCAATGTGGATGATAAAAATGTTAAATTTGACCAGAATTTAACCTCTAAGCATCCTAGATCACACGACATGCAACCGTATCAGCTATCCAATGAAATTAAGACATATGGCTGAAAATGGCTTTGCCTATCCCAGTCTCCACTCATGTGAAACGTGAGCTTTAAAGAGTACTTAGAGATAAGTTTCCCTTGAGGTTCGAGTTACAAAGCAAATCTTTTTTAACTTTGATTTCACATTATTGTAAACAGACCACAGATGCAAGATATTTATATCACCTTACAAGCTAAACAATGTTAGATTTAATAAAGTGAAACCAGAAAGTAAAAAAGCAGGAATTGAGCCAAGTAAAATAGGTACAAAGAGCTCATTTTTCAGGACTGAACATACTGTAGAAAGACACTGTATCATCCAGAAAGATTTACAACAGTATTCTTCTTTGAAATCTACATATATTAGTCAAAACCGTACATAAGTCATACTTAAGTGTTTGTTATTATAGCTCTTGAGAGAGACAGGAATCACGATATGTGCCAGCAGAGCTTAGTGCAATTATTTGAGTGGTATATGTCTTAGAGCACTGTGTAGGAAAGTTGTTAGGTCACCAATCTGTTAGTGATGTGTGCCAATCAGGGGAGGAGGGAAGGTGGTTTAAAATTATTGTTGTGTTGAATGCAAATAGATCATGTGTATGTACAGTATATGAACAGAAGTAAAAACAATACTGTCTGTGGCCATCCCAGTGTAGGTGTAGGTAATCGTCCACAAATTTGATTTTTATATAAATTAATATCTTGACTATGGCTATGAGACTGATTTTCTTCTTTGGAGGTTAGCGGTAAACCTGGAGGGGCCTGTTTTAAATTAATATCCAATATTCTGTTCATGTCATATTTAAATGTAAGATATAAAGACATATAATTGCACCAGTGAAGAAGTACACCTGCAAGAGCTTATAATAGAAATCATTCGCTTTCAAAGCTGCTGCTGTGCTCCCCAGGGAAGGTACCATGAAGACTTCTCTAGTGAAACTGGAAATTGAGTATAAAAGATGAATGGTGTTGAAAGGTCTATGTACTGTAGCCTCTTGGACTCCAAAGCATCTGAGGTATCACCTGTGGAATTCTGGGTTTATTGTTTCCTGCAGCTGCTTTCTTCACTTGAAAGAGTCTTAAAACCTAACTTGGCATGGAATGGGGAATCCAGTGATCTAGCAATACGTTGTCAATAAAACACACAAAACAAAGACACGTAAACAAAGATATTTATTCTTTTTACAAAATCCGGTTTTTAAGTAATAGACGTCGCAAAAAAACAAGATAAATACTCAAGGAAATGTTAGACATCATCATAAAAAAAGTACAGGCTGATCTCTGAAGGAACGAGAGGTGATTTACACGGCATCATTAATATCTCCACCACCGCAGGGCGTGTTTTAAAGCTATCTGCACCAGCGTAGTCGTGTTGTAAAAATCCCAATTCATCCTCCCAAAAAAACAGCGTGAAAATTGGAACGAAAAAAACTTTGCAAAATCGCTCGTTAGATTTGTGCCTTTAATCTCATGCCATATTGGAGAGCAGATTTTTCTCTGGAGCTGTGTTATTGCTATGTACAAATGAGGTAAAAAAGTGTAGCCATACATATACTGCACAGATAAAAGCCCCTTCTATAAAAAAGAAATAAGGTATTTGCCACTGGAGGTACATACAGTAACTGACATATCTCAGTGAATTCTGCCTATTTACATGCAGAAAAAGATAAAGAAACGCAAGGAAAGGTCTTTACATTTTAATTAGAACTGGTTTTCAATTTGAGCTCTTCTTTTTTTTTGTCTAAATGGCTTGTCACCTTGTCAGCCCATAGCTTTCATGAAGGATACATTTCAAAGCATTTCATGTTTCGTAGACGAGAATGTTGTTTGAACTCGTGTTATCTTTAAAAACTTGGCGTGTTTGAAGTCCTCAAATCAGTGACTTTGAGCAGCCTTAAACCAGCAGGCTGTTCTGAGTCACATGACAGCCAGCTATCAGCTGCTGTTTCGATGTTTCAGAGTGATTGCCTTTTGAACGCACTGTCACAACATACACACTTTTCTATAAATATGTAGAGTTTTATAATGCTACCTCTAAAATATGTATAATGCAGTATGTAGGCATTTTGGCATTTTAGAAGAGACCATAAAATATTAAAGAGGCAGTAAAGCTATACCTGTCTGTATATCCCTATATCCTGTCTTGGGTACTGTGTGAAAAATCATTGATCTGGTCATGAAAAAATACAGCTTTTCCATTCAGGGTGGACAAAAACATTTTTTCTCTTCTTTTTATAATTGGAACTCCAGTGTGTCCTCCAATGCACAACCCTGATGTGTATATGTTAATAAATGTCCACATACTGTCCACATATTTAGCATGGCAGTAAAAATGGCAAATAAAAGCCACACAACTTTTGAAAGTGCCTGATATGGTAACAAACAATTGAACCATCTCATTACTTTTTTCAAAGGACTCAAACTTTGAGCATGTTGAATGAGCATTGTCTGTTCCACACGTCTCCTACAAAGTCCTTCTAGCGTATTATGTCTGTTCTCTTTGAACTGCAGAGATTTTTAGACCTGTCTTGAAGATCACTTCACATAAACACTTGTATTCTTCCCTTGATTGAAGTTAATTCGCATTGATCATCTGCGAACCTGAAGCAAGAATTTAGCCTGCTGTTGCACACTCAGCAGTTACCTTTATAGGAAGCTACAAACCTGCCTGTGGATATAAAGATTGTTTACTTAAGCAGCCTTTATTTCATCAGATGCAGTCTGCTCACTCTGAGCTTGTCAAATTAATGCATTTTTAATCCCAATGCGTGAATCAATTTTAAATACAGCATACACAACATGATGTGCTTAACTGTTCAAAATGAAAAAAACCTCAAAATGTCCTTGAAATGATAACGGCTTTTATCTTTTCGCATAGCTTTTGCACCCAGTTAAAAATGAGCACTAGTGAATTTGGTGTTTTTGTGCCTTTTCGATATATACAAGCTGATCTTTAGAGAAATGTGAAGAGAAGGAGAGAAATGCATGTTGAGGAATGAATTGTTCATAAAGTGTTGAAATCCCTACAGTATCTGTAGGTGGACAGAAACAAAAGCCAGTGTCTTTGCAAAAAATTGTGTTAAGTAGTGAAGTATCAGCATGTGTGTACAGTATGTGCATTATTATTTTTTGAACACGTATCATGTTGTCTCATGTCTCATGTTTGTATGCTGTAAACGTCACATGTTGATTGATTCATGAACTGTAGAGAATCAAGGTCAGTGTTGTCCTGTTCCGACATAGCGACAGCTGCTCAACAAAAACCAGCCCTTATTTTTCATATTCCCTTCTTGACTTTTACTACACATGTCAGAACGAACGTGCCTTTCCTTCTGAAATAAGCAACTCTTTCTCAGCTAATCCAGACAAAAAAAAAAGCTATCAGTGAAGAGCAGTCTTTAGGAAATCTGTGCTTGGAGGGTATACTGTACCTCACACTTTTTTGGGGAGGTACCCTGAACAAGCATCTGCTTTGTCTTTTCACAAGGGGGTGCTCAAATGTCACTGGCTTCCGCTCTTTCGTAAAGGGCTTTGAGCTTCTCGAACCTGGGGCCCCATTCTTTCAGGTAGTCGTAGGTCTTGTCCTCCTCCAGGCCAGCGGAGCTGAAGGAGCTCAGGCTCCCAGCCAGAGAGCCCTCCCCTTCGGTGGAGTAAACCTGCAGGGAGTCGAAAGGGGGGCACTCCTGATGCTGGTCTGCGTCTCTGATGATCTCGCACAGGTAGCGCGCCAGGTCCTGGCTGGAGAAGGACAGGTTTTTCCGGGAGGCGCTGATAGTTCCCTGTGGCTGGCTTCTTGTGGGCGGCACGTCTCTCCGCAGGGAAGCTTTCTCCTGGTGGTGATGCCCACCTCTGTGCCGTGTGTATACAGACTGGGCTGGGCTAGGCTGGAGAGATTTCTGCAGCTCTGCCATGTCATAGGCATTCTGAATGAACGACAGAATACAGCTCAGTTTTAGAAGCCCCAGGGCAAGGAATGCAATGTATTGTGGATGATTTTTATTTGAAGGCTGCACTGTCGTGTGGTGCATATATATAAAAATAAAACTGAAATCGTAAAAGGTCATTTCAGAAACTTTTTTCCCCAATAGCCTCATTAACAAACAAGCAGTCCAAACTGCAGTTGTTGCTAACGACAGTTCTCCCTAACAAAGGAAATCAGAAATCTTTATTAAATGTGCATTAATTTGTGAATTTGTACGTGTGGAACTGATGTCTGACTATGTCTGTTCCTGTGGATCCCCAATGATGGTTTTCTCTTTGCCAGTTTCAGCAGTGGGGTTCTATTTTACTGTTATTCTGAAGGGTGATGTTTCAGCTGTCACATTGCCTGTGCTATACCTGTCATGCTCTGGTTTTAAGATCCCATCCCCATAGATGTTTAGAGAGAAATGAAGAGATTTTAAAGTAGGTTTCGACTTAAAAAAATAGTAGTACCTTTTTTAATAAAAAGTTGGATTGATCAATCCAATTAATAAATCAAAAATTAATCAAAGATGGGTGAAAGAATACTGTTGCTTTTTAATAACTGGACACATTGATTCCAATAATTACAGTTGTAAGGCAACATTGCTAATGGCCACATCATCATAAGACCAGTTGATAGAAATATTGAGTATTATCAGAAGCAGTGTAAACCTCTCAGGATTATTTTACTGTACTCAAACGGTGTAGGTATATATTATAGGGGAAGAAAGCAGTAGGAAAACAGTGAAAGTAAATCAGTCTTCTGTGAATGCAGTCTTGTCTAACATTCTAAGGTCTAAATAAGGATCACAAGTACTGACAAAGCTCCAATAGAAGGAGATACTGTAAATACAACAGTGTATCATGCATTGCTATGGAAACCAGTCCATGCCTCAGTGAAAGAGCCAGTGCAGATGGCCAACCCTCGGGTCTGTAGAGCGAGGCGCGCCGGCTCTCACCTGGTCCTGCTCTCCTCCTCCCTCCTCGTCGTAGTTGAGCACGTTCTCGCGGATGTCCTCCCAGCCATCGTGGTGGGCGGACACGTGGTACACACCTTCCTTCAGTCCCTTGTAGCTCTTCCAGCGGGTCCACAGGAAGATACCGAGAAGCAGCACTGGGTGTGCGAAACGGGAATGGGAGGGAAGAGTGGTGAGAGTCAGGAAGAGCTCACTGCAGGCAGCACTGTGCGCACTGGGGAAAAGGAGGGAGTCTGTCTGCTCTCGCTGCTACTCAGTGCAGGGATCGCTCAGGTCCACTGTCTCTGAAGCCACATGGGATTGTGAAGCTGAGTTTAAGAGCACAGAAACTAACATCCCTTCTTATCAGAGAGCTGACTATTTTCAGATAGGGGTCTCGGGAACCCAGAGCCTGTCATGGACACGCAGGGTGCAAGGTGGGGGGCTTGTGAACAGAACCAGCTCCCCACAAAGCATCATAAGGCAAACCCAATTTAACAAGTTAAAAGGGACAATTTACAAGATGCCACTTAAGCTCGCCAGCTTGTCTGGGGCACGTTTGAGGAAAGCAGAGAACCCAGAGAAAGCCTATGTGGCCATTGGGGAACACGGAAGACCTACCAGGCTAGAATCAGACACAAGAGCACTAACCTTATACCAACATACCAACCTAAGAAGATAACATGCCAGTTAAATTTAATGCCTACGGTAAACTGAATATTACTGCCTCTTTACCATGAATATCCAAGAAGTAATCTTGAGATATTACATTAATGTAATACATATCTTCGTTCTCGACCCCTGCCTCCACTGAGATGAAGTAACCTGGTTTTCAGTATTACTATTTGATTTGGAGTAGGCAGTGCAAATTGCTGCGTCAAATTAATTGTCATCACACAAAAATCAGCTTTAGGACTAAATGGAAAAGGTAAAGAATTACAATGAAAAGTTAATATGAAAATTGAACTGCAATTTATTTTTTTTAATTTCATGCAAAGACAAAGTATATTGTCATACTGGGCTAAGTTATTAATAATATTTAATTTTGCCGAGGCGTAATACTGAGATGACAAGCTAATTTCAGTCATTTCAAGGGCAAGATTGAACTTATCTCCTGTTTCCAAGCATTCAGGGGATTATTAAGGCAGATTTTCACTCTCTTTTCTAAGCCAAATTTGCAACACATGTTCCTTGCCCATTGCGAGCTAAATAATGTGTAAAGTCAAAGGCAGTCATGCCCAGTCTTCAAAGAACCTTGTGTATTATAGTTTTTTTTATTTCCCCCACTGTTTCCTATTTCATTCTTAAGCAGGCTTTTCCCAGCCTGGTGCTTAGCTGCTGCCTAAGTGATGAATACAGTCCTTGCTATGGAACTGTAGCTTATACTCCCTTAGTAATAAAAGGCGAAAGGTGAAACATTTCTTGTCAACCCTACCATAGCAAAGGCCTGTGACAAGATACCTAAAAGCATGAAGATCAGTATGCAAGAACAATCTCATTAAACTGAAATGTGACCGAATCAATCCCATTAACTTACTTTCATAAACTGTAGGACATGTCATTTCTATTTAGTTTTTATGACTCGTTTTTTCATTTCCTTTTTTTCATTGCCGCAATTTTTTTAATGGCTTTTTCAGTACTGTGAGGGACTGTGGGATGTCGCATGCGAAAGGTATATCAGTATTGTATACCAAACACTGTTTCCATCGAGGCTCATCACCTTGCAGCGCTACAGGAGACTGCATATCCTGATCAATCCCACAGCTACATTTTGTAACAGTTTTACCAATCCCAGCTTTGTGTGGTTTGCACCCCTAAAAAAGGCTACTGACTGCATTCCTCAGATGAGGTGCTACAGCCATTTCTGTGTGCTATCTGGAACCACTCTTCTCTGAGAGCTGTGTCCATATTCTTGGCATTAAGCCGAATTTGTTCAAATCTGGCATTGGGCTTCTGTCTAGGTATGTCCACTCCTGTTTGTGATTTTTGGGAATATGCTATCATGTCACAGCAGAGGGATTGAGGGTATCCATTTTGGTGGTAGGAAAGTGGTACTGTTGTTCTTTACAGATGTTTTGCTTCTTGCCTTATCTCCGATACGTGATGTGCACTTGAATGCTTTGCAGCTCAGTATGAGGCGTCATGGAAGAGAATCGACACCCCTAAATCTCAGGTCATTGTCTTTTCGCAGAACAAAAAATGGATTTCTCTCTCCAGGTGAGAGGGAGCCGATTCACCAGTATCTCAGGATCTTATTCTTGAATAATAAGCAGGTTGGAGTTTGAGGTTGAGGCAGAGCCTGAGTTCTTGCGTGAAGTGAGTAAACTCAGGACAAGAGTATGCGAAAAACGTTTTTTTTTGGCAGGGCTTACTCTCCATGACAACGGGACATCCCTGCGAGTCTCTACTCCTCTAAAATCAAGAAGGGCCAGATGATGTAATTCTGGCAGCTGGTAAGGGTGGAATCCTAGGAGGATTCCTTGGATATGCAGGACATGCTGTAGGGTCAGTGGGTATATCTCAATTGGCCTAGGAACACTACGGAATCTCCCAGGAGGAGCTGGTGAACTCCTGCTGTGGAAGTTGATACCGTGTTTTGCTTCAACAAATTGCTGTTGAGGAACCTTGGCTCAGAAAACAGAAAAAGAAACAACTAGAATGGTTGAAAGTCCGCTAGTGTCTGGAATGTAATAAAGCTGTTGCACAGGAACACACTGTCTGATACTCCCCATTCAATATACTGTACCACTTTTTACCCCCACCAGGACAAATGTTTTGGAAATAGATGGGTGATTAATTTAGTCTAGGAAATGTCTTTTATGAACTGGATATGCAAACCTAAAACAGAATTTTTGGTTCTGGTTATCCCTTCAATTGACAAAGCTACGGATGTAACTGCAATAATACTGTCTGTTGGTTTTTAGAATTCCCTGAATCACTGAACATTTTCAATCAGGTATACACTTTCCTTTAATTGTGCTGTTTCATCACCTCTGTAACTAGTTTCAGTGCAGTCAATTTTATCACTTAACCTAGGTGTCATTTCTATAACCATTTCCAAAACAGCAGCAAGCACACCATGCGTCTCAATGTACTTACTGTCTCTGAAGCAGACTGAAGGACAAATACATAACAAATCACTGCGCAGGGATAAAGCTCAACAGTCAAAATTCTGCAGACTGCATGCAATGAAGCAAACCTCTATCCAGTGAAACCGTTTTTTAGAATAAAGACAACAAAACCCAAGTGTATTAATAAGTTATAGTGCTTACTTGTGTGATCTCTCTTTAGATTCCACACAGCAGCCTACTCTATGATCTTGACTTACAGATAAAACACAAAGAAATCAAGTAAATCATGTTTGTACAGAAAACGGGAATCCCCAATGCAAGCTTATTCACAAATCTGGAAATACAGCAGTTGCCTTTATTATATATATATAAGCGCTTCTGATGCATGAATCTAAGGTTTATAAAATAAAAATATGAAAGATATGATAAAAAAAAACATTTCTGACCATAACCAGCACATAGTCATATCAACATTGTTCTTATGAAAACAAAGACATTACAAAAACTTACTTTGCATAGACCAGAATTACAATTTTGGCACGAATTTTTCCTGCCAGTTACCATTCTTTGAACTGTACTAGCCCATGATTCACTCTTTAAAAGACCAGCATTTAAAATCCAGCTGTAACTAACCTTATCAGTTAAGCAGCTAGGTTGAAATAAGATAATAAGGTTCTGCTGGCTTTCATGTATTGGAGGGGAAAACGTACCACAGAAAGGAACAGAAAGTGGCATTTTCTGCAGACGCACAGAAGAAATGGAGCCTACGAGACAAAATTGTTTTGCCTCCTTTGAAACATAAACCCATTGAATCTGCACGGTTTGGAAACTGCAGGCTGGAAAACTCTTAAGGTGACCTCAATACTAGTCTTCTACTGTCTCTGTCTTCCATTAGAGCAAATGAATGAGTAAAGCTTCAAAGGGCTGTCTGATATGCAAAAGATCAATGACTAAGTCCCATTTAAAGCTTTCCATATTTTTGGTGTAGCTCACCCTGATAATGGCTATTGCCAACAAGCATTGTACTAATTTGCATGTTTTGCACAAAAATAAATGCAGAGTTTCATTCGGTATCCCTGTCATATAGTTTTAAGAAACAATTGTTGACACATGTACTAAACTATTATGTTTCAGTATTTGTTTGTGTTCTTCTTGTAGAAGTGTTTTTGTAAAAAAAGAGAGTTTGTGCATTGGCTGTCCCTCGTGGACAATGTTGATCGTCACTGAATCCATCAGTGACTGGTTAGACCACTGTGGATTTGCACACTCTTTATACATGACAGTCTTCATTTAAATGAATTTAGACTAATTTAAACTGCTCAAAGACCACTGCATGGTCTTTTTATACAAACTGGTCTTATTATACAGTACAAACTGATATATTCATACTCCTACTGTATTCATATATACACTACATGGAACATTTGTTAGTAATTCACATACAGAATATTAAAACAAGACAGAACAAAACAGGTAACAAATTAGACATGAAAAAATGATAATGTAACAGGAAAAAGGGGGATGAAAAGCAGGAAATAAATGAAAGAGACAGGAAGGGTTTGAGACATACTTTTATTAAAAAAAAATAGAATCCAGGCACGTCTCCTTAAAACTGGCATAAGGCATTACATAATGGAGTGAAATGTACCAATCAACATGATTGAATTTTATACCCTTTCATAAAAATAGAAATCTTTACAACATATTTTTACATATCTATGGTAGAAAAAGAATATGAAAAAATAACATTAGATGGCAATTTGCTGTTCTCACTGAGAAACATGAGTTCAAATTAAGATCACACTTTTATTTGTTCACCAAAAACATTAGTAAATACCATGCTTAAATTGAGTTATTTAAAATGGTGCATGCAGCCTGCAGTGGGATCAACATTAATCTCTGTTTTTCTAGAGAAAAACCCTGAATCGTGTTTTTCTTTCACCCAAATGCCTTTTATATTTCACATGACATTTTAACCTTTCTTATTTTTCCTATTTACTGTCACCCTTCATTTTTATTATGTTTGTGATGGTTTTGAGTTCAGCGGCTCATATATTGAGTCACCCATTTTTATGTAACCCATGTAATGGTGCTTTGAGCTATAGGAGCAAATCTGATTCGTAACTTTTTTATCCAAGATCATTTGGCTGTTTTCCTTTGTTACTGTATGGTTCCCCTGTCCCTACTGCAGTGTAAGAAACCAGCAAAGGGTGTCATTTTGCTGGTGAAAAGAATGTCTAGCTAATTTAAATGTAGAGCATTCACTTGTATCTGATAGAGTTGTTGGGTTTTGTAAATTGGTAACTTCAGTGTTTGACAAGGTTTTGTTCAGTTGTATGTAGATCCAGACCTTGAAATCTGTTTGGATGTTGCTTTTATCCAAAACACCATTTATACAGCTGGGTATTTTACTGAAGTCTCTTGTTCAAGGGTACAAAAGCAGTGCCTTCCAGAACCCACAGCCTTCCAGTTAAAAGTGCAAAGCACTAACCTCCACCCCACATTCATTAGGGGTTTAAAAATTAAAGTTGGCATTAAAAATAGAATAATGTACATTAAAACATGTTATACACATCGGGAAGCTTCTCATGTGGAGCTTTTTCAGTGGTGGTCAGGTTCATAAAGTTTGTTCGTCTTTGAATTAGTATTAATTGTTTTTCTAAGAATTTAGGAGTTGTGAATAACATTCCATCAGGAACTAAATACTAGGGACTTACACTAAAACTTTATTATCTATGGAATTATATAACTTTATATCTGGATACATACTCAGATGTTTCTCTTTATTTCAAGTTTGACGTCTGAATGACATGAATTTTTAAAATTCTATGAATGTATTCAGAACTATTTTGGCTTTGAATATTTTTTTTTTGGGTGGGTGGTATGTAGCAACAGTCCTCTACACCAACAATAGAAAATATTTATTCTTCTTGTTTTCCTCCGTACTGCTCTACACTGGCTTCATGGGCCACAACACAATACACTTGGGTAAGGCCTGCTTCTTGCAATGTGTGCATATGGTGATAAATGGAATACTTAACAGTATTAAAATTTTCTGTGGGCAGTGAAGGTGCAAGAAGGAAGACTGCAGTGTGGAGGCGAGTGTTTGGTTGATAAACCTATTAGTTTGAAGAAAGGATGCTCAGTGGTAAAACTGCTTTTGTTGAAAATAATAGAAAAAGATAACTTTTTGATTTATTTTTCTAATTAGGCCTACTAGGTTTTCAGACAAAAATAAAACACAGTAAAGTACTTTAGTTTCTGAACTTTAAGACTGTGCTTTCAGATTCGAGCTGAAATCCATTTTCTTTAGCTTCCAGTAAGCAGCACTTTGAATGCTTAAAGATTTGGTTATTATTAGCACCATCAAAGAAATGAGTAGTATGTGTCGGGGTAAAATAGTTTAGAAATCCTACAAGTTTATATTGGTTATAGTTAAGTTGTTATTGCAGAATGTTAGATCAATGAGTGAACATCAGCAGGGGACTGGATTCATTGTTGCTCATTATGTAATGCAAACTTGACCTGGTTCAAGTCGATGCTTTTTTTTTTGTGCAATGAAGGTAGAAAAGAATGGAAAACTGGCCTCTCATTTCACAAGAATAGTCATAAATAAATTATAACGGTACAAAAGTACAGACATGAAACAGATAAGGCAGAGGAGCAGAGGGAAGGCAGAATCCAGTTAGTAAAAGAAAACACGTTTCCCACAGGAAGACATCGAGGGAATCCACGAGAGGAACAGAGGAGATGACAAAGAAATAAATTAAACAAATCACCACAGGTAGTACAAGATGTAGTTGCCATAGCTACCTAGGAGCGCCAGGAAGCAAATGCAGATTGCAAACATGGAGCTGAAACTGAGACCCACGTCGTCCCGATATATAGCCAGTGTGATGTCGCAGTGCCGCCCGGTGTAGCCCTCGGGGCAGTGGCAGGTGAATTTCGAGGGGGACTGGGCAACGCACGTGCCATGCCGGCAGGGGCGGTTGGCGCACAGGGTGTAGACGCAGAACTTGCCCGTGGAGTTCTCCGTGATCATGTGGCCAGGGGGGCATCTGAAATCAAGAAAGCGGTGCGCGTCACCCTGCAGGCTGCTTCTGTCTAGTCAAGCCCGTGAAGACGTTGGGAGGAAAACAAAAAAAGACAAGGCACAAACTCACGAAACGCATCGTACATTCGTAACTGGGACTGCTTGGCTTTTGCAAGCGATTCAGAAGCACTTCAAGCACGCTCAGACTGCCTTGGAACTCCAGACGACAAGGGAAATCTATTGCAAAAGCCGGGAGACACAGGCCGGCTGACCAGGGTCTCTCTGTAAACCCGTGCAGTGAGCACAAGAGGGGATGAGACTAAAAAAAGACAGACTGGGGATGAAACGTGTCCATTAGCTGAGTGGGAGCAGTCGTGCACCGGTGGGGAGTACCTGCACTCATGTATCCTCCAGAGGTCAACGCAGGTGAAGGGGGGGCTGCAGGAGTTCTTCTTGCAGGCGTCCGAGGAGCAACCCGGAGAGACTCCCTGAGCGCTGACCACGGACACGGCCTCTTTAATCTTCACGCCCATTGGAAGATGCCGGTTATTGAGCCGCAGGTCCCTCATGCAGCCTGAGAACAGATAACTGCAATTATCCAAACTCACTGTCAGGTAAAGCCTTCCAAGCACGAGTGTTTTTTTTTCCCCTGTTCTTTTGAGGAAAATGCTTTTAAGGTCCATTTAATAAACACACACAAAGTCTGCATTTGCCTAAGGCAAACTAGTCTTTCTAGGCTCGCATCACACAGGAGATGATTTAGGAAGAGGCTTTTGTATCTTAGCAAGTCTTGCATGCTGTGCTATACAGTTTGCACTTTGTTGCACTTAACGATGTGTCACGCACAGATAACGCTGAAGTCTTTTCAGATCTTATAGATCCTATAGTCATCACGGGCACAGTAGAAAAAAAATCAATAATGACATTTTCTTTGATATGTAACCAGACATTATCAAATCATACTGTATGTCACTCGTTTTCTTTTTTCCATTTCTTTGTCGTAATTGCAAAGGATTTGTAATTGTTATGGTTTGTATCATGTAACACACATTTAGAGGTTGCAGGACGCAGTCTTTGCTACCTTGCAAACTCCTGTTGTGACTGGAAGGGAACGCGTTCCCCAGTACCACAGCACCAGGGTCGATGATAATCTCCCGGTTCTTCCCCGGGGATGCAGTGACCTCCCTCCTTCCCCCTCCTCCATCCAGCCGCAGGGTGAACTCATTGTCATGGCGATCCAGGTTGATCCCATGCCACTCCCCGTTGTCAATGCGGTAGGAGGGAAGCGTTATGCTGAAATCCCCATCGCCAAGGTTATAGAATACTGCCAGCAGACCCTGGAATACCTGGTTAATGAAATGCATCAAAACTCCCATCTTAGTATACTGGCAGAGTCCAGATTTGTTCTACCACCAAGCAGAGTATAGGTGTAAAAAAATATTTGTATGGATGAAATAGTCATCGCCTAGAAGAGTTAAATGACGCACTTTTTCACCTGAAAAAATATGTTTTTTTTTCCTTTTTATATCTTTCTCATGACATCCCACCATAAATAAACTTCAATCAATTTAACAGTTTCAATTTCTCGCTTTCCTGTTGGAGCTTAATTGTATTTAGCATCTGTCAAGACGAAGTTTGTTCATAAGATGTATGAGGGGAAAAATGAACAAAAGGCATAATGAACTTCACAGATCCAGTTCGTGATTTACTTACGCAGCTTAGTAGACTTTTAATTAGATGACAACAAGTATTTAGAATTATACAGAGGTTTTCATCACAACTAAGGATCCTAAGGTATTTGGAGGAAAAGAGGTTGCAAGAAATTAGATGTGTCTGATGTGCACAGGTGTTATAATTGCTATATCTTTATTGTTTTTTGGATAAAAAAAAGATGTGGTGGCACTGCCACCTCACAGTTCTTGGTTTATGGCTTTGCTTCTGACTTTTTGGAGTTAGCAACTTTTCCAGAGAACCATGCCTGTAAATGAAATAAACAATGGCCTAAAAACAATGTAACATATTGAAATATAATAATCGTGGGTTTTTTTAGTAACACAGTTGACAAGAATAATACTTTGGCCCTCTAACCTAAAAGAGTAATTTTATTTTAGAACTGACAGCCTGCTTTTTACCAACACAGGGAAAACTGTATTGGCGCACTGGCTATCACCGGTAAATCACAAAGCCTTCATTTCAATTTCAAAAAACCAAGAAGTCCCACCGAGCATAATTTGTAATGCCAGGTTTAATTTATTTATTTGCCAGAAAAAAGATTAATAGAGATGAGCTCCAATTTTTCACGTTAAATTGTGTCAGGCTAGGAAACATTATTCCTAGGTGATAACTTCCCCCTTAGAACTGCTTCAAGTGCGTGAGAAAACGCATGTTAACAAATATAACATGATGAGCTAAAGGTTGTTTTTCTAATGAGCTTGTTCTGAAAACATTTATTTCAAGGCTTTGTTGAAACCTGTTAATTATTTTTCACATTATTGGCCCTTTACAATGCTACAAATAGATATCAAACAGATGCCTTTTTCCTAATTAAAATATTAAACTGGGTGTAAACTTCTCTTAATTATGGCAAAGTATTTAAATAGCTTTCCCCAGAACAGATGTAACCTATTCCAAGTAAAACAACCAAATACGATATTATTGTACAGCATAAAGGATCATCATAAATCAGCATAAATTACATTTGCCATTGTTTCTCACAGGATGAGACTTAAAGATGTATTAGAGATGAAAATTCATTTTTCAAAATTCAAGTATTCATAAAAAGCAAACTCTAACAGATCCACTATAGCTCCTGTTCCTGGTTTCTGCTCAAGTATTAACATACCAAATTTCAAGGCAAACTATTTATAATATGTCTTACTGGGTTTTGTAAACACCTCGGAACACATTGTGCTCAGTAATATAATCAATTTAAACTCTTATTTAAACTATACATTTACAGTATGTCTCAAACCTTTCGTGTGGAAGATAATGTGCTTCGCTTAAGACTTCCTCAGCAGGAAATGGGAAATTATCAGTGTATAGATTTATAAGCCATTAGACATGTAAAGGAAATATAAATCAATGTTTTCTGCTCATTGCATACTGCAGTGAGAAACTGGAAAAAGAAAAAGAACAGAAATTATTAAAAGGATTGAAAACCTATGGGATATCATTTAGGGATATTGAAATTGTGGATTTTGTCTGAATAAAAGGACTTTTTTCACAGGAGATAAAGTGGATTGTACAGAAAAGGGAAAATAAATGTGCACTGAGACCAGTGGCTATTTACAGATTCTTGTCGAGGACTATTGGCAAGATGTTCGTTCTCTGAAATGACTGTAAATGAGGGTGCAGTGGGAATGTTATAATTGAGTGTTACTTTACATTCATCTTAAAATATTTAAATGCCGATGGTTATGCAAATGTGTGTCTGTTTTCTATTCATCTTTAAGAAACTTCACATATGCTTCAAGGATGCAGTGTGTATGTAGCAAGCTGCAGAAAGATTCTATGCTTTTAACAGAAAAAAAATGTTCCCTCCCCCCAGAAGCAAAAAAAAATACAAACACATTGACAGAGCTGCAACACCAAAGGAATCTAAACATATTCATTTGAGAAGTTATGTGCAATGCAAAAGCTGCCCCACCTCCAGTCTCAGGTACTCGTTCTGCTCCTTGGAGGTGAAGCTGATGATGGAGCTGCTGTGCTTCCTCGTTCTCACCAGCACCTGGACCTGGGTCTTCCTCGCAGGCAGTGGAGCAGGCAGCTGGTAATGGATGTAGCTTCTACCATCAAAGGAAAACTCTGGCACCTCTGGGATGTAAAAACAGAATCCTCTCTTGTGATAAACTACCAGTTTCCCGTCGAGATGATGCACTTGCACAGGAGAGCTACACTCATAGACTGTTTTCTCCTCAGAGGTGCAGTACAACCTCTACTGAAGGCTCACAGTGGGACATTGTTGTCTTAGCTTCCCTCATCTTCATCAGGAGCTGCAAGACGTGATCCTGTTAGACTGGTACCCGAGTGCTCTCCCCCGATGAGATGCTTTCTCCCTGATTTATGATTTACTCCCAGTGCTGCTGGCTATTTGCTTCCCATGATTTTTCTTTATATGACGCAATTGTTACAGCACTGCCAGAATATGACAAAAAGTGCTAGCCGCTGCTCCACATAGCGCAAGTCCCTCATAGATCACCCGAGCCAGGTTGAGCATCGCTTTCCACAGAACAGCTCTTGCTTCTCTTCAAACATATTAATGATACACGGCTGTTATAATTTGTGTACCGCGATCACTAGAACAAAGCAGCTATTGCAGCAATTTATTTATTGTTTGCCACCAAGCAAACAATATGGAGCTTCCTGTTTTTTATGCCTTTAAGAGCAGCTGGTCTCTTACCCTTTTCACACTGGTGCCCACTGAACCCTGGTAAACACTGGCAGCTGAAGGAGCCCCATTCGCCATGGCACAGGCCCCGCGGTCCACAAGACGGGTGGCCCATGTTCACACAGTTACTGTCCGTCATCAAGCAGCCAGGCGAGCTGTTGAAAGACTCTGCTGGAGAGCCTAGGTCATAGTACTGCAAAGAAAAGAAATGCAGTGGAGTGTTAAAACACCTGTATGCACAGTACCTTTATTTTCTCTGTACCCTTTCATTCTCCTCTCAGAATTCTCTTCAAAACTGACAATCACAGTCTACACATAACTGAAGATGATCACGTATCAATGACCCATGTCCCTATAATTCTCGGCAAGTGTCACGTTTCATCCACTACTGAGCATGCACTACTGAGCTTCTGAAAGCACAATGACAAGAATCAGAAGGAGAGGTCGCAGTTACACTGCGAAGTGAATCAACCTTAGTGAACACTTCTCTCCTGATTGTAAGAATAGTAATACAAGTGGGATCAGAGATCTGGAGATGCCTGCTATTTAAATCACTACGTGGTTTTGCTATTTCACACACTATACAGCCTTCCCCCTGTTTCAATTTGAAGAATGCACTAGCCATACAAAATGGAATAAAAGTGCCCACTATTATTGTAAGCCTTTTAAAGAAGTACAAATCCATCACTCATTGAAAACTTTCGACTTAACCGCCACATGTCCAGCGGTGAATCCAAGAATGAATGGAAACAAATGGATGGAGTGGGTGTGAGCAAATTTACTTCAATTCTTTATGAGCAGGCGCACATCCTAAAGCATAAGCAATCTCCATTGTAAGGCAGGATTAAATCATTGCCATCTCTCATCTTTGGTAGAATGCTTTTGAAATATTGAAGCATATTTTGTCAGATGAGTGGGAAGATGTGGCTTGAAAAGAAGAATCGACTTCCTAGCTGGCAGAGGGTCAGTATTTAAGCATGAGAGAACATGCTAAAATTTGTAGCATCCTCACTAATGTCTATGTGCTCTGCTCTACTCTACAGTTGTACCCATAAATATTACATTGTTTTACATTACTGCCATTCTTAACACCGAGTGCATGTTAAGCATGAGAATAAGGTTTTACTGTTGAATACCTTTAGTACTCTAATGTGATGTAATGGAGGTTCGTTTGTAAAAGTGTATGATTTCTTACTGCGTGAACAAACATTCATCGTACTCAGTCGTTACTTCACAGCTGAGTACTACGGCTAGTCTGTACCTTGCTGTCCACGACCAAATTTCGGATGCAGCCAGTGAAGTGCTTGTTCTGTAGCTGAGGATAGCTGTAGGGCAGCTTCTCATTAACACCTCCAAGCTGTAAGACCTGAGTCATATTCAGATGCCTGGATGGGGGGGCAACAAACACAGTTTCAGATTTAGCATTTTAAAAGGGTCCTGCTCATCAAGGGCTGTTCAGAGAGGAGGTACCTGTCCAAGTTTGGAGTCACCCCTGCAACTTCACAGGAGGAGTGGTCCTCAGAGGACAGCCAGTTCCCCAGCCCCTCCACTTCCATGACTGCTGCACTGCTGCATCGATCCAGAGTGAAGCGCACCTCCTGCATTATAAAACAGCAGGACCGTGAATGCAGGCAACAACAGGCTTTTTCAAACAGTCAGGGCTGTTCTGATATACAGTATATTCAGCTACAGTGCACCATTTCTAAAGCATCATACGAAACTTATCACTTTCATCTAGCCATGTACACAAAGACAGACTGTAAAGGTGTAATTGGAAGTTCAGAATGAGCTGTGTATAATGCTAAAGCAGATGTAATAACATACCAGCCCTGAAATACTACAGCCATATGTTTCAATCAGTCGTCAACAGCTGGTTGTAGTCCGTAGTGTGACCGGTGAAACATTCAGTGTATGCCATGACCTTCATTAATCAAGCAACGTAACTTTATTCTAAAGAATATTCTAAAGAATGAATTATAAAACAACAGCACTAAAGAGCTTGCTACATGAATAGGCAGGTCTGAGGTGGTCCAAAATAGCAGAAGCTTTCTTGCACTCAATTCCACCACCTGCTGCAGCTGGCAGCTGTCGGAAAGCCAGTGAAAATGTTTTTGAATCACCCACCTTGCTATTGCTTTTTACATCCAGACGATGCCACCTTCTGTCTGCTACGTTGACATTGCCTGGCAACTGCAGAACCAAAGTGCCTGAGCCATGGTTTATTTTCAAGGTTGGCGTGCCATTTATGAGCTCTGAAGTGAACATAAATAATTTTAAATGTTTAAACAGGTTCGAGGTCATACTAGATAACAGCTAATTAAATGATGTGCCATAGAATGGCACTACAATGATGCCTTCAGAAAGCCTAATAGGAATACCAAGTAATTGAATGGGTACCCAGTCTTTTTCCTCATCAACCTTTATGTTAGAAGTGAAGAAACTAATTAAATTTTCTGATGAGCGCCACTCCATTTCTAACCCTTCAAAAATAATATATTTCTTAATGAGAACATCTTTCAGTGCTACAGCGTCTTTTGAGCCATTGCTTTTACGACAAATTACAGAAATGTGAATTTTAATTAGCTCTCGCCCTTTCGCACCGCGAGAAAGCAGAACCTTCAGAACACACTTATTCAGCTTCAAGTATATTATAAAGCATATATATAGCATATTATAAAGGTAGTCGCAACCACAAACAGCTGTTTCATCCATAGTGTGGCATAGTTAACTTTGATACAGTTATGTTATGTCAAATATATATCATACACAAACTGTACTGTATTTCAATGAAATTGAAAAAGATGGAATTCATGGAAAATTACTTTCATATCTGGAAAAAATGTTCACGTAAAGATCACCCAGCATTCATGTTTGAGGTTAAAAGCCTTTACAGTTTAGCTGACATATATCACAAACTCAGTGTAAATGTTAGACATAAGGTTTAACATTAACAAGCCATGAAGAAGGAGAGCATCACCACTGGGACTGTAGAACTGGGGGTTTTGGGACACTTTCTTCTTGACATGACATTTAAGCAAAAGAAAAACCCATGAAAGCAAAAATGCCTGAAAGCAGACTGGCTGTTGACAAAGCAAGGAAACGGATAGCAGCGCTCTCTCTAATTGAGATTAATCATGATACGATGTGTCATAAAATGCACGGAGGCTGCAGCTGAAACTCATCACAGACTGCCTATGACTTTCTTCAGTAGGACTGGGTTTTATGTATTAGTATTTTAATGTGCTTTGACAAGAGCAAACTTGAAGAGCAGTAAGATTTCAACATGGATCTGCTTTTCATCATTTTTTTTGAGGCTGCACCACAATTGGTTTGTTCACTCTTTAGCTATCTTCCATTTTTGGCATTAATTAAGATTAATTTCTGTATTAAGATAGGGCACAGCTGTGACTGGCTATGTTTGTTTTCCTTTTTTCTAATTAGAAGACTCAGCCTTGGAATTTACATTTTCAAGGGTTTTGACAGAAATACATTATATCATGAGTAGTTTGCAGTACAGAAGCCACTCATGGTCATCACCGAGTCAGTGTTTAAAGTAAATTGTCCCCTGGCTGTCTCTGGTGAAGGCTGCGTGTTCAGTCCATGAAGGGAACTTCCCAGTGGCATTAATCATTGGTAGCATTATTACATTAAAATGTGGTAAACTAAAAATCCAAACGTGACATCTCCTCTGATGTTATCTAATAATCAGGTCACAAGTCAAAATAGTGGCACATCACAAAGCATAAAGAAAGCTTAAGAACATAAGGTTACAAAGAGGAAGGGGACATTCAATTCATCTTACTGTAGGTAGGATCTCATCTAGTCAGGGTATGAACTTCCAACAGCATGGCTGAGTAGTTTGTTCCAGACCCCCATAACCCTTTATGTAAAGTAATGCCTCCTTTTCACAGTTTTAAAAGCACTCCCTTAATTTCCACTTTTGCGCCACATGTGTTGCAGTATGTATCGCTACCCCCTTGTTACATGTGGACATCTGCCAGGTTTTTACCCAGTCTTGAAATATGTCTAAATCTATGTAGAATTTCCTTTGCAGCTTCTATAAGGTTTTCTAATCCTCCTATTTAGTACCCTCTGTGTATTTATAATTAACTATATCCAAATCTAGATCATTGACAAACTAGAAAAGAACATTGGTCGAAATTCAGGTAACCCTAACCCCTTAACCTGTTAAAATATTAGATCGCTAAATCTTTCAAATAAAGGATGCATATATTCATGTGTGTTTATTCTTGAATTCTGTAGCTCTACCATGTGACTGGTGGTACTGAAATCCCTTTATGTAATTATAGCCATTTTATGGGAAGCTGTGTTTTCTATTGACTTCACCTCTGCCTTCAGATTATCTCCATCTTCCACTCTCACTGTGTTTATTCAGCCCAAGCTATGGCAGAACTGTGTTACAAAGAGTCTTCTAACACCATCAGCTGAGCATGACTGATTCAATAACACAGCAAGAGGACATGCTTGAAGATCGATTAGGGATAGTGTTAAATCCCATACACTGTCTGCATCATGAAAAAAAAAATCAGGAAATATCCTGTAACTCTATTTTGCAGCAAATAGCAGAGAAGTCAATAAAGAAACTGTTTTTTTCTGAGCTCACAAAAATACATCTCTGCTGCAGCAGTCATTTCATTTTTTTAATCTCTTTTTCAAAAGTGGAAAGAAAATGCTGCAAAATTCATTGTAAATTGAGATAGATCACATTCTAGGCTCACCCATGTTTTTACACAGTAAATGCTATATTTTATCTTAATCTAAAAGGAGAAAGATCAAATAATACTGCATAATGAAATACACTTATACTTTTTATATCAGAAAAATAGATTTCAAAATATTATTTTAGCTTCTTTAAGAATTTTAAACATTTCACTTAAAAATACCAAACCAAAAGGAATGTATTTTCTGTAAGAACCATTTGCCGATAAAAGGTAAGAGATGCCTTTTTGTTCTTCCTGAAATACTGTACCTATTGCCATGAAGTCTTCAGGGTCCCATGGCTGGAGCTCTGTCACAGGCCCACTGTACATGAGCAGCCCATCTGCGACCTCAGTAATAAACTCCAGGGAGAGATGGCTCTCATAACAGGGCCTTGTGGGTGGAAACCAGGCATAACCATCACCATGGAAACTGTGCTTGGTTTGTTGGCACTCCGGGCCTTCAAACTGCGGAGGGCATTGACATCTAAAAAAAAGCAATTTAACAAATGACTATACATGCATCTCATACACTGGTTGGTATAAAAGTGTCATCCATAGGTAAGGACTTAAAGATATACAATTTTAATTGGGTGGGAAGAGAAGAATATGAATTTTGTGTCCACACACCACCTCACTTTTCCTTTCGGCATGCAGTTTGTTTCCAGGGTTCACACAGCATCAAACGCAGCTCTTCTAAATGGTACAGTATCCTACAGTATGACGATGCTCTGCTTCATTCGGTATCAGATTTCTAAAGACCCGTTACTGTATACCGTTACATATTGAAGCTAGCATCACATTGTCATCCAGAGCTCTTTGGTAGTTCCAGTGCTTCTTCTAGCAAGTGCTTTAATTTGCAACAGATCATCAGTGGGAAAAATATGTATACATGTCCCCCAGCGACAACGACTTCAGTACTTTCCCCTCCTCTGTCCAAACAACAACAAATTTGAGTGCACACAATCTGTGGCAGATCTCTTAAACATCACTTAAATCCCTTTAAATGTGTGCTGATCATATATTCTAACTGCCCAATCTACATACATTTCAGATACACATCCCCAGATATATAGACTATTGGTATAGTTAACAGATTGATTAGTAAATTGGTTTTACCTCAGTTAACCTCAGTTCTAATTTGTGCGCTGTTGAATGCTGTCTTATTTGATGTGTTTGCATTATGTATTGCAAATATCCACCCTGTTCAGCTGCTGAAATGTCAATTACAGCTATTGGAGTCCGTTTACTGTTGAAAGATGTGGAAATTACTGGAAACATCTCTGGCAATTGGTGTGTTACTAGAAACAATGTCTTTTTAATCACAGAAATCAATATCAAATCGCTCCTTCCTAGACAAAGTACTCCAGAGTATCCCAACTACAAAACCATTTAGTGAGAAACAAGCTCCTTTAACCTTTTCAATCAAGCTTCAGACAGTTCCATAGTAATGAAACAACCCTGGAGAAGGCGACTAAGGATCTCATGGCTTGAGTTTCATGCTCATTGTTTATCCTTGTTCTGGTGGACCTTAAGCGCTACTTTTGATGCTCTTAATCATGCAAACCTCCTATGTCACCTAGATGGTGTCAACTCTGACATTGCCGTAAGTTGGTCTGGTGCTTGCCTTTCTGATCACACCAATTAAAAACAATATAATAAACAGCTTCTGTCAACTTTGTGATTTCTGGTGTCTCACAAGGCTCAGTCTAGGTCTTCTATTCAGCACCTATACTGTGAGTTACCACTTCGCCAGATAACAATTTCACCATAGTGTTAACTTCCACTGTTAATTCAATCCAATATTCTGGTGTTACTACTCTTACAGGCTGCTTATCGAATACTAAAACCTAGATTGAACAAACTGTTTGGAGCTCAACCTTGACAAGACTGATGTGAAGTTTCTGGGGCTACATCATAAAATGCCTTTAGCATGGACATCGATAACTTGTAGACTGGATCATCTAACCAGGTGTTGTTCTCAACCTCAGTTTATCATTTAAAACTCATGTCAGATATATTGCAACACTGATTTGTTTCACCTGCATAATTTATGACCCACTGTGTCACAAACAGATGCTCAAATGCTATATCATTTACTACAGACTGAAGTACTGTAAAACACAAGTAAAGATTTATTCCATGCTGAAAAGCAGAAAGAAGAATCGCAACATTTTGGCTGTTGAGCCTTTCTGAGTGTGGAATTAACCTTCACTTGTTCCTTTGCAGTGAAATCTGATCCAGCTCCACACTCAAACCCCTTTTGTAATACACTGCTTGCTGGTGCCTCTTGGCACACTACAGTACAAACAGTCTTCAATATGTTCACACCTCAGTAGCTAGAATCCTACCCATATCCAAGCTCCACATGAATACCACTCGTGTTCTAGGCTGCCTGGCATGACCCCAGGCTCACATACTATGCACATACAGATGCAGCCATTCAAAGTATGGGGCACAGACACATACTATTATTAATACAATTAATAATATCTTCGGTAAAAGTTTTGATGCATAAAATATTTCTGCATAATTAAAATATTTCTGATAAAGGTAGGTTGTGTACTTTTGTCCAACTGAGCAATCTTGCTTTCATAAAATATACCAACTTTTTAATGACTGATGATTAACATGCTGTAATACACAGTTTAAATTTAGAAGCTCAAATGCTGTACATGAGAGGTTAAGCTTTATTGTCTCCTCCTGGTGGTTTTAGAAGGTGATTCCAGTTACTTTCCGGCATGACGTCAAATGACGCGCTATACCGCGTGATACTGCGTTTTCATGAGACATGTCCACCGCAATGTACCGCAAAATACCTCACGCGTTTTGAATGGCTGCATCTGTACTATAAGACTGATTTAAGAATCCTTCTGACCTACTGTACAAAGCACTAAGCAGTCAAGCCCCTTTCTACCAAAAAGACTTGCTTAACTATTACTCTCCATTACAACAGCTGCACTCTTTAAGTTCTGGCTTGCTGTGTGAGACTATAACATACACTTGGCAGTAGGTCTATCTACAGAAATACACCTAAACTGTGGATGGTTCTGTACAAGCCTCTCGGCTAACATCCATCTCCAGTCATTTTAAATCACACTTGTTCAGGCTAGGGTTTCATAACTTTCAATGCATTTTTTTTCTGTCCTATTGGTGTCCTTCCACCACTGCTTTGTGGACGTTATCTCCACTGATGTTTTAATAGAATAAAGGTGCTACATAGAATTATTGTTAATAATCAGACAATCAAACAACAAAGAACTCAGTTCAAAAAGAAGAACTCAGTATAACAATAAAAATGACTTGTTGAGGCTTAATGTTAAATCACCCATAAAAAAGCGAACATACAAAAGAAAGATTAAAATGATTCGATAAAAGGCTTGTGAGTTTTTAGGTAAAAAATGAGGGTTTTGTGACTACATCCATTTTTAAAAAGAACACTTGTCCTTTTTAAATCTCTACTAGAATGTATTCAATACTGTAACACCTTTTTGGAGAGATTCTTATCGGGCCTTTGTTATTTTACTGAGGATTTCTGATTCACAACAGTGCTGGAGAGACTGCAGCCACTTATTTTACGACTCTTATTACTTTTTCATGTCTGATCAGATCTTGAAGGTCACAAGATCAGCACAGTGTCTTATTGTGAAGCCATTGTTTGAAATTATCCTTCATTCAGTGCTTTTCTATTCCCTTTGCCTTTCAGCCTGAGCAGCTGTAGGAGAAGAGATTTATTAGATACTGTATAACAATGTCAAATATGTAGCACTGCAGTGAAAGCCTGTCACAGTTCTTTGCGAAGGAACAGGAAAAATGGAATGGGCTGCAGTCTCAGTCGATTTATAATCCAGGTTGTGGAAATTGAAATGACAATACACTCACAATTATATTGAAAGGCTACCGTAGGTGTGTGCATTACCTGTACTCCTTCATTACATTATAAATGACAATAATAACCCTGAACAAGCATTCCAAACCCCCAAATATAAACACTTAGCATCAAAAAGCAGTAGTTTCTTGAGCTCAGATGTGCTTTGTTAACACTCTAGTCACACTGGAGACAAGCCTGTAATCAAAAACCAGCAGCATCTTGGGACAATAAATAATGGAACCCCAAAACTGCCTCTGTTCTCTCGCTTGCGTAAAAGCATAAAAGGAAACCAAACGGATTGAAGGCAGCTGTTGCTGACAAAGGGAGGCTAGGCAGGTACTGTAGATCATTTCCATATCCAAGCCACATCAGATCAGCGCTCATTCCTGTTACCATGGTGCTCTGCAAACAAGAGAGAGTCCCCCTGCAGCCTGGATAGGACACCTGTCCCATCACAGGGATTACCCCCAGCACTGCTGGGCCCCACTTGTACAGCTAGGTGGACTGAAGCAACCAGGGCAGATCACCTCATGAAAGGGTACAACAGAAGGTACTTGAACCTACAACCAACCTGTCATATGGCTAGATTTACCCACTAACCATAAACCCTAGCCCACCCCCAAAAAGGGAATCCATACATTAAACAAGGCTCCAGGGCCAAAACGTTGTGGCTCACACCTGAAGAAGGCTCCACAGCCGAAATGTTGTTTTCTTTCTTCTTTTTTTCAGCATGGAATAAACCTATTACTTGTTCCTTTGCAGCCTACGCATACTGACGCAGCTACCCACCTGAATTAAACAAATATGCTGCATCTCTATAGACTATCTCATAGCAGGCAAGAAAGTTTTAGAGAACATCAACATGATGCTTGTGGTAAAGATTCGATGACTATATCCGCCTATCCATTTTTCAACCACTTCACCCAAGTCAGGGACACATAGGAGCTGGAGTCGGGACTGTGATATTTCTCTCCTTATTTTCAGTGCTCAGTTGCTCGCTGTTCCCCTTCTCTCTGTTGTTCAGAATCGTTTAGTTAATGGGTGATCTGAGACAAGTTACAATATCCTCAAAGCACCTTGCATTATGAGATGCCTGAGTGTGCTACAGCGCATTATGCAGCTTTTTTTCTTTTACATATTCAGTGTTCAACCCATGAAGTGGTCATTTTTAAAAAATATTTTGTTTTTAAGTTTCAAAAGTTAGTGTTTAAAAATGCTTAAATTGCTTCACATTCCAACCATGTGCAGAGATGATCATTTCTTGTGTCCTGATCAGAAAAGTATCTAAATAGTTTAAAGTATTATAAAATTATTTAAGTGCTCAAAGCTAAAACTGTATTTAGTCAATGTTACCCATCGCGTTTATTCTTCTGCATTTTGTGATGCGTTCACACTGCTACTGGTTTGACCCAATTGAGGACATCTGCCCCAGTCAACTGAACAAAAAACTTTGGACAAACACAGAACTTGACGTTTGGTCTGTACCATAATCCCTAAATCTGAAACTAGACATTGGTCTAGTCTAGTTTCCATTAATCAGCAAGGTGGGGGCTGACTTGTGTCTTAAAAACACATTGTTTGGAATCAGGTTACCTTCCAGAGATTCTGCATTACATGAAAGACTCATACACCGTGGAAAGTGGACAGAATAATAGAAGATATGTAAAATAAGTAAACGTAAAAAATATCCAGTTAAAAGATGAATTACTCATGGTCAATTGCTTATCATTGTCTTCTAAGTAAATTTTAATCGCCTGTGTTTTAAAACTCCCTACACATTCAGCTGTTCTCTCTGTTGCTGTTGGTGACACAACAGAGAGAACAACCTTTATGCCTATTAATCCAGAAAACATTTATTACCTGGTAGTGTTACACACAAAAATGATTTTGAAAGCTTGTGTAAATTTTATCTGTACTCTGTTAAGTAAACAAGCTTTTTTTTAGCACCCAGCAAATTTTTATGCTTTCATTTTAACACTCCTGTAGGAAATTAAAAGGAGAATGCACCAAAATGACTTGAGAGATGTGTTTGTATATACAGTACAGTATAGTTCTAATAATATTGTCTGATAAATTATCCTCCATTTCAATAATCCTTGAGTCTGTCAGGTTGGGGAATGAAGAAACAATACTGTTGTGGATTTGATGGAATTGCTTTGCATCCAATTTAGAAGACATCTGAAAGGAGGGCCAAAGACGTGAAATATTTCGAGTATTCATTGTGTACAACAAAGCATAAAAACATTTATTGTGAAAAAGGATTAAACCTTTTCTGAAACGAAACAAAACAAAACAAAAAAGCATCTGCATGTAAGATAGTAATGGTTATTGAAAAATAATCCTGTTAATTCACAACCTGAGCCCGAGTGAAGAACGAAACAAGAGAGACGTAGAACAGAATGATACATTAAAAGAAAACTAGGGCTGCTATTTTCGCAGGGGAATATTGGAAATATCAGGTCCTATTTGCGTAGTCGTTCACGGTGAATAAACACACCGCACTTGTGCTGAACCTGGAGAAGGCTCACCTGTATCCGGTCTGGCTGTCCATGCAAACTCCGCCATTGTGGCAGGGGTTGCGGGGGTAAGATGCGCACACCTGGTGCACGTGCTCCCGGCTGCTGCAGGTGCACGCCGCCGTGACCACCACCGTCACCGACACCAGGGCCGTACTGCTGGAATCCACTACCGTGGGCGTGTCGCTGATGGTCAGGTGGTTAGTACAGCCCGCACTCCCTGCGCAGTCCGTGTCGGCGCACTCGTCCACGTGCACTTGGCTGATATTCACCTGGAGCGCCGACTGCAGCTGGGGCGGGGGCAACCGGAGAAGAGAATTATCAGGCGGCATGTCGAATTACAAATAAAACCACAGAGCAGCGGCAGCCTTTATTACAAACAGGATTTAAACTAAGCCCACAGCACAGAAAAAAGCAAAAAAAGAACATCTGAGAGCCGCTGCTTATGAAATATCTCCTTTCTGGAGCATTAGCATAACACAATACTGGCTGGCCCCATTACCGAAAGAAGCTTGTTGCTGTCACCTTGATATGCAAAGGAGCAAGGTGACCAGTCCACAGGAGAACAGGGGGGAAATAAAGTTGAAAGTTTTCTGGGTCTCAGCACAACTGTGGCTTGACAAGAAGAGTTAAAAAGAGACATTTTTAATTCAGTAGACCTTGTAGTTTATAATACCAAATATATCAAATTTAGAATGACATGAAATATAATATATCCTAGGCTTCCATCTGTATATTGAGTGTGTATATATTGTATATAAAGTGTAATTTACCATTCCTTCCATAATGCAGGGACCTAGTGAACAGGCTTGAAACTCTGGCTGTCTTGTGAAGATAGTTGCTTTCATCAAGTGATGAAAGCAACTTGTTAAATTCACAGTTTCGGATCCAGATTAAGCCACAATGAAATTTACACATTAAAAGAAAATAAATCAACCATCGCAGAAGGATGTGGTCAAAAGGCTAGGCAATTTCAAAGTAATTATTTCAGAGCACATTTCAATGGTTACTCTGACAGTTTTGGTGCCTTTTTTTTCCTGAAAAAGACCTGAACACTATCTAGTGTATTTCCAGTGCTCCAATATTCCTCTAAAGGAACTACACACAGAGGAGCATCATTTTCATCTAAATGTCTTTTACAGCACAACAAACTCTTTTACAAAATGGGCCTCATCTCTATGAATAGACCGATTTTGGACAGAACTTCACAAAGTATAAAAACTAGAGAGATTATGAGAAATTGTCTATGTGTGTCATTGTGCTGTAGGCTGCCGGTCAGTGGTCTTCTTCCATCTCCAAAGCCCTAGGCAGGCTGAACACATTGAAACACAGTTGCTAATACCTCTGGCCTATTCCATCTTGTCTTATCTGCCCATCTGTGTGCATTTTTTTTCCCATTCAATAGCCCCGATGCTGTAGAGTCCTCGCATTTTCCTGCCCAAGGACAAGTGAACATGCTGCATGGCGTTACTGTTAGCATGATACTGCCCCTTTGTTGATCGCTGAGGCTAAAAGACAGTGACAGTGCAAAGCAGGGTGGCTTCTATGTCAGGGGAGGGGTTCCCTGTGGTCAGTGGGAGCCCCGTTAGTGCCCAGTACCAGACAAGCAGATTTGCCCTGAGCTGCTACATTTAGAAAAACATATGTGAACAGCCCTGACAGACTCTGCAGCCCTATTCTACGTGCCAGATTAATGTGTAAATTAGTTTATGAAAAGGTAGTGTGTATTCTTTTCTTCGAGGTTAAACACTGAAAATCAAATTCCTCACTGCGTCGCCTCCTTCACCATTTTTCCTGCTCCTGACACATTAGCAGCTACCTTCCTGAACAGACGATTCTGGACATTTTGCATTCGCATTGCCTTGGAACTCCAGGAAATTGGGAAGCAAGGAGAAGATACCAAGCTATACTAGCAGTGAAAATAATGGCTTAGTTCTTGCACAGCTTTTAGGTTTTACATAAACAGCCTTAAAATATCCAAAGGCTTGAATTATATACCCAGTGCTATTGGAAATTGCAGCAAGTCATTTCACTAGTTTATTCCCAGAGCTATTTAAAGAAGGAAATCGGATAGTGGATGTTAGTGTATATTTTTATATTTTGGAAATCCCAGAGGAAAGACTTTTGGCTAAATCAGCTTTTTCTATCTTTCCCATATTAATGTTTGCACATTTTAGTACCCATATCCAGTTTAAATAGACAATCCTCACATGAACAGGGGATTAAAAACCCTCAAGACAAAGAAGGCTTTTTTAAATAAAGAGTTCGGTTTGATTTTCTTTAAACAGGTTTTTATTTAATGTCCAGTGCTATTGGAATGGAATGCTTTAAAAAACTACATTCATATTGCAATGGTTAATCTTTTGGGAAATAAATTAATGATGGATACAAACAGGTCTTTTCTCTGTATTGATATTCTCTGAGCACCTGTAATTAAGGTTGATCAAAGCAATTAATCTCTTTGTATTTATTCCAAACAGCTAAAGCAGTTTTGCTGAAAGAAATCTATAAGAATTCTGTAAAAAAGTCTAACCTGTCCTCAAAGAGAAGGAGATTGTGAAACGATATCAGACTGATATACTCTACAACCTTAGAATTAAAAAACATTAAAACACAAAGGAATCAGAAGTACAATTTCCATTTCACAAAAATATCTCTCTTACAGCCATCAGACCTCTCTTAATATAGTTTACATTAACTGTAATATAAAATTCAAAGCAAGTATAATCACATTTATTGATTGGTTTTAGTATTTTAATGCATATGTCCCTTTTCTGCTAAATATAGTGAGAACTGACAGTCAAAAACTTAAAAGCTAAAATCAGAAAATACCTAAAAAAAGGTGCAAATCCTTGACAGTCAAATGCACACAAGATAAAAAAGTGACATCTCACAGCTACTGGGAAGTGCTACATTTAATTTATTTTTTTTTTCATTAAAAAATGTAACAGTTCAAAAATACTTCAAGCTTCATGTTTATTTTCAAACTGAGTTTTACTTAATGCCCTAGGCTCAGTTACTACTTTAATCTTATACTTTTTCTTTCCGTATGCCTTAATTGACACTGCTAAGCTATGCCACAACAAACTTTCCCCAGGTTTAAAATGCTGTCTGGATATTTTTAGTGCACTCTTTTTGTGTCTCTTTTTTTTGCCTTTAACATTTCACATAGAGCAGGCAAGGTGTCCGCTGAGATTTCATGTCATCTGCAGAAGCCACAACCCCCTCTCCCAGCTCAACTCCGGTGCTCTCAGTGTGCTCGAAGACAGAGCAGGACCGCAGAGCAGAGGGACCTCAGCAGTACAAGGGTTCAGTGCACAACGTGAGCCATTATTCACAGAAGGGTGGTGCTCACAGTTTGGAACATCAGGGCCGATTCATTCTCCGAACCAACATCTCACGCCCTAGTTTGCATGACCAGGATACCCCTACAAACCAAGGCTTGCAATGTGCACAACAAAACCAAGGTAGGCAAAAGAACACAAAAATCACCTTGAGTGCCAGGAATAGAACACAGTTTCAGACCCTGACATTATTCCATCTCTATTTTAGTACCCATATTGACATGAACGACAAAAAAAGACAGAATGGTGCAGGCACTCAATGAATGCTGTACAGAACATTTTGAATGGCTTTTAAATTTGGAATTTAATTTAAATTCAGAATCCAATACCTACCAAGCTTAAGCCAATTCTGGAGCCATTACTAAAGAAACTGTTTTGTCATTTTTACATTCTAGACATATGATATTACAAGATTTCTTCTAATAAAGGTGTAAAGGAAGTGGCATAAAATACTGATGAAAGGATCTGAATTATCCTTAAAGAATAACTAAAGTAGTGTTTGACTTTAACTCACTCCCATAAGGAGACGCCATCATTTTCTGTAGCTAATTTGCATGAGTGTGCATGAGAAATGGAAGCTGGAAAATGATCATACAATATAAGCCTCACGTTTTCACTTGCATACTGGGCCAGCTTAAGAGGTGTTAGGGGGTTTGAAAGATGAAGTATTGAGAAAACAATACCTTCTGTTTGTAAGCTGCAACATATCCATGCAGCTTTTCTGGTCTCAGGTAGGTAGAACCATGCACAGAGAACCTCACATCCATCATTCTTTCTTTCACATTTATCAAGCTGAAGACGTTGACGTTATCGGGGTTCACCAACAATATGTCCGCCAACAGCCCCTTGAAAGTCTCATATCGACTCTTCCCATCTGCTCCTTTGTGAACAAACTCCTTGGCTGTGATATCTGTATAACAAGGCAGACAGATCTTCATTTTTATAGTTGCCATTCATTTAGGAAATGTTAATCGCAAAACTTTTTACAGGAAGTGTCTTGACTGCTGTAATTATGATTCTAAGGAACTAATTGTATAGCAATCAAGCAAAGAAAAAATATGGGCTTGCACAGATGAAAGTAATTGTGATTTTATGATGTGCACATAGTTAAAGCCAAAAACATTTTTAGTATAATATGGAATTAAAAGATGACATCATTGTATGCGAAGAGCACAAGAGCACTGCTATGTAGTGCTGTAGACAAGTATTTGACAGTTGGATAAGGTTAAGTAGGAGGAGTGAGAAATATTGTTTGGGGGAGAGTTTTTGCATGTTTTTTTCCCTGTGTTTTTAAATAGTATGATTATTCCACCTACACAATAAGTAAAAGTCATTTGTTAAATTAAAAATAGTTTTGTGATGGTTAAGAATTGTAAGAACCAGAAAATATGAATATGTGTGAAGAAATTCTTCTCCTCTCTTACCAAACAAATCTGTTTATTTTTTTGCATTGTTCCCCCACAAAGTGATTAATTGCCACAAATTCTCACAACTGCTCTTCTGCTTTAACTCGGTTTTCTCCATTAACATCATTCCTACCCCCTCGAAGGAAACACAATCCAAATAATCACATAATTTTTCATGCAGCTACAAGCACTTGAGTAAGAGACTCTCTTTACTGTTCACTGTGGGCATAATAGGGCTGGAAAGACTGCAAAGCCTATGGGTTAAAACTAAGCTCCTCTGCTTCTGAAGTGAAACCTAAAAGAATAGGGCTTTGTGAAAGTATCCTTTTATTATTAATACTATCCATTTTACAAGTTTCTTCTACTTTTTCAGGCAGACATTTTTATGGCACTAAGAGAAGAAAAAGGTATAGTAATATGATAGGAGAATTTTACAGGATCAAAAGTCTGTCCCAGAGTTTCTGAAATGATCCCGCAAATAGGACACATGACCTATTATCTGGAGTGTGTCTTATCAAACTCATTCAGAAAATTCATTTACATTTTTTAATGATTAAGTCACAGATTCAGACTACTAAGGTACTGTGAATGCTAATCAGAACTTAAAACCCATGTCAATGCAGGGAATTAAATCTTCAGAAAAAAAACCCTGAAGTTTGAGCTCTCCCATAAAAAGGAATCTGACTGTAATGCAATTATAGTGTTCAAAAGCACAGCAGTATTAAATGGTGCAAAGCAAAAGAGAAAATGAAGGAAAAAAAGATATTGCCTAAGTCAGAAAAACCTTGAGAAAAGGTTGAGGACAGTCACTTTTCATTACCCAAACCTTGAGGTGGAATAATTTGTGAAATTCAGCCGTTGATCGAAAACTCAATATTTCTAAAACACAAAATGACACTACTATTCTGTCTTGGTTTTCACGCTTCAAAAGTAAGAGAAATAATCATTTCTAAGCCAGTGAAGAGTTTAGGTTTGGTCAAAATCCTGTTAATATTTGCATTGTCATCTGTCTCAAATTCAGTTTGTAATGCCTGATGATCACCTCCTACGCAGCACAGAGGTAACATAAGGTTAGGATTTTAGGTTTTGTGTACAGTTGGGGCTGGGAGGATTTAATGTTGAATTACATTTGACCTTTCAATCTATATGTTTGAATGAGAGAAAAATCCTTCTTTAATCTCATCTAATGAGACAAAACAGTTTTAAATAAACCTGTTAATGTTGCCCTTTTCATTGTGCATGTGTTCTTAAAAATGAGAATTCAAACACAAGGCAAGGAGATACCGTAGACCCCTAAAGACTTCTTCTGCTGCTGCCTTTAGTAAACAGCTCCAAATCCAAAATACCAGACTCACAGCTGATCATTTGATGAGACGTGATTTGCCAGAGGAACAGCCATCCTCAGGGGACAGTACTAAGCCCCACATCCATCTTAAATGTAAGTTAAGCTGGATTTCAAGTTAGCCTTTAGGAGATGAGAGCTACAGTGTGGTGTATTATTATTTTCATTAATGAATTCCAAGCATTCCTGGTGCTGTATTCAAACCACAGGGATAGTTACATTCCCACAGGAATCAAGTGTTACAAATAAAGTGTCCAGAATGATTTATTCCTCGTGATTTCATCATGTACATTTTTAATTAAAAATGTTTTTTTTAAAACAGTATAGTCTATACTACAGGGGCTCATGGGGTCAGAGTTCAACTTTGTTTCAGTTCCATTTAGTAAACTACAGAGCACATGACTGTCCCCTGATGGGACACCGGTCTATTACGGGGATTACCTCCCAGTACTACCGGTCTCCTCTTACAGTATACAGCTGGGCAGACTGGAACAACTGGGGTACAGTAACTCTCTGAGGGTGGAGCACCAGTGTCTGCAGCAGGAACTCCAACCCACAACCTACTATGCCCTACATACACTTATTAAATGAAATAAAAATATCAGTCATTTTATTATAAAGTCTTCAGCACCTAAAAGGGAAGTTTTTATAACTATTTGAACTGATTTTTGTACTTCTTTTAATTATAGCATTTTATATGGCATTTGTGACCAGTAAATAAAAAGGTACATGACACAAAAACATAACTTTAATATAATCTTTTTCCCCAAATGGGGAAAATAGATTATCTAGAAACTCCCATATTTTTCAGAAACTGACTTTGATTAAATAGGTTTTAGATCAAAAAAGCAAACTCTATAAATAAATTGTTTATCAGCAAAGTCCACCATTACAGAAAGGTATGGTAGAGAAAACAACAGAAAGACTATTATATTCAAAGGAGCATGCATAGTATAAGGTCAGTTCTTTAGAGAGGAAAAGACAACATCATGTCTGGTTTGTTTTAAGACCAAGCATGTGTGAGAAGGAACAAGTTTACTTTGCATGTCGTATAATAAGTTCTTCAGGATTTTTGCAGGAAATGTAACCAAATCAAAGGCCTCCCAGTGGAATCAAACCTGGGCACCATGAGGTACTGTAGCATTTCTAATTTCCACACCAGTTTCGATGCACACGATTTATATAGTATGTTACGACCCTGAGTGTCTAGCGGTAAAGGGGTGTACATTTAGGATAATTCTTTTGGAAGCAGGTTGGTTTTGGTGAGGGACTAGGAAGCGTGATAACAAGGCTAAGGAACTAGAGTGGTGCCAAAGAAAAGAAAATAACAAACAAAATGGAGCTGGCTAGGAAAGTGAGGGAACTCACTAACCTGACTGCAAAAGAAAACCCGAAACACACGGTCTTCGGCGTCTTCAACACCCTAGCTAACCTGCACTGACTACCCAAAACCATACAAGACAAATGGCACTCACCCGTACTAAACTAGTGTTACTAATACAAAGTCAACTAAGTGTGTAAAGTGTACCAAACAACCTAAACTAACCTTATATACAAAAGTTCACACAAAAACACAAGGTGAACCAGGAACAGGGTACAAAAGAACACAAAGGTTGAACATGTAGCACGTTAGGGCAAGGTAAAGGCAAAACAAGGATAAACACACAAACAAACAAAAGTACAAAGAAACTAACAGAAAACCAACAAAACAACAAAGCCGAAGCTATACGAAAATACACACACACACACAGAAAGCAAAGCAAAGCAAAGCAAAGCAAAGCAAAGCAAAGCAACGAAGCCGAAGCCGAAGCCGAAGCCGAAGCCGAAGCCGAAGCCGAAGCCGAAGCCGAAGCCGAAGCCGAAGCCATAACCAGAAGCGAAGCGATAACCAAAACCAAACGGGACCAAAGTCAAATGAAAGGCCTCTCCTTGCTGAAAACCTCCATGTTATATGCTGAATAAGAAGGGTTCTGATTGGCTGAGAGCTAATTGATGATGACGTCATACTGAAAGTGTGGTGTAATGGTGGGCCAATGGGGAAGGGAGCACAATCAAGGGTCAGCAGTGTGGACATAACAGAAAAAAAAACACACTGGGACGTAACAGTATAACAATACAGTATAACAATACACTGTAAACAGCTTCCAGAGCATTGGAGATTGCAATACTGAATACGAAGCACATACAAAACTGAAAGTCCAGTGTGCTTTATTCCACTCACAGGCATACACGACTAATCTCACCTGCAAGGCGTAGGGAGCCCGAGTTGTAGATTGCTTCATCCCGGAGCTCTTTCACGTGCACCTTCACACTCGACACCACATCAGGCCACACGCCGTCAGACACCCTCACCTTAAACTCAAAGGTACCCTGAGGGGCATTCTCCTTGATTATGAGAAACCCAGTTCTTTTGTTCACTATGAAATGCCTGGAAATGGGACATTACAAAATAACAAAAACAATCTTTTAAAAAAGGCTTTGAGCCGCTTTAGAGTCCTCATCTGCTACCACCTATACGGTTGTCTTGGACCTTCAAGTGCATTAACTGTTGCTGGTTAGGTCAAAGTCAAAGGTCTTTAAACTGTGACACACAATATTATAGGATCTATTTCCTTCTCATTTCACATGGACATTTGGTTTTTGGAGCTGTCCGTCACAACGACACTCAGGTTTCATTTTTCAGCTGTATGATGAATAGTATCACATTGATTTGTTTGGATAGATTGAAAATCTATACACTTTGCATCTCTTGTCTGGTTATTTCTTAAATGACACTAGGAAATTAAGATGCTTCATATTTCACATTTGCCACTATTGCTTCAGACAGCAGAAATGCTTTTCCAAGAATTTGTATTGCTTGCAGTTCGTGGTCTTCACAGGCACTCTGAGTATTATAAACACCACTGTAAGGAGAAGAGTTGGCTGATCATGATGCAGAGATTCAAAAAGATCTGTTAGAGATATGCTATATAAATATACTAAAATATTTCAATTACTATCTTTCAGGTGGATATCTGTGGAAGCACTGTGCTTCCTTAAAAGGGTCTGGAGGCTTTGCCTCTCTCAACCCAGTCTACCGTGAAATGGAAGTTAACTGAAATTTAGAAGGGATGACGACACCCAACCCACTTTCGCCAGGCTGTCCTAAATCATAAATCAATCCCAAAGCCATTTCTCAAAAGCTTTATGAATCATACTCAAACCCCTCTTTTTGAATTTTGTCTCATGCCTCCCTCCTCCACTCCGTCTCCACTTGTGCAGCTGCCCCAATTTGGGGGTTCGAGTCTGCTTTTCTACGGCCAAGTGAATGACCCTCAGTCAAACCTTCTTTAACTATACCTAAATACTCAAGAAATATCCTCAAATGCACCTGAATTTCGAGTGACATTATTCCTCACTAAATGGGTCATTTTACTTACTTGGGAACATATCCTTCAAAGCCATATGTTTTGTTGTCCCAGTCATCTGGATCTGGAGCATAGACCTTTCCTAGGACAGTAGTTGGCATTCTGCCTGTTAGAAGGGGAGGATATTAGTTCAGTCCGATCCATTCTCTCTGCCTCCTGAGGTGAAAACTACAGGTCTATCAGCTGATGTGGATGATTGCTGACCCAAAAACAGCTGTATTGCACATCTGAGATTTTAATACTCCAGGGACTTCATGCGGTTAAACTCAGAGGAGAATGTAAAAATAAAGCATTATGTTCTTCTCCAAGCCTCCCAACCAATCAGCAACACTCATAGCCATGGTGGATAACAATAGATCATATACACTAAGCAGTCATTTCTTATACTAAATAATATTCTAACATAAAAAAATTCCAAACACAAAAGTAAAAATGTAATAATACTGGTCACATAATTCCAAAATTAAAAGGCACTTTCTTATGCACCACTAAATTACTTCAGCATTTTAATACTTCTTGTGGCACCATTAAAGAAGGAAGTTTTAAAGTATTGCAATATAAGACATTTTTTCATTACCAATTCCATTATTTATAAAATGATTATTAGTTTGGTTATTTAATGATTTAGAAGATAATAATAAATATAAATCTGATAAAAATAAATCTGTAAATACCAGAAATTTGCTAAAATCTGCTTCTTCATAATGATTGGAAGGCCAGAGCCTTACCTCTATGGCTGTTAATGTAAATCTCCTTCTCTCCAGCACGATGGGGGTGATCATTTTCATCGCCAATGGTGATGGTGAGAGTGCTGGTAGCAGTCTTTGGAGGGTGTCCAGTATCCTTCATAATGATGGGCAGAAAGAACTCCTTTTGCTTCTCCCGGTCAAATGTCCTCAATGCTGTGATGCTGGCTGTGTTATTTCCATTGTCTTTGAAGATGAAGTCGGTGTTATTTTGGTACTCCAGAGGCAACATGAATGAAAACGGAGGCCCGTTTTCTACAGTATCCCTGTCAACTGCATAGAGAAGCTGGGAAGTTTGGTTCATCCTGACAATCTGTGGTCCAGGAACATTTTCCCAAACCACAGGCATGTATGCAGCTTCAAACTCTGGGCCATTATCATTGATGTCAAGTAACGTCAACTGTACTGTGGCACTGCCCGTCTGGGCAGGACTTCCTTGATCTGTAGCCAACAGAACCAAATAATGCTGTGCTACAGTTTCTCGATCCAAAGGGTTTACTACTATGACCTGACCTGCTTGGTCAATGGAAAAGTAACCATGTGGATCTGACTCTGGAAGGATACTGTAAGTGATATCTCCGTTCTGGCCTGAGTCTGAATCAGTGGCGGTAAGCTTGGTAAGGCTGGTTCCCACAGGGACATTTTCAGGCAAGGGGTTGAGGACAACGAAGTGTGGAATAAAAACAGGAGCGTGATCATTGTAGTCATCCACCTCGATAATGCAGTGCATTGTACTGGAAAAATCAAGGTCTTCTACTTTGACAGTGAGATTGAACCTCTGGTCACTTGATTTCTCATAGTCCAGTCTCTTCTTTAATCTCAGTATGCCATTCTGTTCCTTCCTGTGATTTTCAATGTAGAATTTCTGCTCTGGGTCACCTCCAATAATACTGAAAGTCAGCTGGGCATTCTCTCCCACATCTGCATCGGTTGCAGAAATCTCCAGTACAGCAGAGTTAAGCTCACTATTTTCAGAAATTCTTGTGTGGCAGAAATTCTTGGTAAACCTGGGTGCATGGTCATTGACATCTGTCACCCAGATGGTTGCAGTTCCTGTTCCTGTCATCCCTCCCCCGTCTTTTGCTTCCACTACAAGCAAGTACTTATCCGTCTTTTCTCTGTCCAGGTTTCCAAGGGCAACGAATATTGTCCCTGTGGTGGGATTGATGTTGAACAAATCAATGTTGATTCCATTCTTGATGTTACCCACTAGTCTGTAAGCGAGGACTGCATTCTGTCCAACAGTGCTATCATCAAGGTCTGTGGCTGTCATGTCCATGACAGAAGTGTCACTGGGGGAGTTCTCCAGCACGTTCCCATTACAGTTGTCCGGCATACAGGTAAAAACTGGGGCGTTGTCGTTGATGTCCCAGACATTGATGATGACATCAGTGAAGCCAGTCAGCCCCTCCCCACCCTCATCTGTGGCCAGAACTACAAATCTCCAGACTGCCCTTTCCTCCCGATTCAGCGTCTTCTGTGCGTAGATTTTCCCAGTCACCTCATCAATTACGAATTCGCTTTCTGCCCCTTGTCCATGCAGCGAATATCTCAAGGCACCTTGGTCGGCATCTTTATCAGGGTCTGCTGCAGTTACCTAGAAAGATCGACCAGAGTCATGCCTTAAGTTTGCCATTTTTTTCATTGGAAAAAAAAACATGAAACATGTGAAACAAGATTATAATTGCAGGACGTTTTAAACGTATACAAGGTAAGATTTCTCTAAATCCCACAGTGTTGTCAAACTTGCTAACAATTATTAGCTTCAGGAGTAGAGTACCATACCTTGTAACAATAACTACCTTTCTACTATTTTATAAAATTTCTTATTCATAGTGTGATAAAAAAGCACAGATTGACAATTTAAACACTTTATAATTATTTCAGAAAATTCTGCACACCTGCAGCACAAACACTGGTGATCCATCAAGCTCCTCTGTCACACTGCCATAATATTCATTCATTGAGAATACCGGAGCCTCATCATTCTTATTGATCACGTTGATATTGACAACAGCATAGTCTTCCCATTTCCCATCAGAGGCCAGTAGGTGGAGCCTGTACTTCTTCACCTGCTCATAGTCGAGCGGCTGGGAGATGAAAATCGTTCCAACTTCAGGTTCAACATCAAACACTCCCCGGGTATTGCCAGAAGTGATCTGGTAGCGCAGTTTAGCATTGGCACCTATGACAAAAATAGTAGAAAACAAATGCAGAAACAAGGCAAGCCTTACTGTGAAGTAAAAATGCTATTTCACAACCCTTATATACTGATAAATCATTGTAATCATATTAGGCAATTGCGATGTGATTGGAAACGTAACTGGAACATGCCTGGATTATGGAGAAAGTGGAAGTGTAGGAGGAAGTATAGTGCTTTGCATCAAAGAGAGTAATAAGAGACAGCAACCTGAAATGGTTTAAACAAGAGTCTCATAATCTACCTGGGTTAGAACTACAAAATGTTTTTTATAGATTTTTTATAGACATATTCTTAAGGGTGCTCTACAAAATACCAGATTCCAAGACAAATTTCAGTGAAGTCGTTTGGAATAAAATCAGGATCATTTGCATAAATCAAAAGATGAAGTGGTTATCATTGGAGATTTTAATTTTCCTCATATATTGGCTAGACATGGCTCAATATTTCTTAGTCAGTTCACTAAAACACCTCCCAGAGGAAATCTCTGTTTTTTAGAGGTGAGGAAACAATCATAATAAGGTACCTTTTAAAGATTATTTTGTAATTGTACATCTTTTCTGTACAAGTAGAATCCCAAACGGTGATGTGCAATTTCAGAAACGATGAGCCAGAAAATCAGAAGTAAAATTAGAAAGATTAAATTGGTAGAAAATGGGTAGCAACAGTTTAAAGGCATAAACACATTCTTCTCAAGAGCACCCAAAATCCAGATAAAGAAAAAAAACCAAAACATTTAGGGAAATGATTAAAGGGAACAGGATCCAAACTGAAAACCAGATTTAAGAAACTTCAGAAAGGTTCACAGAAAATGACAAGATTGCAATGCAGGCTGAAATAAATAATAAAATGTATTAGATGAACATTTCGCGAAGGTGATCCCCCAGGAATTCAACAACATGCCTCCAGCTCTCGAAAGGCAAAGTTCTATGCTAAATACTGAAGTATTTGCACAGAAGAGGCAGAAGTATTCCATGTACTAGAAACACTTAAGACAAAGAAATCTCCAGGGCTTCATGTTAATCTACCAGCTGTACTTAAGGAAACACGATTTCTATAGACAATTAATAATCCTCTGCCAAAAGTCAGAAGAATAATGGTAATAATGATTGACTACAAAATTGCTAATGTTGAGTCCATCCATAAAATGGGTGACAAAAAGCACGTAATGTATTATAGGTCAGTAAATCTTAAATCTATTACATGTGAGATTATGGAAACAAAACTACAACTAGAGGATCATCTGTATGACAATATGATTCTTGGGGCGACAACATATAGATATAAGAAAGGTAGGTCCAGCCTCCTTCAAAATATAATATAAGTGTAGCAAATTATATGGTATATTTAGAAATTCAGAAAGCCTTTGACGTTGAAATTGCAGGTGCTGTGCAGTCACAAAAATGTATTTGCCCATGTATCTGGGAAAATAAATTAATACTCATAATGGATTGAATGCTGAAATTGGGGGTGGGTACCTGTGTTGGCAAATTATAATTATATAATTGTATTATAATTATAATTTTAGAAATTCAAAGAAATTCAAAAAGATTTGTACGAAATTCAAAACTTCAGGCAGTTTAAAATTGACGAGTGCAATGTGTTTAATGCAGGTAGCTAAAGCTTAAAGTACAAAATAAAATGGGGAAACAGTGAAGCTGGCTGTGTCATTTTCTAGGCACTCTGGGGAAAGCAATAAAACGGCCAACATTTAAGGCAAGGGATGGTTTATTAGTATTGTGTAATGCACTAGAATGAATATTTTGTACATGTTTTGTATCACTGTGTCCACCAAAATAAAACAAACATATATTTTCTGCTGTGGAATCAGTCTTGAGAAGAGTAACCTGATACTTTTCTGTGTTCAAAGGAACATCCTTAAAAGAGCAATATACTGTAATAAAAGACCAAAAGAACAAACTCATTGTAGCAGCCCTGTACAGATAAGACTAATAAGGGCTCTAGTTAAAGCATTCCACATTTGCAAAGGCAGAGAATAAATCAATCATATGGACTTCTTCAAAATAAAGGCTTGTGGGAATCTGGACAAGTTGCTACAGTATATTGTCAAAGCTGATACCTTTGCTCCAGGTAAAAAGGCCAGGGTAAGATCCTCAGATCAATCACCGACTATAAAAGCAAATGAGTCAGAAGGTGTCCTTCTATCTGTATGTCTTACTGTATGTCTTACTGTATGTCTTATTATTTTTAATTGATGTTTGTCACTTACGTGCAAATAGAGTAAATATAACCAATCACAATTCCAATCCAAGAAGTTTCTAAATGTGAAAACTAGTAATTCTCAAAGAATTAATATGCAATTCTGAGCGTATCATCTAGTTTTAAAAAGAATTGCTTAAACCCAAAGGGTAAAAATAGCACATCTGCTATTTGCATTGTTTTTCTACCATGTTAACCAGGCAAAAGATACCCTTCTAATTTCTGCACACTTATCTTAGCTAGTACTCTATCAGCCTGAAAGAGTTTTTTTTTCTTTGCTTTGATAAGCTCATGGGATAAGCCCAGCTTCTAGCCTCAATAGGTTTTTAAATAATGGGGAAGTTTTTGTTTCTTATGCAAATGTGTTTGCTCAGATGACAGAGATAAACCTCAGTGTTGTAAACTCATTCATCAAGGACACCATATTTTACAAGCTATTCTCTCGCAATGATGTCTTGATAAATGCCTGATAATAGAATACCTCTTTCCTGCCTGATAAAGAGTCATTGTGTTACATTCCTAAAGGGATGAACCAGTCTCAGACTGATCTTCTTGTAATACATGCTGTATATACAGACCCACGGCTAGACAACGGGTGTACAGGGTATCTTTCATTTTGACCTCACCACTAAAGACTGTAAAATAGGGGTACAAACACCAAGACCTTCAACAGAAGGTTTTATTTATAACCTGTTACTTAACTGATCTGAGAAACAACAAATTGCATCCGTAATACTGATTGCAAACATTTCAAAATATTTCAGTGTGACCAGGCCCATCGCACCTTGGATGGGTCACTGATTTTGTCGCCTTCCCTCGCCCATAAAGTAAACAGACCACATGCGCGACATCTCCCTTTGTTCGCCCTGCCACTTACCTTCGTCGTCGTCATTAGCACTGACAGTGACAACGGCAAAGCCGACATCGGCGTCCTCATCGACGTTGACTTCATAGACATTCTGAGCGAAGATGGGCTTGTTATCGTTCACATCGCTGATGAAAATGCGCACATACGCCGTGTCTGGAAAAGCGATAACAGAGGAGATTAAAAACTCAGATGTTCCTATTCTGTCAGCTTCGTTTCACCAGAACTGCTTTGTTTCTGAAGCCATCACGCCGACAGATGTGAAGGGGACCCTTGGGGGATCAGGCTAGCCCAGCTACGTTTGATATGGATATCAAAAAGAACATAATTTGCAATATACTTCTCAAGATGAGATAAATTATTTAAACTGGTTATAAAGAGTTTACAGCTTAACACTGAGATAATGTTGCCCTGGAGCAACCAGCCATAACCTAAACTTTTCACGCAATCCAATTTGTCAAATTAACCCTTTTGGCAAGATAATCAAAAGTTTATGAACTGGTTTCTATTTACCTCCATTTGTTTCTAGTTAGAAAAAAAAAGTTTTTATTTTTTAATTCAAAGACCTCTGTTTTACTACAGAATCTTTTTTTCCCCTGAGATACAGTATGCTCTGTGGTGTCATTTTTAACGAATTAATTTGAACTTATTCTATTTTTGTGTTAAGTAAAGGAAGCTTTAAGTATATTTGTGGTGTCACAAGAACAGTACTGTACCTCCAGTTTGGTGACACAGAAGACCATTTTAAAATTCACTGCTGATGGTAAGCAGATTAATATTTGACACTGGCAAGTTTAGTTAGAAGTTGCAGAAGATACTTCTATGCCATCATGTAACATTCATAGCAACTACTGGGGCAAATTATTTTCTTTTCTTTAATATTTAAACAGAACTTTTGCCTCTCAAAATATCATAATGAATGAATGAGCTCAATATCCACTCAATAATCCATTATAAACTGTAAAAAAAACTTAATTAACATAAACCTATCTTGATAGACAGGAAATTAAATTTTATTTCTATATTGTTAATTTAAAAATTCAGCCTAACAAAAACTTTAACACAGTTTAAAATCTTTTTCACAGAATGGTCTCCTGGGAGATTAAGGACTGGAACTCACCTGAATTGGGCTGTCCATGTTTTCCTGGCCTGGCAGATTCCCAGCCATCCACTGACTTCACTTCCAGGAGATAGGAGCCTTTGGACTCCCTATCAAACACTGCCTCTGTATAAATTGCTCCACTCTCAGGATCAATCCTAAAAAACTGGTAATCTCCACTGCGGTCATTCAGCAAGGAATAAGAAATCTGAAATGAAAGTAGGGTAGGAAACTCATTCTCATACAAATGTTATGCACATCAAAGGAAAAAAAAAACATTTTTGTTTGTTTAGTATAACTTTAATAAGAGATCAGTTTAATCTTTTCAGCATGAAGAATATTGGCACTAATGAAAAAGTGAAGCAAAAGCTGTTATTTTTTAAGAGACAATGTCAGGTTTTTTACTCATGTATTGCCTAAGGCACATTTAATGCTAGCAGATCTTTCAAAAATAAGGAAACGGATTCAGACATGGAAAGTTATAAATTGCTAATGATAATATTGTTTTAGAGACAATTTCCTGAAGATAGTGAACCTTTAGATAAGATAAGATCACTTTATTGGCCATATAAAAGTTCTTGTATTAGGAATTTCCGCATAACCCAGGTCGCTCTCCATGAGACACACAGACAGGGAGAGAAGCTTGGGGTCAGAGTGCAGGGCCAGCCATTTATATGGCACCCCTGGAGCAGTTGGGGTTAAGGGCCTTGCTTGGTGGCCCAATGGAGCAGGATTCCTCTGCCGGCCGTGGGACACGAACTGGCAGCCTTCCAGCTATAGGCACAGATCCATAGCCACAGAGCCACCCCAATCCACCCCCTTCATATCACGGCTACCAAGGACTAATTCTTGGAGGATTGCAAGCATTCTATAGAACAGTGTAATGTTAGTTACATCAGTATTTCTTCTACTGAGTTTAGAGCCATTATACACATTTTCAATAGAATTCCTTATTACATTCATTTTATAACATCAAGAAGACAATATTTCCAGTTGGCATCTTCTGCTTTTTTGTCATGAACTTGTATCATGAAGAACACTTTTAATATGCAATATATTTTGCATGACTTTTTTGTTGCAAAGGATCACATTTAAAGACACATTTTTTCACATCTCTGCTGTATGCGTATACATGACAAAGGGCCTGTGTTTTCAATCTGTCCTTACTTTTCCATTGAGACCAAGGTCTAAGTCATTGGCAGACACCTGAAGAACAAAGGTTCCTACTTCAGCTCCCTCAGTGACTGTAGCTTCATAAATCGATGAGGTGAAAAAGGGCACGTTGTCGTTCACATCTGAAAGGGAATGGGGAATTTGGATAACACAGGCCTTTCTTAAAACACCCCTGAGAAGCCACTGTCTCCTTTACTGCACTGGGAAACTAGCAGCCCTTCATTTCAAAGCCAATGTGAAGGATAGAATCACGGGGAGAGAAGAATTTCTTCTCATGCTGGTTGATATCCAAGTAATAACATTCTCGTGTGTGGAACTTCAAAGCACCTGAAAGTGGTCACAGGTTTCCCAGAAGCCATCACAGGGCTATGAGGAGTAAGAGCAATCCATTTTAAAATTTGGCTTCAGGGCCTAGTTATTTTAAGATCAGAGAAGTAATCTCTGTCTCGTTCTCCTTCCTGCCCTCGTCGTTTTTACAATTACCCGAACAAGTCTTTATATTTTGTTTTTTTTTTTCAATTTCACCTAGAATACCTCTAACTTAAAACTTTTTTCCTTAAGTCCATAAGGTAGCACTGCTTCTTAAATGAAAGTGTAAAACAGACTAATGTGAGTGTATATTTACTCTAAGCCTTATCACAATAATTATTTGCCCTAATCTGTAGTACTCGTGTGTGTCTCCTGCTATGGAGAAGAAATCCTGACATAAAGAAAGAGTACAAATGTACTTTTATTACTTTGTAAAGAAGGAATTGCGTTTTTTAAATAGAGAAACAGAAAGTAAGCACTTTCATGCACTTAGTCTCGATGATGGAGTAAAAAGGTTGCAGACCCTGACTGGGCCTGTGTGTACCTGTAATATTTATGTAGACAGTAGTGAAGGCTGCCAGGGGAACAGCTGCTACATTCTGTGCCCGAACTCTCAGCAGGAAATTCTTGGTGACCTCATAGTCCAGTGGCTCTGCAACCAAAATGGATGCTGAGCCATCCTCTCGGTTTGGAGTGAGATAGAAGCGCACAGGCATATTGGTCTCTGGCACAAGTCCATCTTCCAGATTGTAGGTGACCCGTGGATCACCCAGCGGGGAAATGGCTTTGATTGTCTGGGTATAAAAAAAAAGGAGCAGTGAGTGATGTCCATCACTTACCCAAATCATCCCCTTATGCATTTCATAAAAAAAGAAAGCTATAGCAATTGCAGTTGCCTACAGCTTAGCCTATCATATTAACATTTCATTCTACATTTTAAGTTCCAAGGGATGCATACATCACTCAAATCAAAATAATAAAACAGATCAGTTCAGGGTTTCTACTTATTTTTTCTTAATTGAAATATTCATTGCTATTTTCTAATGCCATTAATAGGTTATTAAAGCTGTGATGTAAATTCTGCAAATTAAATTTTCAACACATTCATAAAAAATGACTATAAATAATATAAAGCTAAAAATGAAAAGTCTCTCTCTACAATCTGAAGTGGAAATGTCTTCATTTAAATTATATAGGCAGAAGAACAAAGTAATATGGAAACTAAGAGACATAATTTGTCTTAAACCAGACAAGATCAAGGCCAGGGTAACCCATCCTGTATGTAAGTGTTTTGTCCTAAAACTCCTAAATCAAATAGAAAGTGGAGCTTCAATAGTGTTTAGGTAAAAAGGACCACTATCAAGGAAATACTTCAAGAAAGGCTACAAGAAAAACATTATAGCAGATACAGATAGCAGATATTTACTGCTATAGTAGTAAAAATAGTTTGGTCAAATTCTCATAATGATGAAATGAATCGATGAAAGTAGCGTGGTTCATATTTTCACATTAACTTGTCTGGCTGAAGAAATCAGAGTGCTGACCAAAGACCAGTGCTGTCACAACCCTGCCTTTCTTACAAGAAATGAACCAAGGAGGCAGCTGCAAAAGTGGAATATGTGCAGAGTTGTGGGCAGCTGGCAAGTATTTATATGTAGGAGAGTGGATGTGCGAGATTTGGAGACCTGCTCTCCAGACTGTTAAATATCACCATAAGAAGGAGCCCGTCTTCCATTTTTGCTGAAAACTGTCAACGCACCACAATGGGCGTGTCTCTCATGGTGTTCTCGGGGATGACCACCTCGTAGCTGTCCCTCTCCCACTGTGGTGGCTGGTTCTTTACATTGGTGATAGTGACTGCCAGCTCCACCATGCTGCTTCTGTTCCCCCCATCGGTGGCGATCACCTGCCGAGTGATGTAAGACCTCTGGAAAGAGAGACCCATTTGACATTTCTCTGGAACAGCCCATTTTCACCACCACTGTACTAATAGTTTTGGCTTTCAGTTCCTGCAAATACTGTATATATTAAAGCACATACAGTAAACGGTACAATGTGTTAGGAGCTAGGCTGGGATCTAGCATGATCATTTAAGTACACTTTTCATCTCTGGAAATGTCCTGTAGAGCAAAATCTATCCCAGAGAAAAATAAAAGGAACCCAGCCTAGTTTCCAGCTGGCCAACATCACAATATCTGAGGTTTTTTTTGTCTTTGAGATTAAGATGGAAATTCTGGAAACAGAGCACATGAACTGAACACACATGTGAATCTCTCAAATCATCCCCACAACAGGACCCTTAGTAATTGTGCATACCTGGGATATGGGCTCATTCACATAGACCCAGCCTGTCACAGGATTGACACGCAGGTACTCTGGCTGCTCTGCTGACATGGAGTAGGTGATGGCAGCGTTGGTACTGTAATCGTCATCATGAGCCGCAACGCGGAGGAAACTGGTGCCTATCATCGTATCCTCTCTCAGGAAATCTGCACAGAACCAGCAGAGATGCTCGTGAAACAGACAATGCTGGAACTCAAATGCATAAGCCTAACTTCTTATTCACTGACTTATGTTTAAAAGAAAGTATTACCCGTCCTGTTACATAACTTTTAATGGAAAAATGCTATTGTTTCACTGGACAAGCCTTTATACAGTCATTTGAATTTTATCCTTTGCTTGAAGCTACAGCTTATGACAGTCACGATATACTGTTATGCTCCAAAAGGGCTTTCAGCCAGAGAAAGGAAAAAGCAAAGTATTATAAAGCCCTGTAGATTTCAAGCTATTCAGTACACAAAAAATTAAAATAATCTCTTTCTAATCAGTTAATTTATATTCATATGACATTTAGCTAAAAGCTACTTTTTTCCATGTTTTGTTTGCTGCCTGAGATTTAACAAGGACAATGTTCTTTTGCAGCTATCAGTAAAGGAAATTTTGTTTTCATCCCACAAGGACAGACAGTGACACAGTTTTCCATTTTACAAAGGCAAAAAAACAGCAGGAATATAAAACAGACTTTCAGCTCTTCCTCTGAGCAAGAGAAGACTGTTGATTGGAAATACTTGCATTTTATCACTTGAAGAAAAGAAGAAAGTAAACTTTGTCAAGCGTGTCTCAACTCACACTCATAATGCAGGTTTTCAAACTTGGGGTCGTTGTCGTTTTCATCCAGTATGAGGATGTTGAGCTGGCAGATCCCAATGAGAGGCTCTGCGGCCTTGTCTGTTGCCGTGACGGTAACGGCGTACTCCCTCTGCTGCTCACGGTCGAATGTCCTGGAAGTCACGATCACTCCTGCAAGTGTCAATTTCTTTTCAGATGTCAAGGTTTTCATTACCGCATAAACCCAGTCTTTCTTGGAAGGAACTAATCATGGTGGAAAACACTGAAAAATTAGAACAGAAATCCTTCTTATACTGGTATGCACTGCTGACCTTTTAACTCGTTGACATAGGGATTCAATCACTTTTCCTTTATTTGAAATAAACTCCCCGAGAATATGTCAGAAGCATCTTCAAGAAGGGACGTAAACTATGAACCAAGGTCTACATTGGGATTCAAGATCCCAATAAGAACACCAAAGATTAGCTGATCGTAAAAGCTCTTTGAAAAGGTAAAAAATGGTGTTATGTAACACAATTTAGGAGGAAGTCAAATTGTATTCTTGCACTTTCACTCTCCTACATGTATAAACCTGCTGGCTGTTCACAACTCTGCACACATCTTTTATAACACCTCTACCTCCACCTCAATTGCACCCTTGCAGCTGCCTCCGTGATTTATTCCTATATCCAGCACTATCATATCCTCAGCCAGGTGAGTTAGGGCCAGAGTATTAAGTATGTCATTCCTTTATATTTGTCATCTTGTTTCATCATTATCAGAATGTGACCAAACTACTGAAATGATGTTTGGAACCAACAGAATTTATTGTGTTTCTTCTGCCTCTCAGCATATACAGTACATGCATGCAATTAATGGCATGCCTAGGTTTAATGGTAGATCGACTACCTACCTGTCTCTGGGTGGATGCTGAATGCTGGAACTGTGCCATCTTTGTGCATGAAACCATATGTCACCCTCCCGTTGTCTCCTTCATCAGCATCAACTGCATGTACCTGAAGAACAAATGTTCCTGCTGGCTGGTTCTCCAGCACCGCTGCATGCTCCCTATAATGCTGGCACTGAAAAGGAATTGAGATAAAATTGGCATGAAATTCCATATTACAATTTTCTAATACAATTTTGTCACAGTTACATTTTTATTTATTTGTGCTTTATTCAAATTCAATATAAAACGTACAACAAATTTAAACATAAGCATACATATCCAGCCCTACAACTATGTACATTCAAAATGATGTGGGCTTCTACAGAGATCTCAAATTAAGCTGTGCCTAACTACATAATGTTGCTATAGCAACTTCACAAGTAAAGACTTTGTGAAGAAGCCCACAATCAATTCTGTTCTTTGATTCTCATTTTCTGACATTTAATTAATAACAGAAGACTTCATTTGTATTTTTTCTCCTACTTTTCCATTGACAAACAATGTTGATTGTGAAAGGTCAGGAAGCCACAGAAGAAGCCTTGACAACACAGAAGCACAACCGAACCCTGTCTCTCTCACACCACCCGGCCTGCCACACTGAAAATGGCATGGTTAGAGTACTGCCAGGATCTCAATGTGGCACTGCCTGGCACAGGAGCCCTGCTCATTAAACCCAGGATGGACTATTCTTTCAGGAACACGTGAGCCATTGATCTAAAGAAACAAGTTGAGTCCGTGCCATGTAAAAGAGACAGAAACAGCAACAGCCTCTTTACCATGGTCTATCAGGCTTGAAAGTCTTTAAAGTTATTTTACATTCTTTGCTCACTGCTAGATTCAGTTTGCCCTACCCTGTTCTACAACAGATTTGCCAGACCTGAAAAAATGCTTTCGAATCAATTAAACCCTTTAAAGTTTGATTCCAATTATGAGAATTATGTTTATGATAGGACATTTTTGAATGCCAAGAACAGAAGTATTTCTCATATATGATGAAAGGATCCTTTCAGCTGGAACATTTATTATCTTGCATACTTCACACCAACTTCATATCCAGTTAGTAGTCAGTTCTGCAGAAGTGGCTTATAGACCTAGAAATGTTATACAATGATAGTTAGTGTTAATAATGTTTCTGTGCTGTTCTGTAGCTGCTAAGTTGACACATACAAGTATCTGCAAAATATGTCAATCATAGTACAGTCAATTTAAATTGTAAACGATACTGAGATAAACTAGAACTAGTAACTAATCATTTCTAGAAAGAGGGACTGAGAGAATGTGTGGCACGGTGATGCAGTGGTTAGCGCTGAGGCCCTGGATTCAATTCTGGATCTAGGGTGCCATCTGCATGAGTTTGGATGTTCACCTCATGTTCGTGTGGGTTTTTGCCTCTTATGAGCCTGTACTGGATAAAGCACCTAGAAACTTGATGGATGGGAATGAGAGAGATGAAGATTGTTCTTTATGCACAAGTTACAGAGATGAGTGAAAACTGCTAGAGAGAGGAGAGGTCTGTACCTTTTCAAACACAGGCTTGTTGTTGTTAACGTCATCGATTCCCACAATCACCTGGGCCATGCTGGAAAGGGGGTGTGGCCCACCCGAAGCGTTGTCATCTGTTGCCGTGACATTGAGTATGTACTCCAACCCCTGAAGCCTAGGGGGAGGGCTTGAGCGCAGACGTATTAATCCTACAGGGGTCAACCAGTCATGAACATCAGCAAAGATTTATTTGCTTTTAATTAATAGAGCAACGTTATTTCTGCACTGGGTACAACATTACGCAATAACAGCAGCAGTGTTCTGTTTGTAAAGTGCTTTCATTACATCTCAGTTGTTTTTAATTAAAAACAAAGCTGTAAGAGAAAACACAGGGGGAGGGAACATCAATAAAGAATAAATCAGTTGAAGTCTCTCACTCCAATAGGAGGGCCTGTGAGACTGTGGGTTAGGATTTGATCTCTGATGCATGAGCAGGATGAGCTGTGGCTAGTGTTAGTTAATTTAACTAACTCTGAAATGGTCTTAATCTCCAATGTATCCCTCTGTATCCCCATTCAGAGGGAACACGGAAATTTCCTTTAAATGGCTTATGCAACTTCTCTTGACTCAACCCTTGTGAGCTACATGAATTCATAATGCTTTGCAGCTTAATGGCATTTTGTTCAATGGCTCATTTTAAATATTTAAATGACTTGATCAGGAGAGTCACTTAATGCTTCTCTTTTGATTTGCTGAGGTGCAGAAGACATGCAGCAAAACAACCTCCATTACAGGACATTAATTATCTCATTCATACACCATCTTGTTTTGCTCTTATGAGATTTCTCAAGGTCTTTTCCACTGTTCTAAATACAATGAACACTGCAGCACAGGCAGAAACGTAGCACATGGAATGTATTACATGAGCAGGGAAAAACAAAACGATGTTACCTCCCTTCTGGTGAAACACGAACCGGAGGAACCAAGTGAAAACTACGTGGGAGTGCATTTAAAACTGAGAACAGGAGGAAAGAGATGTGGGAGTCTGGAACAAGCTACCCAGACATGGTGTAACAGACACAAGCAGACAGTCTGGCTTCTTTCAAGAAAAGGCTTGATGAAATCCTTGGATCGATCAATTAGCTACTATCTGCCAAATAATCTTGACAAGTCAAATGGCCTGTTCCCATCTGTAGCATTTCTTAGTCACAGGTGAGCTACTGGAGTAGCCCAGGTCATACTCAAGCAATATGTTTATAACCTTGGTTGCATAAAAAATCAGGAATCCTCTATAGTCAAAAAAAGAAAAAATATATAGGGATTACAGTATATGTACACTATAGAGTATGTCTCCTATACAGTAACTTAAACAAAACATTTGAGTATACAAGCCTGTACTGTGACTTGTTATGTAGCTGGAACAAAATGTTGGAATCTCTGGCCTCTCCCATTCTTTGGGGATATCAATGTAATTTCTTTTTCTCCTCTTCAAAACTTTCAATAGCCTAAGTTAGTTAAGCATGGAGAACTGCGAAAATCTTCAGAGGCCTTACTATCAGTGGGGATTTTGTGCTGTCTTTAAGGATATAAAGGGTTTGTGACAACATAGCGACTTACAGGACTTTCAGGAGGAGACTTTGCAAGAGAGCTCAGTACAGGAAGTGTTCAAAAACACTCCTGGCCACACCACTGTGTCTGATGCAGTTTAATAGAAACCTTACCTATGTCAATAATAAAGTAGATCCAATGTCAAGGGCAGCAGATTCCAGGACATGCCAGTCTTTAAAATGAAGTGTAAATCTGATAAAAAAAACTGAACTGTTGCCTGGATTAAAAACCAGATCCCTTGAAGTGAACACTCAATGCATACCCATATCTACAGTACTGTACATGTACAGTTAATGTACATGGTAATGTCCATGTCCAAGCTACATCAGCTCACTGGGTCAGTGCTTATCTCGGTTTCTGTGATGTTAAATGGACGAGAGCACACACCCCTCTTGGATGGGACACTTGTCCGTCACGTGGAGTACCCACCCAGGAATTCCTGTCCCCACTTACACAGCTGGGTGGACCACAGCGACAGTATGTGGGTCAAGTATTTTCCTCAAGGTACCACAGCAGTGTATGCAGCAGGGGCTCCAACCCACAACCCACTACTCATAAGACCAGAGACTTGCCCACTACACTACACTGCTACTCTTCATGAATATACTGTGCCATTGATATATTAAAATTAATTATGACCGTTTCACTTCGCTCAAAAGCTGTTACTCACATTAAGTTAAAGGGGAACTGCAAAGCCATTTTTATATTTCAGAGTTAGAAAGAATCGGCATTTATGAGTGCACAATAAAATCACAATAAAAACAAAATGTACACAGTAATGTGTAAAACCTCCAATTTATAATACATTTCCAATGTACGCACAGTGCCATGTTCTGTGATTCAGAACATGGCAACAAAACATCCAGTGAGGTGAAGCGGCCCTGTTGCATTGTAAACAAGCTTGTGAGGACATCTCTTTTAATCCAGTAGAAACATCACAGTACATTAGCCATTTCAGTGACTAGTGAGCAGGAAGGGCTGCTTCACGTCGCAATTCACGCAAACTCTTGCTTTCACCTGTGGCAAGACCAGGGGTTTGTGACAACATTGCAACTTACAGGACTTTCACAAGGTTCATGAGTTTGTGCTTAATTCAGAATTTGTTGAAAGTTTTTCTACACTATCAATGATTTTTTTGTTACCAATATTTAATAACTGGTCTGCGAAATTGGGACTGCAGTTCCCCTTTAATATATGTACAGGAGAATTCAAGGTCTCTTTGCGTGGTTTTGCTTTCTAGTGCTGTGAAAGAATAATGGATGCCCTAAAAATGGTAAGCAAAAATTAATCAAGGTGGAAAAAAAAACCTATAATCTATTTTCTGTCTAAATATGTACTGTATACTGTATATATATATGCTAGAAAGCCCAAAGAGTTTGTATCAACCTAAATTGATTTTTTTCTGAAACTGGATAATAATTACAACTTTGTGTCAGGTTTTAAGTGAAGCTTTAGAAAAAGAGGACAGAGTGCAGCTGACTCTCCTGATGGAGTAACTCTAATGCTCAGTGTGGAAGTTAGTGCCCACAGTGATCTTCATGGAGTGCCACACCACAGCCAGCAGATTTCAGAGCACATTACAGATGGAAAAGATGTGGCTCTGGGGCCAGAGAGTTCATGTCACTTCGGATGATGGGGAATAATACCACTAGGCTATTTTCACTGCCACCTTTAATCACATCCGTCCCAAATACCAGATCAACCCGGGAAAAGGTCCAAATAACTCCAGAGAAACCATCGGGCAGGTTGTCGTCCACCATTATGTGATAGTTCAGTTATATGGTAAAATACAAAAAAAATTATCCTGAGATCAGTTCTAATGGTTGACGAATGCAATGATGGCCATTTGTCTGTTAGAAAGCGAAAAGACGTTTTAGTGTACCAGCCTTGTGAGTGACAGTACACATCAGACAGATTATACAGTTACAAATTAAATCATTTAGTGGCAAGCCTGATGCGGCTGTTTATGCGTGTAAGCATAATTTTTTACTTCTAATCATTTAACAATTAACACATCTGAAAAGGGGACGATCGTATTAGAATAATTAGCTTGAAATTTAAAATGCCAAAATGCTTTCAATGAAACCTGCTACACCAACGGAATCATGCCTGAATTAATGCAGAACACCATGAAAGGGAATTGTTCATCTACATGAATACAATGAATAATTAAATATCAAGGAGGAAAAAAAAAAGAGAATGTTTACTGCTGAAAAGTCTTAAAAATGCATTTATTGTGTTTATTTCTTCACTGCGTGTTTCAGGACTCTTTGGATCCAGTCAAATTGATTATTCATGAGGTGAAAATGCTGCAGGGAGATGAGATTACCAGCCGAAAAATATCTAAAGTTCACTACGTTTTTTTTTTAGTTAAGATTAGAACACAGAATGAAATGGAGACACTTGAGACAAGGCTATACCTTTCTGGCTGTCGATGATGAAGTTACTTTCCTCATTGCCTGACGTGATTTTGTATGTGATTCCATCTCCGTCAGGGTCCTTAGCCAGCACTGTAGCGACCAGAGTGTTAGGCCCTGCATCCTCCGAGACAAAGGTTCGATAGCTGCAGAGAAAAGCAAACTTAAAGCAAGGAAAGGCTGAACTGCAAAACGCATTTTACAAAGTCGTGGCTAACTTGTGTTTTAATTTTTCAACAATTTTACATAATAATGTTGCATGACATGTAGAATTGTATAATCTGAATCCCACAAAATGTATTTCCTGTCACACGCCAATTCAAAAAAAACCCCGGAAAGACAAGATACTATATTTGCCTTTTAAATTGCAATCCAAGAATGCGATCTTGACCCTGGTTACTCTGCATTTTATTGACACTGGAAACAAGTAACACCTGTCGAGAAGATTGACTTCAAATTTAAATGCAAAGCAGGATGTGTGTGGCTGACAGCAAGTGCAAATTAAACAGAGCATGCCTTCCGAGGTGTGTAAGGAGCTTTCACACCCATATAGCAACACACGCTGGAAACAGAAACACTCAGGAGAACCGATGAATACATGATCCTCTCAGAGTAGTCCCTGGGTATTGAATACCACCATTGCAATTTACTGTGATAACACCAATACAAACAGTTCCATTCACATGGACTAGTGTTGCTAAATGATTTTGGGCTCCCAGAAGACTTTTAACTGACTGACTTTCCATTATTATTTTCACCTTTTGCATGAGGGTCTACACTGTGGGCATTTCCCATCTGGCACCCTTACACATAGACCTTTAGTAGAGAGAGTCTGGTCATACTTTCAGTAATTTAATCTGTTTATTCTGGAAAATAAATCACCTTTCCAGTGTTGCTGTCATTTTACTATCCTAGGTAGGGAAAGAAAAAATGCAGAAATACACAGCCTTTGTGTTTGTTTGTTTTAGCTATCCTGAACTAATACTGCTGTCGAACATAAAACAACAAAGGCATGTTGTTATAAATAAATTAGTAAGGTGGCTGACTGGAGCAACAGGCTTATTTTTAAATTCTGTGGGCTCAGTTCTGTTTCCCTGCAGGCGTTATTCAGCACCAGCAAAATAACAACACAGCCCAGTCTGGCACAGCTCAGCTGCCTGCATTTGGCAGAGTCTCAGGATTGTATGTCAGGGGGTGATAAGGTCAGGATTATGGTGCTATCACCAGCAGCTTTCGTGACATCTGCTTGCACCTCGCTTGGCTAAATCCCTAGCCATTGTCTCTCCCCATTGGTCAACTGCGTTTAAAAGAAATAAAAGAAATGAAATGTCATTGACACCAATCACCATGTAGTCTAGTAACGTACGGCACCAAATCTCAGAACTGCCCAGTAGACTGGGCTAACTAGTACTGCAACACAACAGGACTGCATAGATAACATTTTTTGTTCACGAGGTATAAGTGACTTTTTAAAAAAAATGATCGTCTCATATTCTTTACCTTCACTGCAACCTTAACAAGCAATTCTAGACAGACAAATTGTGGACAGAAAAGAGCATTAATTGAGGGGGAACAACACCATTTTAACAAAAAGAAATATCCAGAATAAAACAAAATATTCACATTTTTTAAACAATTGGGCTGTGATAATGGCTGATATATTCATGCTGTATTATAACTAATTGGTGAAAATATTTCTGTGTCTTTATACTGGTGTTGTGCATTATTGACATAATTGATCCTGATATTATTGTAGCACATACTGTAGCTAGCCAACTGGGTAAGAATAACTGAAGACAAGGGTTCTGTAGAATAGTCTTGGGGAGTTAATTATTGAGCAATAGATGATATATACTGTATATCAATACAGTATGTGTGTATATATATATACTGTATTTCAAGACTGAAAATATTCACATATTACATTCTTACTGGAACCAAAATCCATATGTATGTTTATAGCAGAGATAATACTTAAAAGTAATTGATCTGGCCTAACATGGAGCTTTAGGCCACACGGTGTGCCTTGCAATTGCAAGGCTTGACACCTGTGGCTTACAAATATGGGATACACAGCAATTGATCTTGTCCGATTAAGTCTGTCTGCCTCTCCCAGGCATGTGAGATTTGTCAAATCTCCCCACTCAAGAATGAAGAAAGAGCCTTTGCCCAGTGCCTACCACCCCGCGTGCCATGATTGATGTGCAACAGAAGAGAGATGACAAGCCATTCATATGAATGATTAGTAACCTTGCACTGAGCTGACTTGCCTGCTTCCACTGCTTGCCATGTAACTGTGACACTTCCTGTATGTGTGACATTATTGGTCTGTGATCTGTCATGATCTTCAAAGTGCTTTTATTTTTCAAGGTAATAGCATCTAGACCACTCACATCAAATGCACTTTTTTTAAGGATCACCACACTGTACAAACCTTGAATTTCATCCTTGGCAGTTCGTAATTTCCCTTCTATTAGCCTTGCTGATATCAATCATAAGGCCAGCCTATCTAACAATAACTAATGACTAACGGTGTACAACTCCACCATGTTACACTGAGCAATTTCTTTTCTACCTTTGCTTGCAATTGCTTTTTGTTTTATTTTCCATCTCAATGAAAATGTGTCTGCACAGACTTTTTTTGTTGCGAATATGCTGTCAAAAAATTCAATTAACATAAGACAATAGTGATGACAGGCATGATAGTTTTTGCATACACAGTAAGATATGCTAACTTCAGTGGAACATATCATTGTGGTACAGAATTGGTCACGACAACCCGACATGTGTTCCCAAAATCCAGAAAATAAGACTTATTTATCAAGAAAGTGCGGCAGGGTCTATGGAAACTGCTGCCTGAACGGCCGCAAGAACCTGCATTTTATGCTTCTCAGATACATAGATAAAAAAGTTATTTTTGAAGAAGAGCAGGCAGTTCATCCCATACAGGTGTTCCCCTATGGAGTTCTGTATCTCCCCTGTATTTCTGTGGCTTTGTTCCCTCGGCTGAGTGCTTGGTGCGGGACTTCTGCCCTGATCACACTCCTGCGGCAGCCCAGCAGGCGCGCACCTCCTCCTAAACCCCAATAAAGTAAAAAGTAAAAAATACTCTTCTGTATGGTCTCCCTCTGAGGGACAGTACAAGTGTGTAATTGGTGTTTGGTTGCATGGGGGTGTCACCACACGGCTCTAGAATTGCAGCAATTATTTACAACTGAAATCATAAGGACTTCTTTCTTACCTACACCAGCACCTACAATTGCCCCAGCATTTTCTGTTACTGTTTAGTTTTGTTTCATTTTTTGCTTTACCTGGTGCTTGTTGATTATTGGATATATATGTAAACTATTTACTTCTTTTTCTTACAAAGGAACGCAGTTTAGATATGTTGGGGGGACTGTGTGGGGGAGGGGGGGAGGGATTTATTTTTGGATTAACAAAAATGGATAATAATATTCTTCTCTGGCCAATGCAATTTAAATGTATGACATGTATTTTCAGGGTTGATATACATGAGAGATTGAGTGACAAGCATCATTTTATTTAGACTTTATGTACAGTATGTCAGATATGCTTGCCTATTAAACTCTCCCATTACAGTCAGTCATTCTGACAATAGTCGATCAATTACTGTCACACATAAAGAAGTTTCCTGAATTACCTACTGCATATCAGCAATACCAAAATAGTGTAGACCTCACCCCACACAAAAGTACCAAATAATAAATTCACTAATGAAAAAGCCTTACAAGAAATCAGTGGTACATAGAGAATTCACCGCTCAATTTAACCCTGAAGGTTTTCATTGTTTGCTTCTTCAATTTCAGATCTTCTCTAGTGACCCCCAGGGCAGTATGTCAACCACGCAGAGCTTTCTCGCAGAGCCCTGTAAATCCATCTTTGAATTTCCCCAGGACACAAAAAAAACACATGGCTGATCGAGCCTGCCTCACCAATTTGGCAGAAAATGGGCCGATTAAAGAAGTCAAGAGCCAGTGCAATGCTAAAGAGGGGGGCAAAAAAACCTTAACTAAAGCAAATATGTAATTGAATTATATCATAAAAAATAAGACGGTTGATGTTCAAGGCACACTGTATTTTCTGCATGCCTTTGTTTCAAAGCTCACATTTTAGGGATTTTATTAATCCATAAAGCAACAGCTGCAAAAGCCTCCTGAGCTGCACATGAGAGTCATGAAGCTCATATAAAGAGAGCAAGCAGCTGAGACGAGGGAAGTGGCAGAGAATACTCATCAGGTTGGAAAACGATGACAAGAAGAGTATTTTAGTGCATCCTTAAAGAAAGCTGTCATATGCGGTGGTCAGGCGCTTTTAAGCCCTCCTCTCCCTCATTTGGTAGAATCTGAATCGCAGCCTTGACATTATTAACAGTATGACTGAAATACAATCAAATCCATAAAAATGTAGTCACTGTGCTAGGTTGGATTGGAAGATCCTGCATCTCGTAAGTATCACTAGCACTAGTGAGGTGATTTTATTCCTCGTACTCACACATTCTGAGAAAACTCTGGGGGCTCATCGTTGACGTTGGACATGCGGATCCTGACAGTGGCTGTCCCTGTTCTGGGAACGTCGCCCTTGTCCACTGCCATGACAACAAACTCGTACAGGTGGTTGAGCCTCTCGTAGTCCAACTGTCTGGCGGGGAAGATGGTCCCGTGGGCAGAGACAGTGAAATCTGGACTCAGTGTGTAATAGGAGAGCTCAGCGTTCAACCCGGAGTCACAGTCCTTGGCAGACACTACAACAAAAGGAAGTCAGACATGCACATAAACTGTGGCCAGAAGATCGTCACTGTTGAGCTAGGTTTGACACATACTGTTCAGAGAAATTGAACTCTTATTTTGCATCGCTACGTGCCTCCTTTCCAGGATATGAAAATGCAAATAAAGAACTTTATTCCAAGTTTAGGCAAGTGGCATTTTTTTCCGGGTTTATCAATTTATCTTTCAGCATACTTTGCCTTGTGATTGGCCTGCTGTCTTTCTTTGGCACAGTTAAAGTTATGAGCATATTATAGCCGTCTCAGCCAATTGTAAATGACAAAGTGATCTGGCTCAAATTTAGTCACCTTCTCTTAAGACAGGAAAACAACTTTGTGAGAGTGACTGCAAATGTCTGCACCCGGTGGAGACACTCTAATAAAGGGGTTTGATCATGTACCCCTTCCAGCTGCTTGAAAGAAAAATCATTTGAAATGACTTCTCTCCTGCGAGCAGGGCCCTCTGCTGCCTTTGCTGCTCATGAAGGCTGCTGCTTCTTTGAACTCTTGATTGATTTTCAAGGTTTGTGCAGAAGAAAGTGAGAGAACAGACATGTTTCTCCCAACTGTACAAACAATGCATCTCCCTGCTTGTTGAAAAAACTTCCCCTAAATCTCAGACTTCTCAATATTATAACACTGAGGGGAGCAAGGACTGATATTGAATAAAATGTCTGAATTCAAAGTTAAAAGATGTTTTGCAGAGCTGCAAACCTAAATCCTGTGCACTTTTATTGAATGTCTTTTAAACGTACAGTAACATTTGGAGGTTTTAGTTATTCACCTTGCAGCAGTGAGGTTGCCGTGGTTACAGTTTCAGGGACACTGTCTTTGCTGTAGATGGACTGCAGAAATTCGGGGACACAGTCATTTTCATCAGTTATCACCACGAGAACCTAGAGAAAAAAAAACAGAGGAGATGACGGTATCAGGAGTATTAATGTTTATAATTATCCTCATCCAGAGAGTCTAGAGGTGGGGATTTTCAAGCAATATTTGTCTCTGGCATTTTGTCAGAGGATTTGGTACATGTAATAACAGCTGCTTTTGCCAGATTGCCCTTTCATTGCTAACATCACCCATTCTAGAGCTTCTGCTGCTACTGTTTCAGGGTTTGGGTCAACGAAAGAGAAAGATAAATACTGTATTTTTAAAGTACTGTACTCTCTCTCTCAGGCTTCTGTCGCACTTCAGAGTTCCCATAAAAAGCCCCTTTCCCAGACACTCTCATTATTTCCAGTCAAGACACATAGCAACAGAACAGGAATCTCACATTGTGAATCGGGCTACCAATTCTTTTATCCACAGACTCCACGCACTTCTGTGTGAAAAACAAATCATTATGACAGACTTCTTCACAAAGTGCTTATTTGGCAAATCCAGTTCATCAGAGCTCATAGCTGTTTCTCGGAGTGTCAAAGCAAAAGACTCATTTCTTTTTCTTCCTTTGGTTATCTGTGAACAGCAAATTGGTTGAGAAGTGCTGGAATAATGGCTTTGCTCTGACATCCTTTATTAACCCCAAGTAAGGGTGGCGTGGGCAGTAGGCATGAGATGTGTGATAAGAATACTTGAGTTTTCTATGTAACACTACTGTCCAGTTATCTGCTAGGGTGGTGGTCATGGTAGGTGTGTTGGGGTAAACACTGTCACAATGTGGCTAGACTTTCCTTTCTTAAACAAATCCTCTAACACTTCAGAGATAGTCAATGAAATGTCTACACAACATAATATTTTGAATCCTTAGTCAAAAAGCACAGAGGTAGGACATGAACAGATAACAAATACATTTAGGTATTGTGCATCTACTGGCAATGTATTGTGGTGTGTAGGATAATAACAGCTGTGTCATTATGAGATCCTACAGGGACATGCACAAATACAGGAAATATAGCACCAGCTTTCTAGATTAAAAGATAACAAATGCATAGCAGCACTAATAAACAGAGATAAAATGGAAGATAAGTAAAGCTTATCAAGTGGACTTTATAAAAAACAAATAATGCTGCCAACATCTGGGAAATTCAACCTCATGAAAGACCATACCCAAGTGTCTGAGTGTTCTGGCAATGGTGTGTAGACATGTCAGTCTGCCAGCCCTTCTATTACTGTCTTTTCAAAAGAATCATGAGGCACTGTGCATATCTGAGATAGCATGCTTATATACTAGACAGATTTCAGAGATACCTATGGATCTGTTTTAAAGTCTAAAATGAATTCAACAGGGCTCATTATGGCATACTGGTATTTCACTGTCCACTGTTTCATTTCCTAGTCCTTCCTGTCTTAGACATATTAAGTGCTGTTTCTCAGCTATTAATTCAAAAGATGCTCTGTAAAGCCATTGGACCTACACTGTAGAAAGGTCCTGCCATTATTTAATAAGTTAATGCCACTGCACAAAACAACATCAATCTGTAAATAGTTACTTTAATGGTCTAAATACGCTACTGGGGAGTCCTGTCATAATGCAGTGAGTTTTACTTCACTGCAAGCAAGTCAGAAAAGAACTGTGTCATAGGATACCCTGCTGGTGGTTAACATACCTCTGCAGCACTGCTGAGAGTGTCCTGGTTCTCGCTGGCCCGAACAAGCAGCAAGTATCGGTGCTGGTCGCTCTCAAAGTCGATAGTGCGTGTCAGGCTGATCTCACCCGTGTCCTGCTGGATGCTGAACAGACTGCTGGGGTTGATGAGGAGGCTGTAGCCGAGGGGTTGTTTCTGGAAGGACACAGCAGTTGTCGCCAGGAATCTGCACAGGAAAGTACGAGAAAATTCTGAGGCCACTGTGAGCTATCCAGCACAAGCCTTTTGAGTGTACAAGACATCCAAGTTTGTTTTACACTTTCTGATAAACTTTACATTGATACTTGTTATGGGCACTTTTGAACACCAGAGTCATATTTATTAGTGAATCCATTATTTTATGATCATGACCCCATCGAGAGCCTAACTTCTTAAACCTATTAAAGGCATCTAATCTAGCCTTTCCCTAAGCGAAAAAGGGATTTACCTTCCCAACACCACTTCAGCCAAGAGGAGAGATCATGTGCTCATTGCACAGAAAAGAAACAGTGGGAACCTAGTGAGTACTTACATTGATTTCTCCTGATATAATATGACACTTCAAGCAAATTAGTTAAGTTGTTTCCTTAAGAGACTGTGACGTATTTCAACATTTCTTTTGTTTGCTTGCTTTTGTATGATTTAATTGGAGCCGAAGCTCTAAAAAACCTAGCAAACAACATTCCTGGAGACCTGTTAAAGGAATTTGATTCACAGATAAAACACACATAGGAAGTAATCCCAGGGTGGAGAGTAATCAGCAAAGAGCAGTAACCTACAGGCACCCATTCATCTGTCAAGAATATAAGCCTGCGCTCCAAACACATCCTTCTCCCAACTGGCTGCTCTCCAGATCTCTGACTATTTATTGCCTTTGGGGGACGTTGGAGAAGAAGCTTAAATGTAGTAGGGAGCAACATGTCTTTCAGCATAAACTCAATATTCCCTTCTGCTTCTCTGTGTGATCTGCTTTATAGTTATTGTGAAATACTACAGTAAAACTACATACAGTAGTAATGTATTTAGTGTTGAGCTTTGCAAGCAAAATGCACAGACGAAATGCAATGTCTCCTACAAATGGATAACTAACTTGACAGGATGCAGAATATTTGGCTCACATAACTGCAAGTCACAAAATAAGCTTAATTATCTTTCTGCATGAATAAAGTACAATTAAACAAAGCACTGTTTGACTACTGTCATTATTCCCAAAAATAACAGTAGTGAGTAGTGTGATTAAAAATATAACCTCGGTGAAGTAACCACCATTAGGTGTCTGAGAACTTGAAACAACTTACTGCATCCTGCCTATTAAAATGACCTAATGAAGTACACTTACTGTTTGCAGTGTTCAAACATTAGATGCTCAAAGCAGCTCCACTAAAGGACAATAAGCTGTGCCCAAAAGCACCCTAGGAAAGCATTGGATAAACAAAGCAAAAACATTTAGATGTTGTGACATCTCACTTCACTCAGGCAAATGAGCACTGATTTGCCTTCAGTTCCACAAAGCTGTGCTTCGACCCTTGCGACTTGTGTGTGTGTGTGCGCGTGCATGTGTGTGTGTCTCGGCGCACTCACGGCTGGCCCTCAGGAGTGTTCTCGGGGATGGAGATGGAGTAAGATGCGTTGGAAAATTGAGGGGCTCTGGGACCAGCTACAATAGACACCACGGCCGGGGGGCCCCTGCTGCCCAGCTTGTCAGCCGCGAACACGTTCAGAAGATACTCCCTGTCCCTCTGCAGGGGCAGCCCCGACGTTCTTATCAGGCCGCTCTTCCTGTCCACATCAAAACGCCCGTCTCCGCCTGCAACCAAGAAACTCAAAATAGTTCACCCGCTTCTACTGAACCCCTTGTCCACTCAATCCTGCCAGTGTCCTCAGGAACAGCTCCTCAACACAAGAAGTCCCGTTTAGTGGTTCAAAGCATTAGACTTAACTCTAACTCTAACCACATTGTGGTTGCTGAGGCTGTATGTAACAACACCCCCTAGCTCATGAATAGTTTTCAAAGTCATTTTTTAAAGATTTCTTCATAGTTTCTGCTGTACTGGACTCGTACAAATGCAGCTGGGGAATTGAAATGGTGGGACGTCTTCAGATCGAAAGAAAACCAGGAACTTTGGAGTCCAGAGATTAGCTCAGGTAGAATGACAGTGAGGGTCTTACCATCTGCCAGGAAGTACTCCACCTCTCCATTGGTGCCCTCGTCTCCATCACGAGCGAAGAGCTTATAGACGACTGTGCCAGACCGGGCCTCTGGAGAGACCACAGCCAGGAATGGTGAGGGCACCATGGACCATTCAGGGGCATTATCATTAACATCCGTGACCCTGAGCTCCACTCGGGTCAGATACCAATCCAGCCCTGTTAGAGAGAAACGGTAATTAACCTGAAGAAAGTATGGCCAAGAGCTTCTGCAAGAATTACAGCCTTTCCTCTGTCATGTGAAACAGAGCTGTTAACAATAATGTCTTGATTAATTGGATAATTCAATTAGCATGTACCATGTACTTTATCAGAGACAGAAACATTTTTAATTCTTCATAAAAACTATTGAAAGTCGTTTTTACTTGAAAGTATTATTTAAAAAATGGTTAACAACACTGCAAAGTAAAAACCTACAAGGAGGCAGGATTGCCAGAAATTCAATGTCTCAGTTGAAAGCAAAAACACTCATAAAATTTACAAAATAATATATGACCTGGAAAGTGAAACATTGATTCCCTGCATAAATAACTAGCTAGCCATAGCTAAAATATTTCATGCTCTGCTGAACATGATAGTGATATTACATTTTTTTTAAAGGCATCAGTCTGAAAAGGCCATTGCATGAGCCAAACTCTTTGCACTGGATAGCTGCTAAACATTTAATCATAGCTTAATGTCTTCGGGCAGCTTCTAGAGGACTGGAGTCAGCTGGCTTACTGATGAACTTGAGCAGCACACAACCAAATTAAAAGAGTCACAGGAGCTGTAATAATGGCCCAGTATTGTGTGTACAGACTCATTTGCTGTTTTGACATTCATCAGAGATGAAAGACAGAGAGAACTGGGGACCGAAGCCTTCAGGAATTACCAACACACTAGGGGCAGCCAAAGTAGTGGAAAATTGAGCTTGTTCACAATGCTCCTTCCATTGCCTGGAGCGTACCCAAGGTGAAACGTATTTTGGAATTTGTGCTGTCCCTTTGCCAATCACATAAAGTAAGATGTTCTGCATGGTTTACTTAAAGAAAGAACACGAGAGAACTGCAGAGACAACCAGTACAATTCTACAGCAGACTGCAAGTCTCTGACATTATATAACAATCAGGCTCAGTCTTCTCAGAGCAGGCATCTAATGTCAACCCTTTCTGCTATTGTACTCTCTAGGTAGCTCTTTCTCTTCCAATAAAAAAATCTAAAAATCTCTTTTTAATTATTTAATTATTTTTATCTTATGTCTCTTAAGGTTATGTTTTCTAATGAACTGCTTGTTTGGAGAGGCCAAAGGTTTTCATCTAATTTATTTGATGGTTATTGGGGAGGCGTGATGCAAGTGATCCTGTAGTTCTACTCTGAGAGCATCTATCCTCCTTTTGTCACTGTTGAAATGAGCTTCTGCTGAGGAAGAATAAAGAAATAAAACAAAGAAATATAATGACATTCTGAGGGCAAAAAAAATAGATAGCTGGTAGTCATGGAAACATTCAATGTTCAAAACATTCAACACTTCAAAAGTCCAAAGAAAAAAAATAACAAAAGTTGATTAACTGCACAAAAATCAGCATATAACTAGGCTTGCTCCATCTTGACATTTCGTTTTTTACAAGTACATAAATTACTTTAGCAAAACACTCACTTTTTAAAGTTCATTATTATATTTCAACTGATTTTAACACCAGGCCTTTGCTTTTTTTGCTCTCGTTGCAGGGAGAGAAAAGTATCTGTGTAATGAAATGTTTCAATAAAGTAACTATTTTTATATATGAAATACTTTTAATTCTAAAACTACCATGACAAACAATCACTTCATTTAATCTAATCAAGACTGAGACGTGTCTTGGCAGTCTTTTAACACATTATTCCATTAAAAGAAAGCTGGGTGGATTATTAAAATAAATGTTCCTGCATAAAAATATATATATTTTCAAAGCTTTATAACAACCATTCTGTTAGTGTTCGGTAGATCAAAAACAACTTATAAATCAATGAGTCCCTCAGAGATATTGGGTATAAAACAAGTTTCAACACGTAATTTAACATAATCAATTGAAATAAGAAATTCCATTTTATGACAGTTTTATGTGCAACTAATAATAACATGTAAAAAAGAGACAAACCTAAATAACAAAAAATAATCATTATTATTTGTATCATGTATTTGTCATTACAGAGTCTGTTTCAAAGGGTGCACTGTACTGTAAGTGCTAAAAAATTAAACTTTTGGAACTTGACAATTCCAATGGAAGGGTACTGCAGTTAAATAAAAAAAATTACCCAAACTGGATGGAGGAATTGGAGAAATGCATGCTTCTCAATTACTCAAAAAACGAACCTCCCTCCAGCTGGCCTCCAGGTGCTGTGACACACTCTGCAACTGTTTATTTATTTACCTGGATAAATCTGTGTGTGGATGCTAAGCAATATACTAACAGCTATCAACCCCGATCAATTTCTTCATTTAGAGACAGTGTGGTCTATTACTACAGAGCCTAACCAAGGGCATCTATCCAGCTGATTGGTAAGAAAAAGACTTTGCAAGAACCTGAATGATTTATTTAGTTGGCAATGCCAATAATAAATAATGCATAAGATATAACTAAATAGCCCCAAAGCAGTACATACAGTAAGTGGATTCCACCTGATGGCAAACATAAGGCAAACGTTTCAGCTCATGTCATGTGAAGTGATCCAAGTACTGTCAAGTGGATATTAATGAACTGAATACAATGTAAGGACTTCTGTAAAAGTAAAGAGGAATGTGAAAAATGTATATAATTTAAAGGCCTGTTTACAAAATTACATGGACATAAGGCATGTGTTATCGTTCACACTGACACGCTAGTGAGGGACTGCATAGTTAATCAAAAGATTTTAAATGAAAACATACAGTACCTTGCTGTATATAGAAATGAGCTACACGCATTATGAATTTTACGGTCTTGTGAGAGAAAGCAATTAATTTCAAAAGTTTAATTTGAAATGTCTGTAGAGGGTGTTACATATATCTGGTTCAAGGAGCATCACAGAAGAGAAGAAGTACATTGTTAACCACAGAACATTTACAAAACACTCTGTTATTTCAGTGTGTTTCTTAAATCAAATTAGATTGTTCTTGTAACTGCCCCTAAGGGCTCATTAAGTGCTTCTGATTGCTCTGCCTTCCATTTACGTACTGTATCATAGTCAATGAAAGACTGCACACAAGGAAATAAAAAGGCAAAACAAAGACTTTACAAAAACATTCCTTTTTCCTTTGGGTGAGGATTGTTCAGGGGCTACATCCTGAAGCCAGCACACTTGTGTTTCACCAGAAGTCAAGGAGTAGTGAGGGTGAAGAGGATTTGTCATAATTCCTTCTAAAGAGTCTAAAGTCTGACTTGTTACCATCTAGGAGCCTTGTCCACAGTAGAACCTGCCCCTAAAGCATTGCCTTGGCTCAAGAAAATGTGGACTTCACTTTTGCAAGACATACAGTACTGTATGTCTATCCAATATGACATGTCAGCATGAGCCCACAATCTACAAAATACCAACTGCTCCCTGAACTCCCCTATGTCTTCTTTACTCTGCTTCTGATCAAACTTTTATTACTGTGCATCTTCAGCAAGATGATCCAAACTAAGATCATTGGTGTGTCAGTCCTCATTTGCTCCATAACAATTCTAGTCCATGAACTCAGGTAAGAAATCGAAGGTTCATATTTTATCCAAGTCTTCCTTCTGAGCCATATGGTCACAATGTTGTGAAGGATTCCTTTGAACATCTTTGTAATGCACCCATCTCTCAGTGTGTTGCAGAGAAGCTAATGTCTGCCCTTGTCTTTTCCAGGTTTGATTATGGTAGTTCAGTGTTTGCTGCTGTGTCCAAACATGCTCTCCAGTTGGAATACAGTACAGTATGTTCAGAACCCAGCTTCTTGCATCTTAATTGAAACTAAAATACATTAGTATAGTACTCCCATCTTAGCTTCCTTGCATTGGCTCCAAAGGGTTCAATTCCATGTTTTGGCTTCAGACTACATCAATGAACTGTTATCACCTTCTACACCTACATATTGCTTACAGTCTTTGGACTTTCTTTCAGTTCCCAAAACAAGGCCCCGAGCCTTGGGAGGCTGAGCTCTCTGTTCTGTTGCTCCAAGCGTGTGGAATGATCTCCCACTCAGTGAAAAGGCAGTCATGACTTTTAATTCACTTTAAAACAATAATGTTCTATGCTTAATTTCTTATATTAAATTGTGTATTCACATGCCTCTAAATATTTTTGTGTTGTTTTAATGTAATTAAATTGCATTGTGGAGATGAGTCATAAATAAGGTTCTATATAAAGATTACTAGAATAAGCATATAGTGTGCTGTGTTGTTTCTTTTTACAACTATTCGGAGATACATGTGTCATACTGAAAATAATTTTTTGTTCATGAAAGCTACAAAAAGTGGACAGGTAAATAGATGCACTTGATGAATCTAACAGAATACTTCATCATTCCCTCTGATTTTCCCCTTGTTCAGTTTTTCTTTTATACAGTACCTGATTTTAAAAAAAACACAGACATCCTTTATCCTTTATCCTGCTACAGTGTATTGTTCTAGGCTCTTGTCTCTGTTCAGGCAGTAAGTCAAAGCTGGACTGCTTATGGAGCCCTCTTGATAAAAAAAAGAAAATATGACATTCCCTCTGAAGAGGCAATTTTGATTAGAAGAAGTAATATTTGAAGAAATAATTTCCATGTGACTTGAAAAGAGAAAAGTTCCGGTAAAAGAGGTGGCATGAAATGGAAAACCCACTAGATCGTGAGCAGTCATATGTGTTATTGCCTACGACCTGTGACTTGACTATTTTAAAAATCTGGTGGGGATTTTAAATCTGATAACAATGGCCTTAGGGCAAACAAAGGAAACTCTTTTTGTATCTATCCATTTAAGCAGAGCACCAGGAGTCACAGATACTAAATAATACACAGCTCAGAGTCCATAAAAAAATAAAGCAAGCAAAGGCTGAGTCAAGCCTTTAAAAAGTGGATTTTCACAGTAACTACAGTATGTGCTCTTTTCTGTGGAGTACTCATACTGTACCTCACAGGATCAATGACCAAAATCAGTCCAGTTGATTCCATCAGTTTTCTGTCCCACATTGATAGAGACTATTGTATAAAACAA